TCCACTGATATAACTAGAGTAAAAGATAGAGTTGAGAAAATGTCCTCTGATATATCTGGAGTGAAAGACAAAGTTGAAAAATATCTACTGATTCATCTGGAGTGAAAGATGAATTTGTTGGTTGATTCTCAAGTTAATGAAAAATTATCTATCTTTTGAGAAGCTATGTCTTGTATTCTATGTGTTAATTCCTTTAACACATTGCAAAGTATTGTGTAAAATATAACTAAATAGAATCAAAGAATCGTTTGCAAGTTTTTTGCAAGATCGACATTTTTTTATGTTTTGATTTCTTTAGCAGACAGTCACACTAACACTGGTGAAAAGCAGTGACCATAACAATATGACACCTGGTGACAAAGTATAATGCATCTTGATATGTATACTAATGATAGTAATAGGAAACATATCGGCAATGGTAGAAAAGCTTATCGTCGGAGATGATTGCAATGAGACAGAAGGTTTATTGGTGAAGGTATGGTATAAAATAAGATTCTCTCGTTAAATGCCGATTTGGGCTAAACCTGAAGGTTTTTCAAGGCAGCGCCAATGAATACTAAATTGGTTGGGGCAAGAAGAATAAAAGAATATTCATTATTAAAATCCTTACTGATCGAGCTATGCATTTGGTTTCAAGATTCTCTCGAAAGACCATGATTATTGGAACCATTATAATTTGTTTAATCTGGTAAACTGGTTAAAATTAACTTGGTGAAATGATACTGGTAACTGATGTAAGAATGTAATTTTCTCCTAGATTTATTGTCTATCCATAAATATCTTCCTGATTGAAACTATGGATCACAAATACCTAAACCACAATGGGCCACCATGTATGAAGCCTATAGGCCAATATATTCTACCAAACCGGTTAACAATGGACAGGTTGTTATTCAGTAAAATAAAATATGAATTCAGAAACCTTTGTGAAGTGGATTTACAAGAATTCAAAATTGAAGCCTTAACGATACATTATAACACTAGCCTCATTCGTTTTAAATTCACACAACAATAATCTCAATAATTTAAAATTCATAGAACAATAACCTAAATTGCTTTAAATTCATACAACAATAACCTCAAATGTTTTAAATTCATACAACAATAACCTTATTTGTTTCGAATTTTACATCAATAACCTCAATTGTTTTAAATTCATACAACAATAACCTCGATTGTTTTAAATTCATATAACAATAACCTCGATTGTTTTAAAATTTTACAACAATAACCTCAATTATTTTAAATTCATACAACAATAAACTCGATTGTTTTAAATTCTTACACCAATAACCTTATTTGTTTCGAATTTTACAACAATAACCTCAAATATTTCAAATTCAAAGAACAATAACCTAAATATTTCAAATTCAAAGAACAATAACCTAAATTATTTTAAATTCATACAACAATAACCTCGATCTTTTTAAATTCTTACAACAATAACCTCAAATATTTCAAATTCAAAGAACAATAACCTAAATTATTTTAAATTCATACAACAATAACCTCGATCTTTTTAAATTCTTACAACAATAACCTCAAATATTTCAAATTCAAAGAACAATAACCTAAATTATTTTAAATTCATACAACAATAACCTCGATCTTTTTAAATTCTTACAACAATAACCTCAAATATTTCAAAAGAACAATAACCTAAATTGTTTTAAATTCTTACAACAATAACCTCAAATGTTCCAAGTTCATTCAATAGTAACCTCAATTATTATTTATTCATACAACAATAACACCAATTGTTTCAATAAAATTTGAGTTTATAGACATCAGTTGTGTCATATCTAATTTATGTCATATTGATACAATATTCCATACTTTAAATGTAACTTATTTCTTATCAAGAACATGAAAGATATCTACTAATATAAATCATGATCCATAAGTCACTGGTACTGGCTCCCACCTGGTGGTCAAGACGTTCAACAAAATAGATGAACAATTTTTCACAAACAAATATTTTACCAGTACGTCAATACTTACATACGGTAAATGAAAAACTAGTCAGCCATGCGAAAATATATCCAGCGGCTGCAATAATCGAGTGAGAATTCCTTCACGTCAGCAACCAGGACGTCATCTGGTGAATTTCGTTGTTTTCATCATATCTTGGCTGCGTTATGTTAACGTCCTGAATGCGTAAGCGAGGGGTTTCTCAGCGAGGGATTTCTTTGAACCCTTGGATGTATATACTCGTGTCTGATTCACGTTTCAGTAACTATAACATACGTCGAAAATGATGAAGATAAAAATTTCCTCTGAAGGAAGTCTTTAAAGACATGACGTCTTTGTTACCAGGTGGGGACCAATGGTGCCAAAGCGATCCATGGGGAACATAGACCATTGTGTACCTTTCTGGTATGTTCAAAATATCTAACATAAGCTTTTAAAGTAAAAGCTTGAAAACTAGTCAATTAGTTGAGATTTTTTAAGATAATTGAAGTAAAGGCGGCGGTCTCTTAACCTTATGATTGCTCGGGAGGTTCACATTTAAGAGTATGCTTCCTGGTGGCATTGTTAGTCCTTCTATGAATCATACGTGTAATTTATTCTAAATATCAGAGCACCTAAACACACAACCTACTATGCATTTATTTTACCATTTTAGAATTTTCGGAATGTTTACTCTGCAAATTCTTTTATCATTTAGACATTTATCAAAATCTTAAAAAATGAAAGGGTGATAACATTTTAAAACGATGATAACCATAATGATTATTGGAACATTAAAAATGTCAAAACGGAGGAATGTTAATAGTTTTTAAAAGAATTAATTTATCTAAATGTTGTAATACAATTTTGCATTGTATCATTGATTTATGATCTGTTCATGATCATTTTCATCAGCTTTAAGGTGATGATTGTAATTTGTGCCAAATGCGTCTGATGTAATAGGCGCCTCGTGTTGTTTCCTTATATGGTACCTTAAATGCCTCTCTTCCACGAATTTATGTCCACAGAATGTACAAACATTTGGTCGAAGTCCACTGTGAATTTTCTTGTGTGAATTCAGGTGACTTTGCTGACCAAATCTTCTCCCACATTGGTCACACTGAAATAACTTCTTATGAGAAATCACATGTCTCTCAAATTTGTTTTTCAGAGTGAATCCGCTACCACATTCAATACATCTATATGGCTTTTGATCATTTGTCATATGTGTTCCTTCGTGTCCTCTTAGAATTGTAGCATTAGTGAAACATTTGCCACAGGTGTCACACATATAGGGTCTCTCTCCAGTGTGGGTCCGTGTATGTCGGTCCAGTTCTTTCTGGAGCATGAACTCAGCATTACATATCATACACTTGTGGTTCATTTGCCCTGTATGCCGAAATATATGTCCAGCAAGATCAGCAAACGCATTATGCCACGAATCACAGTCGATACACTTTAGAGGGCGCTCCTGGCCATGTACAACTTTCATGTGGTGGAAAAAGTTGTCAAATTTTCGCTCATGGCGTACAAAGTCAATTTTGCACTTGGGACAATGGTACATCAGCTCACCCGTGTCGCTTATTCTGAAGTATGGATTTTTATCTGAAAAATACATAGTTCAGTATAGTTAAAACATTGTTTTCGAATAATGGGGATCTTTGTACTTTACATGGAAACCATTAATATGTGGGCAGGTGCTATATGTGGTCAATATTAAACTATACTATCTCATTTTAGTTGTGAACTAAATAGGCTTTGTTGATTTAATATTTTTATTCAGATATTATTTTGAACTTCATAAGAAACAAGAAAATAGTAAATTAGTATTTTAAATCTAATGAATCTGCAGAAAGCCTTATATTCAATGTATATAAATCATTAGCTTTTACAACTTACTTAGATCTTTATCTGAAATATAAACATGCATCACTGTGTTAATAAATATTTCATCAGTATCTATCACTCATGCTTGCAAAACCAACATCACACATGTCGGGCCCAATAAACACAACATAACCATCGCAATTCACAACACACATTTAAAACAGCCAAATTTACTGCCAGTATGACAACATATTTCCACATATGTTTCATTCAATTCTAAAAGATAAACACATCTCTTGATTCATTCGTCATTGATTTTACATTCACACATGCCTAGGCAAGGAAGGTGTGTCCGATTCCAGCCAATTCGAACAGGATTTTTACATGACAGCAATTCATGACATAATCAATAACGTATTTGTTGTGTATGGTTGTCAAGGTGATGAGGTTGCAATTGATGCTTTGACAATACTTAACCCTTGCAAAAAGTTTCATTGAAAATATGTTCTTTTAGTGATTTTTTATCTTTGGTGATCATTGAAGAAAATATATTGCAATGTGTGAAAGAAAATTAAGCCAAAGAATCAATCAATTGTAACTGCTTCATTCCACCCAGGCGTTGTTTCCTAAACTTTGCATTCCCGCTGCAGGGTCTTGCAATGGTATGATTCAGGAAACAATGCACCGAGGGCTTAAATCCTTGAACTATACATAAAAACATCATCCCGTTGGAGGTCGAGGAGATTAAGCATGCATGGACGTCTGCATGTTACAACGATGAAATCACTTGGGAATTTATTGATTTGTAGTTTCGTTGATATCCCTTGATAAATAGATTTGCAATTTATTGTGTACTTAAACATTAAATCCTCTCTAAAATGATGTGATTTTTATAAACATTTACCCTGTTCACCTGCCTGAACCCAACTCTATGTGTATTACATTAATATGATCTCTCTCCAGTATGGATCCTTAAATGTTGAATACAAAATCTCTTGTATCCAAATCTCTAATGCCTTGTGTCAGTTTTTATTTTCAATAGTACACATCATGGAATTCCATATGATTCTTCAGCTGATGTTGGCAATTGCCTTTGAGTGTATGATAACGGACGCGACATGTCAATCTATTGCTCCAATGTCAAAACAGGCATTTTTTGCCACAAACAACATTCTAGGAGCTGTACACTGGTCAGATTGTAGGGGCCTAATCTACTCAAGGAACTGTATTCAAACTTTGTTTCAACAAAGCTCACATTTAACTCTAAACCCTGCATTATCTCAATCATCTTAAGCCTCTATCACTTAACCATTTAATTCTTAAATGCTGAAAACTTTGAAATGTAAAAACATTAAAAGAAGATAACTTTTGAATTTACATTACAATCATATATTTTGTTCAAGGATAAAATTGTATACAATGGTAAAATATATATTTATATAATTCAATCATTTCAAATCTAGAATATCCAACACCTGATCCCTAGTAAGAGTGGGGATTTAAGGAGGTTTAGAATTTTTTAAAAGCATGGATTTTTTGAAATATTGTTTTCCATGATCCTACCGGGCAACAATATCAAAACATTAAAAACATATATTAGTGAGTGTGGCGTGAGTTTTGACAAAAGTTCATTTAAACAAAGACTCTCATATAGTTTGTCTGCCTCTAAAATCAATGTTAGGAATACTGAAAACTAGTATTATATAAAATGAAAATATGATTGATAAATAGGCATATCGAATTTTGTGAAATAATTAAAAAAACAAGGGCAAATGTACCTAAATAAATACTAAAATGAATCATTACTTGAAAACTGTCTTTTTTCTAGATTGGAATGGTGGGATTTATTATGAACATTTAGACTATTCTTTTGCCTGAAACCCACTCCACATGTACTACATTTATATGGCTTTTCTCCAGTGTGGATCCTTACATGCTGGATAAGGTATTTCTTATACCCAAACCGTTGGTCACAGTATGTGCAATGGAATGGTTTTGAATGACTAAGGACATGCCTGTTTAGTCTATTCTTCAGGTGAAAAATCTGAGGGCATTGATCACATTGAAATCGTTCAGTTGTCTGCTCGTGAACACCTCTTTTATGATTAAGAAGGTTTGGCTTGGTCTTGAAGTGCTTACCACAAAGTTCACATACAATGGGAGCTATGTGTATTTCTTTGTGACTGGTAAGCTGTGATCTGTGTTTGAACTGGGAACCACATATATGACAAATGTACTTTGGGTCTCCATGAACATTACCATGCACCCTCCATAAAGCAAATGAAATGAAAGTCATCTTGCATATTTTGCAAATAAAAAGGTTGATGTGTCTATGTAAGTGGTTATTAGCTGTTGCCTCAGAGTCATATATATTGTCACAGTAGTGGCATTGATAGCGCTCGGTCATCTCACCATCAACCTCAACTTCTATTTTCTTAGCAAAGTACTTGTCAACATCTGAAATGAACCAACAATAAACATAACTACTACTACTGTATGTTACACCTCTGTTACATTTTCCTTTCTCTAGTTTGATAAAGTATGCTTATCTAGTCATTTGACATGAAGTCTGATGGGAGTACACTAGGAATGATCAGTGTACTTTAAATAGACCAACTTCGGTTATTTGAAGTAACCAATAACAGAATACCCTTTTCATTGTGCCATTGCATTATTTTAAATGTTTGAATATGTTGAAAGTTCAAGGGGACTGAGGCTGATCTATAATCTTGGTGAATCTATGGTATTTCATGTTAAAAATTGCACCTACCGTGTTCTATATCCTCCTCCTTGCATGTGTGTAGTTTCATATGATTCTTCAGTTGTGGAGCCTTCATTGTTTTGCCACATTGTTTACAAGTCACTATTGCCAGTGAGTTTCCCCTGTTTTTACGGCTATGACATGACAATCGATTATTCCGATGGTCAAAATAAGCATTTTCTGTGACAAACCACATTCTACAAGCTGTACAATGGTAGGGGTTGTCTACATTATGAACTATATTCATATGTTGCTTTAACACAGCCCGGGTATCACACCTAACACTGCATGCATCACAATTAAACCATCTATCATCATCAGTTTCTTTCATTTTATCATCATATTCTTGCCAGACTGAAAATGGAAATACATTTAGGAATGGAAGCAGTGAAAACTGACCTTAGATTATGAGGTCTAATCACTAGTCAGTAACAAGCCAAGGTAACGTCCATCGTCTTCGCTTGATACTGACCAGTGGTAATCAAACAAAGTTGCATGATGAATTGTAAGGGTATGCCTTTGTGCAAAAACTGCTAGCCATTTGTTGAAGACCTATAGAGGATCCATTATAATGAAAAAGCTATAATTAATGAATATAAATGTATCAACATCTGAATACAAAATAACACAGTTCTAAGACAATTTTATATTTCTCAATTTATTTGATATCATGATTGTATACACTTTATACTTCTTAACCACATTGCCTGTTTTAATATGATGTTCAATAATACACCAAAACACTTAAAAATACTAGTCAAGTGTAAGTTCATAGGTTCTGAAATATTTAGGATAACACCATAATGTTCAATACAATATGTCTTACAAAGTGCTAATTAAATAAGTGTCATTACTAGGTACATTCTCAGATAATACAGATAATGTCTCAGACGCATCTGTTGAAAATTGCGAATCTGTTTTTCTTGAATGATGTGATTTGTTATGAACATCCAAACTTGTTTTCTGAGCAAATGAAACATCACATGAACTACATTTGTAAGGCTTTTCACCAGTATGGATTCTGACATGTTGTGTAAGATATTTCTGATAACCAAACCTTTGCCCACAAAAGCTACAGATATATGGTTTACTATGACTCAATTTGTGTGCAACAAATTTATTTTTCTGATAATATTTTTTGGGACACTCTGTACATGGGAATACAACTTTAGTTAAATGGTGCACAACTTTTTTGTGAGATCCAACCGCACTGTTTGAGGAAAATGGCTCATTGCAAATGTCACACAAGAAAGGTCCTTTGTGCTGATGCATGTGTCGCTTAAAAGCATTACTGTTTGATACAAATGAGAGACCACATTTATCACACATAGTCTTTGATATTTCGGATGCATGAACACTTTCCTTATGCTGTTGCCACACACTGAATGTATCAAATTTCACCTCACAGTCATTACAGTGAAATTCCGTGAGGTGTTCTTGAACATGCATATCTGCTTCACTTTTTGAGGTATACACAGCTTTGCAGTAATGGCAGCGGTAGGTTGGGTACATGCATCCTTTGCCCCGGGCTTGTAGGACATAGGAGAAATATTTATCTTCATCTGAAATAAATTGGAAAGAACAGTGTAAATAAAAATGAAGTCCCTAAATTTAATTTTTTACTGAATAGCCAAGTTGATTGAAAATTTGAAATTTCTAATAGACAATTTATTTATCCTGTTGAATATATTACAGTGTTTGCTTTCTCAAATGCAAAGATAAGTAGTTGGACTTACCATGTTTAACAAAGGTTTTTGGTACCCTGTTATGCATTTTCGTGTGTCTTTTCATACCACAACATTTCAATATTTTCCCACACAAGTCACATGTCACACTATCACATATGTGGGACCTTTTACATGTCCGTTTCTTATGTTCAAAGTAAGCTTCCTCCGAGATAAACTGAACTCTACAGTTACCAATTTGACACTTGTAAATTTCTTGTTCATTGTGTGTATCTGCATAATGTGTGTATAGTCCACGTGGTGAATCATACGTGATGCTACATTTTTCACATGTGTGAGTTTGCCTATAATGTTCATCTATATGGCTTTGCATTTCATCATCAGGCTTTTGTCTACCACATATGTAGCAGTCTAAAATATAAAATGGTTTGCCTTTTCAAGTTTCTATAAGCTTGTTTGTATTTCCAGGGTCAAAATACAGGAGTTGCATGGTGAACAATATTCAAGCCCATAAATGTACAGTAAAATGACTTAGAGTAATAAGATAAAGAAAACATATAAAATTATGTTGAACATATATTTTTGTAAGCATCAACAAGTACAGATTTGTTTTTTCAATATGCAATATATACTTTTGTGTATTTGTAAATTCAACAATAGTGTTTTCTAATCAATAATTAAATGGTGCAATTGTATCGGGGTCCATAGAAAAGTAGCAGCTACACAGGCTCAAATAACCAACATGGCTTCATTACTGTACTGTAATTTGAAATTACAAGAGACTCAGATGAAAACGTTCATCCAGTATCATTGGGTGATAAATGGAATACACAAGCTTATCAGCTAAAATAAAATAAACCAAAAATGATGTTGTAATAGAAGTTGAGGTGCTGGGTGCTATTCGCTAAGAAATAGTACTTGTAAATCTTCTTCAAATATGACATTGACTAGGTATAATAACTGTATCTAATGTAACTTAGTTACAAAGCTTGAGGATTCAGAAAATGAAATTTAAACTTGTGAAATCCATAAATGTTTATGGTAACGAAATTTTAATTTCTCAAAATCCGTGATATTAAAGAACGCGAAATAAACCATGAGTATGGTAAGCAAAAGAGGAACTTAACATTACTAAAGAAAATTGAGATGTACACATTGGGTAATTAGTTATATAATGGACTAAGGATGGGGTATATCAATGAGTGAAATCAAGGAGTAAACAATAATAACCATAGTATACTATGGATTATGTACTGAACAAACCATTAATCTGATTTAGCCATTCTCTTCATCAGTAAAAATCACAATTATGCTGCTTTTAAGGAAATCACACGCATGTTAACTGAATTAATAGAAGTTAATAGCAATATAAAATAGAAATCTTACAGTGCTTTGAACATTATTTACAACATTGTCAATCTTAAATTAGGATCCTGCATGTATTGTATTGCAGTTGCCCCAACATTTGGCATATTTGTATTAACAACTATGCTTTGATCTCTTGGCGGTTCTAAAGAATGTAACGTTTTCTTATATTTCATTTGATGGGTATGGTGTGTTTTAAAATGGACATCAAGACTATTTTTCTGATGAAATGAAGCATCACACATTGCTTCAGTACATTTATATGGTTTTTCGCCAGTATGAATCCTAACATGCTGGTCGAGGTATTTCTTGTAGCCAAATCTCTGTCCACAATAACTACATATAAATGGTTTAGAATGGCTCAAAATATGACTCTTAAACTTGTTATTTTGGTAGAACACCTTTTGGCATTGATCACAACTTAGGACCCGCTTCGATAACTGATGTACGCTATCTTTGTGCACACGCAGACATTGACTACTGGAAAAAGTACGATTACATATTTCACATATAAAGTCCCCGAATCTGTGTGTCTCCATGTGTCTGTTTAAGGAGCGCTTGTTTTTATATTGAACACCACAGTGTTCACAAATATGTATTGGCTCCATGTGATTTTGAGTCTTGTGGTGATTCCACTCCTTAAATGATCCAAATGACATCTGACAAGGATTGCAATAGAAAATGTGAATATGTTTACGAACATGTCTTTCAGCGGGTAGCTTACTGTCATAAACCTTTGAGCAGTGCGGGCACTGAAACTTTTCTGTTTGATCTCCATTTTCATCACAATGTATTTTCTTAGGATAGTATTTGTCCTCATCTGCAAAAGGATAATGATTAATTTAGCTGTGTACAAGTATTTATGTAATCATAAATTGACAATCTAATTTTTCTACAATTCTAGAATCATTTAAATAAGTAAAATTATCAACTCACCATGTTCGACACGTTGTGTTGATAAAGAATGGTGTAGTTTCAAATGCTTTTCAATACTGCAACATGTGCACTTTTTCTTACATATGTCACATTCAATCTCATTACAAAGGTGACTTTTGTTTCTTTGGTATACTTTGCAGGTTCTTTCTTTGTGGTCAAAATAAGCTTTTTCTTCTATGAACTGATTAGAACACTTTGGACATTTGTAGATATCATTCGCATTATGAACTTCTTTATAGTGTTTATGGAGTTCCTTTGTTGTCTCCATTGTTTTTACACATAAAGAACATTTGTGTTCTATTTTTCTATGCTCTATCAAATGCTTTTCCATGTCATGGTCTTCAATTCTCCGCCAGCAAATGTAACACTCTGAAAAGGGGATACACAGTAACGTTGCATTGAGTTCCTTATAATAAATCAATTGGAGTATTAATGCTAGTGGTATGATGGAAAACTGGTATTTCATTGTCAAGGTTATCAATGTTGCATGGTGGAATTATTATCAACTAAAAAAACACAACCATATATAATCACTTTCAGTTATTTGATATTATTATTCTTTCATATGTACAATATTATTTAATAAAATGCAATTCGAATTGAAATCATCATCTCAATATGACTACAGGAAACCATCAAGTATGTTTTTGATAAGCTTGATATTGAATTTGCATAAACTATTGCAAAAGAAATGATAGTGAGCACAAAAAACAGGTTTACTAAGATTAAATTCCTCTACATAAGACTTCCATGAATAATAACGTAAATAATGTTTACAAAACAGAATATAATTGAGTGCCAAAGGGAAAGGATCAAAAGTTGTAATGGAACTTAGCAAGAAAAAGCAAACTCTAAGTGCATACCACTCAAGAAAAACAAACTCATATATCCCAAAACCATGATCTAACGTGAAAAGAAACAATGTCTAATACCCCCTTTCCCCCACCATTCAAGAACCGATATCACAATCCAAGACCAGAACACCAAGGGACATTTCATTCATACTGAAGTCATTACAATACATATTGAAGAAAATTAGAAATTGATATCCAATACTCATAACATCAAAAAAAGTTGTAGATACAAGTACTCATACAAGATAGAACATTCAGTCTCAAATGATGTGGGATAGATAAAATCCAGTCTCCAAGTCCATAAGCGTTTCAAAGGGTCAACATCCAAAAGCCGTCGCCATAATCAATAAAACACAATAATTCACAATGGTCATCAGGAGAAAACTATGGCTGGTTTCGATCCCTATACATAACTGAACTATACATACTGAGTGATTATTTTTATATATGATTAATTTTCTGAAAAGATGATGATGATGATATTATTTTAATCTATAATTGTTTCTAATTGCGTCTTCATTCAGATATGACTGATGTCCGAGAAAAATATTGCATTATCTACATATGTTTGATTACCATTGTTAGGAAGTGATGGTTTTGTTGCAGTTGTAGAGTGGTGTGATTTATTATGAACATTAAGACTATTCTTTTGCCTGAAACCTACTCCACACATACTGCATTTATATGGCTTTTCTCCAGTGTGGATCCTAACATGCTGAGTTAAGTACTTTTTATAGCCAAACCTTTGATTACAATAGGTGCAAACAAATGGTTTTGAATGACTCAGGATATGCCTGTTTAGTCTGTGCTTTATATAAAACATTTGTGGACATTGATCACACTGGAACACCTCAGTTGCCTGTTCGTGAACACCTCTCTTATGCAGCCTTAAATTAGCCCTTGATTTAAATGTCTTATCACAAAGATCACATACTATTGGCCCACGGTGAAGTTCCATGTGGTTTCGATATTGTGAAGTGTGTTTATATCGAGAACCACAAATATGGCAGACATATTTTGGTTCATCATGAACATCACCATGTATTTTCCATAGTGCGAATGAAGTAAATGTCATTTTACATATACTGCAACTGAACATTTTAATATGTCTATGCACATGATTATTAGCTGTAGCCTCTGAATCATATGTATTGGTACAGTAAGTGCACTGATAGCGTTCGACTGTCTCATGATCAACTTTAACTTGAATCTTCTTGGGAAAATACTTTTCAACATCTGAAATGTTAAAAAACAAAATAAAACACTGGATTGACTTTATAGGCATTTAAATATTAAATCAAACCATGAATATGAAGTTCAATAACATTTTGAAAATCTAAAAATTGCCCGCAAATTTAGATTTCTTAGCTTTGTGGAAAGGACTTTAACTGGGTTTAATTTTTATCACATCTTTTCTTGATTTTGTGAAATATATAATGAATTATTGAAAATTCATTTGATTTCTTCTTGATGTTAAATGCTCTGTCAATACAATACATTATAGATGAACAAATAACAAAAAAAGCTTTAAAAATGAGTTTTACTCACAACTTACCATATTCGATGTCCTCCTCCTTGCAAGTATGGGTTTTCATGTGCACTTTTAAGTGTCGAGCTCTCATAGTTTTGCCACAAAATTTACATGTAGTTTTAACAGCTTCTCTTCTCATTGAATTCCTTTTACCTCTTGTCCAGGTGCACAATTTCTTATTGCGGTGATTAAAATAGGTGGTCTCCGTAACAAACAATGTTCTGCATGCAGCACATTCATAAGGTATATCCATATCATGAATTTTCATCATATGTAATTTAAGCAGAGGACGGGAATCATATCTTTCATCACATGCATCACAGTCAAACCAGTCAACTTCTTCAATTTCTTCACTTTCATCTGGAGGTTTTTCATATTGTTCTTTCCAAACTGAAACGTTGTGACAATAAGAAACCCTTAACATGGTGTTGCATATAAAAATTCATGCAATACATTTAGTATCTACTTTTTTGTATGTCTGTAAGAAAATACCCAGAAACGTTGCATGATGAAATTATATGAATAGTTTGGTTGGACATCTAAAAGGGGTCTTGGTTGTAATGTGTTTATGATTGACCATTCAGTTCTTGTTTTGTATTTACTTTGTGTACATGCCTGATAATCAGCATCAGCTGTTTCATGGCTCCAAGTCTTTCTTTCACAATCTGATCTTCTTTATGGTTTTTCATGCAACATCAATGTCCATAAATGGTTTGCATCAAGATTTACACACTTTTAAAAATGAGCCTTTTGTAGAAACTGCCAATATAACTCAAAAGCATCTTTCAGTGTGTTGGCATTAAAATGGGGGTCTTGGCCAATGTACAAAATTCCTGTAACTATTTCTTAATATTTAAATAGGTTTAACTTGAGATATTTCTACTCTAACAAAATAAACAATTTCGAGAGAAATTCAAAATTCCCTGATTATTCAATAATATAAAACAAGTGATACATACAAATGATAACACACAGTGATAAATATCACACTTTGAAGAGCACATTATTATGATCACCATGTAATGTACCCAGTGTGCCCAAAATCTTATCAAATCTTGGCAAGAGTCCGCTCTTGCAGATGTAAAGAGGCAAGACTTATGTGGCACTCATCGCCACCAGCACAATACAATGCCAGCACTTTTTCAAGTGCAAAAATTGTAAGTACCCTAATAATAGATAATATAGGTAATATTTATAATATGATATCATATACCTACCTAGTGTGATGAGTTTCTCTGTAGTCAAAGGTGTTTTCTATACAATAGGCTCTGCATGCTGCAGTGGTTTATATTACAGCTTCTGGTCCAGTCCTATCGCAAAATTGTACTTTTAACAAAGTCTGGTAAACCAGTTTTCTTTGTCCTGCTTTGATGATATTTTTTGATTAATTCTGAATTCTGGTCACTTCAGGTCCAGTAAATGTATCATTGGTGTAAATCTAAACCCCTTATGAAATTATGTATCTCTTATATTTTCATTCATTCTTCCATTCAGAACAAAACATCCATTCATACTTGGAGACATACATTTCAGTCAATTTATCCATGCAGGGTTAGATAAAATCCAAATACCTGTGTGGAGAGTGTGATGGATATTCAACATATCTTGTCGCCGAAATCCTTTCCCGCAAGTGTCACATGCATATAATGAATGCACGTCGCGTTTATGTTGGGCAACATCTTTATATGATGTGTCAAATCGTTGATGACACTTGTCACAATAAAATCTCCCTAGACAAATAGAGAAGGAAAGTTCAATTAGTTTTGAGTTCAATTTTGACTTTTGCTTTCAATAAGATTTTGAAATGTTTTGAAATACAAATTTGCATGATTACAAAGAAACAAGTCAAAATTAAAAAAACTAATTTGACCTTCATTTATCTAGGGATATTTCTGTGAAACTACGTTGTAGCATGTACAAATACATACTCGCACGCCTAGCATCAAACCTATAGCTAGGTTAGACCACCAGCATTGATGTTATCTCCAATATTTCAACACATTAATTTCAAAAAATGATTATAATAACGTGAGTGCTAGTTTATAGCCAGTAAGTGTACTCTAAGTTTTTTTCTGCTAAAAAAAGTTAGAATTGACAAACTAGAAAGAATTTATAAAGATAGTCTGGTTTTGTATCAGACTAAACTTTGGAAATAGGAGGCATAATTTCACCATGCAACTTTGTATTTCGAATCATTACAAATCATCTCTTTATGTACTACTTTTATGTACTACTTTCAATCTTATCTGACATATTTTAATCTATTCATTGACATTATAAATATGAAACAATAAAGATCTAATGCCTGATAATGTAGGTTTTTTAAGACTGAATTTCAGTCACCACACAATGATCTGAAAGTTTCTTTGTAAAAATGTGGGCAGAAATATTCTGAGAACTTTTGAGAGGAAAGACCACAGTGCAATTGTATTTGGTTACATGGTAATTACATGTACAGGCATGAGAACAAATAATACACTTGAAGGAAAATGTTCACTGATGATTAAGATATATACATATAGCATTTATAAAGACACTATATTTGAGCAGCGCTCCTAGTCCTACTACCCATTACACGAACATGATATTTTAAAATATACCCCAAGATGTAAACCAATCACAATACAGAATTTCAAGGTGAGCTATAATATCTAAGATCTGAATATTTACCAAAGATAGTGTCTTCAAAATGCCACAAAATGAAATAAAGTAATTTGAGACTTGCCTCCATGTGTCAAGATATGCTGGTCCAACGCCTCCTGTGATTGAAACTTGTCGGAACATTTTCTGCACCCAAACAATCCATGTACTTGACTGTAGTGCCTACGACGCTTTGCACACGTAGAAAATCTGACTTCCGGATCACATTCTGAACAAACGTATTTCTTTAACTTCTTCTGTTCAGCCGTTAAAGGAGGGGCCTCTAATTTTGGTTTCTTTATTCTGGCTGGAAAAGGATTTGACAAAATCAACAAGGTGGTTTATAAATATACTAAAAACAGCTGCATACTATTCTAACAAGGCATTAACATCCAAATTGTCATCACCTGCCATTTGTTACAGAAGCAGAATACTAATGTTGAACAACAATAGCTGAGCGCCATCCACAAAAAATATTCTAAACTCACATTATTCATTTTGTTTAGGAGGGTGGGTTGTAACAGGTTAAATATGCAATGAACTAATAAGTGTGAAAAATCATATTTAATGTTTTTTTATGGCGAAATGATATACTCAAACTAACTTTGAAACTAATGTTGCAGAGTCGGATGTACATGTATGTTACAGGTATAACAAAGTGCTTTTGAAAAAATCTGGTAAAAAGGGTATTTCTCATCACTAAGATAATCAACATTAACTAAGACATATATCAACATTGACTATGGCATATATCAACATTGACTAAGACATATATCAACATTGACTAAGACATATATCAACATTGACTAACACATATATCAACATTGACTAAAACATTAATTAACATTGACTAAGTCATATATCAACATTGACTAAGGCATATATCAACACTGACTAAGACATATATCAACATTGACTAAGGCATATATCAACATTGACTAAGGCATATATCAACACTGACTAAGACATATATCAACATTTACTAAGACATATATCAACATTGACTAAGGCATTAATCAACATTGAGTAAGACAACATTGACTAATACATATATTGACTAAGACATTAATCAACTTAGACAGTAACTACTACTTACTTTTTCTTGGTTTCTTGGGCTTGATATCTTTAAGATTTATCTTGAGTTTCTTGATATCTGGTTTCTTATCTGGTTCATAGGACTCATCAGCATTCACATCATCTAGAGGGTCATATTCGTCAGTCTCATCTGCATCACTTCCCATAGCAATAGCGCCTGAAATAATGAATTATAAACCAAAATTGAGGATTGTATCACTCTACAGCAAAGACATTACTATGCAGTGATCTCACCAGCATTAGTGACCTGGCAAAGCACCTAGTTGAAAATCTGAAAATTACATCCCCAATTGAAAACCTTTGCACCCTGCTACAGGGTGTCCAATAAATAAGGTGAAAGATATTGTAACTTTCTTAATATTGCACCAATCTTGATGAAATTTTCAGAGTTACTAGCCCAAACATATTTACCTTTATTCTTTGAATTTAAAGCGTCTTCTATTTGACTGGCCAGAGTTGTGGTTGCTATAGCAACCGAAACAACAAAAAGGCGGGGCAAGTTTGTTTACGTCACAACTTTCCAAAACATATTTATTCTTTCTGATAGCTTTATTCATACTCCCAGGCCTATTACTACCACAAATACAATATAAAAACAGTCCTAAAGTCCCATTGTTATGAAAATAAGCTATTCAACATAATGTCCATCTCTAGCTATTCACTTCTTATGCCTATTCACCCACTCTCTAAACACACTTTCAAACGCACTCTTGCCGATTTCCTGAAGTCTAGCTAAGACATGTGATATGAGTTCACACACAGCTCTGCTCACCAGTGAAACTATTAGGGCACTGGGGCTACCCCTATTTGCACACCCTCCATATTCCCCAGACCTTGCACCCAATGACTTTTACTTATATGCAGACCTCAAGCGTGACTTGAGAGGAAATAAATTCGGAAGCACTGATGAACTCAGATCACATGTCTTAGCAAGACTTCAGGAAATTGGCAAGAATGGGTTTGAAAGTGTGATTAGAGAGTGGGTGAATAGGCATAAGAAGTGTATAGCTAGAGATGGACATTATGTTGAATAGCTTATTTTCATAACAATGGGACTTTAGGACTGTTTTTATATTGTATTTGTGGTAGTAATAGACCTGGGAGTATGAATAAAGCTATCAGAAAGAATAGATATGTTTTGGAAAGTTGTGACGTAAAGAAACTTGCCCCGCCTTTTTGTTGTTTTGGTTGCTATAGCAACCACAACTCTGGCCAATCAAATAGAAGACGCTTTAAATTCACAGAATAAAGGTAAATATGTTTGGGCTACAAACTCTGAAAATTTCATCAAGATTGGTGCAATATTAAGAAAGTTACAATATCTTTCACCTTATCTATTGGACACCCTGTATTAGTGTGAAATATTGAGCTGTTGCACTCAGTTGAGAAAATATCCTGGGGAGATCACAGATATCTAAAAGTGGGTCTATTTCGTGTTATTTTTTGATTTGGAATTGCAATTTCAAGAATACAATAGGTTATGCCATTTGGGAAAAACCTTGCAAAGTCTTAGGGATTCTCCACAGTATTGGTAATCTTGTACAGTACTGAGACTTTGTTATAGTATTGGCAGTATTGTGAATCTCATATAGTATTGCCAATCTTGTAGAGGACATGGAATCCTGTACAGTATTGAGAATCTCATATACGAGGGGTGATCCAAAAGTCTTGGACGCCCCGCTCTAACTTTGCTATTTTCTAATATAATTACATGAAACTTTCAGATAATAAAGATCAACATCTAAACAACTTTGTGTATACGTTTCAACAGAAAATAATATATTTTAGCTACTTTTCTAAATATCTTTTAATACCGGGTCCCTGCCACCCGGAACGGTATTTAGTTATAGCAAATCACGTCACAACTGTTATAATATGGCATATACTTTAGTCGAGGTTCACAACCTAAACCAGTAATGATATGAGAGAATTTTCAATTTTCAATCTGAGTGTCATCTGCCATTATCATTTTCACATATTAAGACCTACTTTTCAACACATTTTTCACGAATTTGAACACATTTTTCATACCGCTTTACCAATGAATGGAAGACATTTATGACACCACCATTGCTTATGTGATACAAATGCTGCTGGAGTGCCACTCTCAACCTCATCCAATGAGTAAAAAAACATTTTTTTCAACTCTCTTTTCAACTTGGAGAAAAGGAAGAAAATTACACGGAGCCATACATAGACTGTATCGTGCATATGGTAGCTGCTCAAGGTCAATAATAGTGAAAATATCTTGTAGTATTCTTTGTTCCACTTTGATTTCTTTCGTGCTCTGCATTTCAGCAGCCATCTTGCAGTAAAAATGATACCAGAATGAGGGTTGCTTGTTTGATGGCATTTTCTTAGAATTTGACATGTACGGCCATTGTCATATGTGACATTATAATTAAAACACAATTAATTGGTTGCCTAGTTACAAAGGAAGTAAACTAACATGGTTTAACATTCAAAATTCAAAGAAATATAGTGGTCAAGGCTTGGGAAACAAGTGAAATGGCCGCAACATTTAAGGCTGAAAGTTGCCATGTGCGAATACCGTTCCGGGTGGCAGGGTCCCTGTATTAAAAACTATCTAGAAAACTATATAAAATATATCATTTCTCCATGAAATTGATACACAAAGTAGTTAGGTTGTTTGTCTTTATTATTGGAAAGTTTTAAGTAATTTTATCAAAAACCAACAAAAATAGAGCAGGGCGTCCAAGACTTTTGGATCACCCCTCGTAGTATTGGCTATCTTGTAGAGTTTTTGGCAATCGTGTACAGTATTGAGAATCTCATATAGTAATGGCAATCTAATACATCATCAGAAATCTTGTACATCATTTCAATCTTGTAAAATAAAACAGACCTTGCGAAACATTTGTATGGGAGTAAATGGGGAAGTAAGCGGGTAATATCCACGATTATATTGCCACTTTTGATATTGCTTGCTTACCTCATTTTGAAAGTCTGCTTTTCTTAATAACTGACTTATCCGTGACAACATTTTAACATCATGCATGTCATGTCTCATTACTTTCAAATTATATTAAGGCTAAGATGAAGAACGCAAACTCAAAATAACCTCAAGACCTCCCTTCCTCTACCAGGAAAATTTTAGACCCCAGATTTTTCGCCACTCACTCCTCCCCCATGTGAGATCAGAGTATTACATGTAGTATACTGCTTAAAGTCCCCGTCTAAAGTTTGAAAATAATTTTTTTATCATTCATTTACTATTTGTCAGGACTTAAAAAGTAATTTTAGAGTTTTTGAACAAAAAAAAATTTTTGATAAAAAAGTTGTGAGAATTTCATTTCTCAAATATTCAAATTTTCCGCCATTTTTCAAAAAAATTGAAATTTCTTAATCATCAAATATTTCTTAATGCATTTCAAAAAAGATTATCTTTTAGACACCAATGCAAAGATTGAACAAAGGACACACTATTTCAATAATAAAATGCCATATTTAATGGGCCACTTCAATGTTTTAGCATATCAAAAATATTTTGAAACATTAGTGATGTCACTAAGGTACCAAAAACTTTTTGAAAAAAATTGAATTTTTTTTTCGATGTCAATCTTTTCTAAATATGTTAGACTTTCATAAAAAAACAATGTTGATTATCTAACCAGGTTAAAAGGAAGAATAAATTATGTTTTAGATATCATTGTACCATTGGTTTCTATGAGAACTAAAATTTTGAAATGCATTTTTCTCAGAACCATTTTCATGCACTGATAAGTTCATTTCTCGCTTATTTATGAACCGATTTTCTTAATTTTTTCGGCAAAAAACATGGGAGGATGAATGCTATGCATTGGTATGAATTGTGGCTATTTAGAAGATATGAGTGACCTCTAAAAGTTGGTTTTAAATAAAATCATAAATTTTTGAAAAAAAAGTCTATCAAAAACCACATTTTGAAATTTAAAAAAAAAGTTTCACATATCACACTTTGATAACATTGGGTAAGAGTACAATATAAGCCAAAGTGGTTTAAACTTTATATGGGGCCTTTAAGATTATCTTCCTATATTGATCACAATACAGGGTGTTCCAAAAGTAACAGGACTGGTGCTGGCATTTTGTCAATTTTGCACTGAGTGTCTTCAAATTTTCACAAATTGTACTTTGAAGTTTTGCAACTAAAATTGTAAAGTTTCAGAAAAAAAGATGAAATGCGGTTAGAGTTATGGTTGCTATAGAAACATGACATCACAATACCCGGGGCAACTTTTTCCGTGAAAATATGATATCTCACATTTTTGTATTACTGAACATCTCTTGTTTATTGTATCAGTTCCTTTGTTGTAAAGGTGTTGCATATACAACTCAGATTCAAGTATAATTTCATAATGATAATAATATTTATTCAATTTCCTGGAATATCACTATGTATAAGGGTCTGGACAATTCACGGTTGAGTTTTTGAAAAGACCCAATTTGAAGCCAGTCATCTACCTTGATAGCGCGCCTGCCCGCAGGTCACCATTTAAGACCATGCAGCTATAGAGGAGCTAGGTCTTGAGTCTAAAACCATGCACCATACTCCTCTGATCATGCAATATCTAATGTTTACTTATATTGAGAATGGAATGCTAATCAGTGCTGTAGGACCTTTAAAGATGGGAATGACCTTCTCCAAATTGTCCAATTGGCCCTGCGTGACATGTCATCAAATGGGTTCACTCGTGTGTTTGGGTCATGGATACAGAGTACTACTCTTGTACTCACCAAAGAGGAGCCTATTTTTCAAAGTAGAGGATACATAGGAATATCAAATGATGTAAAACAAATGTAATTCCCACCAGTTGCTGCATTTCAACTTTGATATGGCATGTACAAAATGATATGGCATGTACAAAATGTTTAATGTCTCTGTAACTTTTTGCGTGGAATATTGCCCCGGGTATTGTGATGTCATGTTACTATAGCAACCATAACTCTACCCGAGTTTCATATATTTTGTCGAAACTTTGCAGTCTTAGTAACGATACATGAAAGTACATTATGTAAAATGTTGAAGACGATTGGTGCATATTAAACAAAATGCCAGCACCAGTCCTGTTACTTTTGGAACACCCTGTATACGTTTTTAAAAGGTTCCTGACTTCCTATTCCTTGTTTGTAATCAAGTTTTATGTATTTTCTCAAGAGTTTTACCACAAATAATGTGACAAAAATATAAAATTAGATGGAAAAAACACTTTAGACTTCCAAAAAGCTGGTAGACTCTGGAGCAAGAGGGTCTAAAGACATTAGGCTGCGGAGAATCTCTTGAGTCTAAAACCCTAGTGAGAACCCAGGTCTATATGAATCCAGTGAGAGACTTAGGGGACAAATTTTTTTTTTAAATCTTGTTCAGCTGCTGACCTAAAGTGCCTGTCTGGTCAAAGAATTTTCATCTCTTTCTTAAGGTTTCATTTTAAAAATTACAATAATTTAGATGCGTGTAGGTAGTTACCAGTTTCACCACCAGGTGGCTCATTTGGGTCAAATAGCATGGCAGGTATAGTAGAAAGTTCCCTTTAACTTGAATATTCATCAGTTTCAGTGGATCAATTTTCATATCACCCTTATGTATCTAAAAGTTATGTAAATTAAAATACCCCCAGTAAAAGAAAATATTATCTCGAGAAAAGATATTTCACTTTTTGTGATTTTATAACATGAGATCTATGGGGAACCTCCACGAACTAGAAGACAAATTTTCAAAGAAAATTAAATTTTCAAAGTTTATAAACAAATTTTGAAACCACATATCTAGATGTACTTTTACACGTAGATTTCAAATATGACATCACTTTGAATATTGAATATTTAATGACGCAAACCCAGATTGTTTCTACTCGCATCTAGTCCATTGAAGAACTGAAATCATTACTCAAGAATTCTGGTAATGAACCCCTTTATCAGAACAATTCTTCGAGTAAACTCAAAGGCCTTAAATTGCGATAAGAAACATATGTGTTAAATATTTGAAGATGAAAACTGCGCAACAAGCATAACAAGTATTATATAATATGAACAAAGTATATTTATATTTACATACACACCCTTTTATGATACAATATATGTTGAAAAATTAGCCTTTTGGAAAAGTCCTTTTAAAATGTAATAGACTTGTTTTTACAGATTTTAGTCCCTGATATTGTTGTATTGTAAATTATGAGTTAGTAACAGTGTAACTTCACTGTTAAATGACTTGTTTGTTTTCCACATTACATTAATGGCAAATATATTTCTGAAACTTCCAGGGGCATTGCTAAGATTCAAAAAACAGATAATGCCAAAGTTTAAGCCAAAAAAAAAATTCCATACTTTTATACCTTTCTGTTTCTGTCAAAGAACACCAACAAAATTGTGTCTGTAAAATTTTGGCTCAGCTAAACTTAATGATCTTTTTAATCATAGAGTTAATATCAAGTACCATGCTCGGGTTCTTTGACTTGAAGGTCGAATACAGCGGTTAGTGTATGTTCTAGACAACATGGCACGTTCACTTATTGTTTTCATCATATTGCTCAATGTATTCACTCCCATTGCTGCTCTGCAATACCAGATGCTAGTTTCAGAGAAAACTTGATGTATACCATTAAGAGGTACCTGGAAAAAGTCATCACATTCTGGGTTCAACTTAGACATGTAAAGCTTGAATGATGTAACTGGGCAGTTTTTGGTTCCTGTTGCTTCAATAACTGGCGTCTTGTTCTTTTTCTCATTTGCCATCTCAATGTACTCAACTCCGTGACCATCCTTTTTAATGTTAAACGATGTTTTCTTCAACTCTCTTAAGTAATCCCTGCCTTTAGGGCCCATATGAAACATAAGCTCAAAAAACACCTTGTTTTGAAGTTTTTTAGGGTCATCATTGCTGAATACTATGTCACTACTATAAAGTTTTTTAAAATCATCAGGTTCAAAACCCTCCTTGTGCCTGATATCCTCAAGCCCTTGTCTTTTTAACTCCTTGATCACAGCAGAGAGTTGACGGTTTGCTAGTTTAAACTGATCACTCATCAAATATACATTTGCACCCAGGTCATAAATATGACGTTGAATTCCAGCTCGTAAATTTATCAATGACGCTTTCAAATAACTTGTTCCATTTTGCTTGACAACTGATCCATAGAACTTTCTCATCAGCTTTGGGAAGTCTTCACTTTCAATAAGTTCCTTGTCTAATACTTTACTCTCATTTTCAGTTTCACACAGCCAATCTGGAAAATAATATACATGCCTTAATAATAAAAAATAATTTATAAATATAATATCTGTTTATTATATGAGCTTACTACACTGTAAACTGCTTATAAGCATTCTCTTAAATTTTGTTTGTTTTTGTTTTTTACATTTCCAAATAAGACTAATCATACAAATTAGCGAAAATCATGCCAATAACCCTGATTACAGTTTTCAATTCATATTTTTTGATTATTGTTTAATAAATGTATAAATATGAACATATATGCAGTCTGTCAACATTGTGGACGAATGTGTTTTGAACAGTCGGGTACAAGATCCAAGACTCCATTTTTGGTAACAATCATAACTCATAACTGCTTCTTATCAAAATTTTCTAATTTTTTTTTCAAATGAGCGATAACTTTCAAATAATTATAAGTTGGTTAAATCATGTTTATTGAATATTCACTCAACATGTAAATAATTAAATAACACATACATATGAGCAAAATCTGTATATGAGTTATCAAAGATTATGTTTTTTTACTAAAATGGTGGCCATTTTGAAAATTTCTTCTTGAGCAGAGCTCCTTTGACCCTAGACATCACCATATGAAATTTGAACCAAATCTGTCCACTGGTATTTGGATTATCAAATATTGATAAATAGTGGCCATATTGAAAATCTCTTCTTGAGTGGAGCTTTTTTATTTCTGGGCATAAAATTTGAACCAAATCTGTCCATTTAAGTATCGTCCATGAAAAATGGGGCCAAAATTCAGCTTTCAACTTGAAAATCTCTTCTCAAGCAGAGCTCCTTTGTCCCTAGGCATCAGCATAATAAATTTGAACCAAATCCATTCACTGGCATTTGAGGTATCAAAGATTACAATTTTTTATGAAAAATGGCACCTATTTTGTTATTCTGAGTGCGGTCTTAAAAATATCTTTTTGACCAGAGTTCCTTTGTCTCTAGATTTTGGCATATAATATTTGAACAAATTCTGTCTATTGGTATTTGAGTAATCAGAAAATATATTTTTATGAAAAATGGCAGCCATTTTGAAATTAAGCAGCCATCTTGAAAATTCCTTCTCAGCCGGAGCTCCTTTGTCCCTAGGCATCAACATCTAAAATTTGAATCAAATCCACCACTGGTTTTTGATTTATCAAAGATAACATCATTTTAAAATAAAAATGGCAGCCATTTTGAAATTCAGCAGCCATCTTGAAAATCTCTTCTTGAGCAAAGCTCCTTTGTCTCTATGCATCAGTATATAAAATGGCCGAACGGACGGACAGACAGCTTTTCTGGGATAATTATTACTTAAAACATCAAATTAAACCTTACATAGGCACACAACTAGGCCTACATGTATTTGATCTAATGATCAAGTTGACATGCAGATTGCAGATATATTGTGATTTTATCTAACAAATATGGTTACTAAATTGGTGAATCAATATTTTCAAGATTTTTTAAGGGATTTATCCCAATTTTTCAAAAAAACTTTAAAATATTTGGGAACTGAATAATACAAAAATATCAATGAAATATAAATATATGTCTCTAAAATCACTTAAAAACAAGGCTTATATAAGATTTCAAAGCAGTACAACAAAGCCTTTATTACTGGATTTCTAAATTCAATGTCAATAATAACACCAGGGTATTGTGGACCATTTTTGAATTTCACTGGGTATTTTATTCTAATTAGGTGAATACCTGTGCACCTTGCACAAGTGATATTCCACAAAGCCCAAAGGGTTAGTGGAATATTACTTGTGAAAGTGTCACGGGTAGATTCAAAGGACACAGGTATTCACCGAAAATAGAAATATTTGTTTTAGTATTCACTTTTATATTCTTAACTCACATTAAAGGAAAAACAAACTATTGATCTCTAATTAATCATAACAATGTATTCATGGGATATAAAAAATTAAAAATTACACCAGACTAAGTCATGACTGGTGAAAATCATTTGATATTCAATGGAAGTTATGTGACTTCCGTTGAATAAAATCACTTATTATTTTTAGTCACATGTAAGAAATGGACCAATCAGAGAGTGATGAGAGATCATTGTTAGCCTATATTCTTAGCCCAAGTTAATTTACTGTATAATATCAAGCAAATCAATACCAATAATACCTTTGGATTTATACCAGAAGAAGTGATATTTCAGCAATGAAATTGACAGCCATTTTGAATCTTTGCGACATGTTTCGCTCAGAAGAAGTTTCATTAGCTCACATAATTCTTTCATATTTTATTGTATTCGGGGATTCCCCATTATGCAATCTCTGATCAAATTGCAGGAAGTGATCACATGAACTATCATGAGCACATGCCTTCTCAGTGGCAGGCATGCGCAAAGTAAAATTGAAATCGTTAAAATGACGCTTATTTCAGTTTAACATCAGTTCAACATCATCATTTCAAAACTACGGTAAAACTAATGAAGTTACTCGATCCAAACTTTCAGAGTTGGAAACCTACTTTTCTGCTCTAAAATGGCCACCATTTTAAAACAAGGGGAGCTTTTGAGATGCTACTTATGGGAAGATGAAACACTTTATATAGACACATTGTAGAAGTGAAACAATTTTTATTATAATGGAGATTTGAATAAGTTACAAATATGTTCACAGACAGATGGACGGACAGACAAGTGAGCACTACCATAGCTCAACCATGTAAAAGCTAAAGATAATCTAGCATTATGGAAAATAAATAAAAATAAAGATTTTGCTTACCTTGGAAGATTTTTATAGCCCACTGTGTTTGTCTCTTTGTTTTCTGTTCATGTCGACTATCTTCTCTTGCCTTCAAATCCGATTCGCTCACATTTTTAAATCGTTTATTAGCTTGACTAGGTTGATTAGGTAGGATATACCAGGTAGTTGCAGCCACCCTTGAAGTTGCCTCGTGTGATTCACCTAGACCTGGTTCTGAATCAAATCCGCGAGTGAATTCCTCCAGAAAATAAAGGACTTGAGGTGTCAACCCATGATTAGTAAGTGAAACCATGCATGAGTTGTAAATGTATAAAGCACCAAACCAAAGACCGCAAGTTGAGTCGTGAGTGTACAACGTCGAGTAAATGGTGTCACATATTAATGATGGCTCAACACGTCAAATCCTTATTTCATACATGGCAAAAAACACTTGTAACATTTTAATCGAGTGTGCTACTCACAATGACATTTTGCAAGGGCACAACATATTTTATGCATTATCATTATTGTTGCTTAATTTAATAACAAATCTAATGAAATTATTGATTAATCACATGAGAACATCATGGCCACTGCATTCTGATTGATCAGTGATAAAGCATCATGTTTCTCTGTTGACCAATCAAAATGTAGGACCAGAGTGCATGGCCTCACAGCTCAATTTGAGCTGCTGTTTTTTAATTTGTTTACTTTAAATTGGCCAAATGTCCTTTTAAAATTTAGTTCTTGCTTGCAAAATAAATTACATGTATCTTATCTGTAATACTTTGCCACAAATGAATATTACTTGAACATGGCAAGCCATCATTTACTTGTGATACCTTCAAGTTTGTTGTTATTGATTGGTCGACAGAGACAATGCATTCCAAGCCATGCGTCAAAAGTAAAACTGTCATTTTTCTCACTCATCAGAATTTGTATGGTTTGGAAAATCTCTGTATTTAATATTTTTCAAACATCAATACAATTGTAACAATGATTCTCCCTAGAATATTTTCTCAAGAAAGAGCAAATTTGCATGTTCAGTTCTTCAAAAGTTGGAATAATATTATAAATTCTTTAATCATGAATTAACTTTTGTTTATCAGGTGTATTTATCTTTTCAAAAAGCACAGGCCTATTTTCAAAATCTCAAAAGTGATCAAAATCATATGTTTCTTTCGATTCTAGGTAGATCATTGAAAATTACATTCAATTTATATATACCTTCATCATCATCATCATCATCAACATCATCTTGGTCCATCCTAGGTACAGGTTTAATCTTTCTTCCACTACGAGATTCCTGCAAAGGTGCCTCAACAATCTGTCGCGGCTGAACACGTTTGCGTTTATTGGTAACAGGTGGTGTTACAGACTGTTTCAACCTTTCAATTGTCTCAACCTTTGCTGGAAGGTCTAATGCCTCCTTAGGAGTTGAAAGCAGTGAATTAAGATGTTGATAATTGTCCATGTTTACATCAGTGGTATCTGTTGTTTCCATACCATATTCGTATTGTTCATTAAAGTCAACATCTTTAGCCTCAATCTTAATGTTTGTCTGGTCAGCAGTTGTGACAGTTTCATTCGTTTGCCATTGTGTTTGCTCATGAGGTTCAGATGGTGTTGGGCTTGAAATTGCACAATCTATAGCAGATATGAACTCCAGCATGTTTAGTCTATTTGCAAGCACCATTAAAGTAGATAGGTCACTTAGAGCTATCGTCAAATCCATTCCATACATGAAATCAACAGTCAGCGACATTAGCTCCTTTCTGACATCCAAGCCTAGCTTTGATAAATCGATCACAACATTTTTCCCTCCAGACTCTGACAACATTAGTACATAGCTGCTATACTCACATACAACTGCCCTGTGAGCATGTACCCATTCATTGCCAGCACATACAAATGTAATATCAGTAAACCTGGAGTTGGCCCTCAAGCTTTGTAGCTTTGTCTTCGCTATTGTGTTTGTGATGGAGATCACCTCTGGAGATGCCATTGTCTGACGCCTGAAATAATACACCAAAATTAAAATCATTAGACTACATTGTAATTCTCAATATTCGGGAAAGACAAAAAAGTCAAGTCTACTCCTCCTCAGCTCCATGCATGGAACCCCAGAGGACTGGCTCAAAAAGGTGGTCGCACCAAATGAGCTCCCCCCCCCTCCCCATTCTGATTGCACTTTGGTCCATTGATTACTTTTTTGAACAATAGACAGAATACCTCTGCCACAGACAGTACATGTAAACAAAGAAATTTATAGACAAATAAAAACACAAAAACACAAGTAAACCATTGCAATCATTTCATCAAATCATATTCCACATTTGCATTACACATTGTGCAAACTTATGACATCATTTAGACATATAGAGACATGTTCTGATGACAGTAAAATGATATACAAACCGCTAAATCTCAAAATTACTTGTGGCAACAATGGCGGATTTCATCTCATTATGTAGGTCAAGGTCATAGTTTCTAAGCCTTGAAAGCATTGTCTCTAACTGCCCATGAAAGCCATATTGAATATGTTACCATTGTTAGTTTCATTCATTTGATCATTCTACGCAATAAATATGTTCACGAAACTCGTGAATCAAATCTGAAACATGGACATGTGGATAATTCTAAAAATTAAAATTCGGAGCATTGGATTTGCAATTTCAAGAAATTCAAGCAAATCTAAACGATAAAAAGATGTGCAAGTAATAGCTTTACCTTTACAGAATCAAAATAATCCAATAAAAGCAAATGGTACCCCTTCAATCAGGAGAAATATGAAGTTTAATACAAAATTTTTTAAACTGCTCCGTCCGCCATTTTGAAAGTTTCCCAAACTAGATCACGTGACATAGGGAATCCCCCTTATAAAACCTAAACAAAGTCATGTTGACCAAACGTGTTACATATAAATATAGTTCAGTTTAGACGTTCCTCATTCTACACGAGTTCGTCCGACTGTGAACTGGACAAAGCAGAATTGAAATAAACTATGTCAGAACAGAGTGCACGTACAATTATCTATTTGCTGAGGAATGACCTGAGATATCACGATAATCAGGTTGGTGTGTTTTTATCTTGAAAATGACTCAAATTCATTTGTTTTTTAGGTGCTCTATGAAGAGAGAGCATGACTGAGCTTATCCCGTTCCCGGGAACGGGATAAGACTGAGCCCTCCTGCAAACACATAAATCAAATGTATCTGCACGACGGCCCCACGGACTTTTATTACCCAGGGGGCACCTTGTTTTATACCCCTCTGCTTTAGTCATAGGATGGGGCTAGCCACTACAGCCAAGACCAAAGGACTTGCAAGACCTTACAGTCTGTTACACTTAGTCATATAAATCCGACCGTTGTATGCTGTTCTTCGATATTCCTTGTTCTTATTTGGATATTTATTTTTTATCATTTTCTTTGCATACACGACGCTCGTATGCAAGAAAATAAGAAAAAATAAATATCCAAATCAGAAAAAATAGCAACAAATAACATCATACGAGGGTAGAATATGACTAGTTACACTCAAAGGCAAGCAGTTGAACCTGAAAATTAAGAAATCTATAGACCCATAATATATAGAAAAATATAAAAAAGTATATTTCAGATTATTCAGTGTTTAGTGCAATACCTCATGTAACTTGAGGTCTGTCCGCCGTGATATTTCTTGAGAATTAACATGGAAGAGAAGCATCAAAATGTAAGAGGTTACATATATACAAATGTCATTCCTGTGCAATGAATATATTTTTCTATATATAATTGCACAATATTATTTAGATATCTTATATTTTAGGTTTAACTGCTTGCCTTTGAAGCAGTATAACAGACTGTAGTAGCAACATGGACGTGCATTATCAGTTTCAAGGGTCATTACACCCTGAAGGACGATGTCCCATCGTAACTTGTTGCGTTAATAACTCTCACATAACATAACATCACTTATAAGGGTATAATTGTAATTAAATATTCCGTTCATCTTTCCACATGCACATATACGGAAGAGCCCGAAAGGGTACCAGAGATTACCAAACACAATGAGCACAATAATTATATGAACAACACAACATACCCTTTCGAGCAAACATACTGTATGCTAGGGGTTCAACATATGAAATACAGGGTGGGCCAAAAAAGACGCCATTTTTTTCAAGACACTATAACTTTTTTATTTTCCAACCTATATACCCCAGATTTTGCAGATATATAGTGCAAGGGGTTCTTAGTAATATTATGAGGGAACAAGTCCTTCAACTTGGATGATAGTTGATCTAAGAGAGGAGTTAAATTGGTCCACCATCCTCTTTGGTAATTGCTTTTAGTCTTAGTTCCCTTGCTGATATAGTATCAGTGAAATGTTGGATAAGTTGCAACCTGTCTTAATTGCATGCCAGCTTTAAGTGGGCAATTTTTTAGTTTTAGATTTGATGCCTTCAAACCATCTCCTGGAGACCTTCCTTACCCTATACTCACTGGGGATTGCGTCAGGACTAATAGCTTTGTGGTCATCAGGCCGGATCAGTTCAGGAACATTTTGCAAATTATGTTTCTTTCTCATGGCACACCACATGTTTAAGTGTGGTGCAGGTGACATATTTTATTTAAGTAAAAGTGTACAATTTATAATCCATGGCTTGATAGCATCTTCAAGTTTCATTTGGTATGCAAATTATGATTTTGTATCAAAAATTAAAAAAGTGTATTTTTTGGCCCACCCTGTATATAACTCTTGTTACATGATTTTACGGAACAACATATTACTTAACTTTACTTATATCAAGCTCTGTTATCTTTGTCAATATTACTTACTTAACACACAGTGTTAAGAAACGTGAAATGGTACATTATCTAATCTATATAGAGTGTCATGTCATAAAAGTCTTATATGGCCAACATACAATGTAAAGAAAATTGAACTCATGAACTGGTACCTTATTTAATCAATTATAGAGTCATGTAATAAAAGTCTTATTTGGTCAATAGTTCTCCTCTCTTGTGAATGTTCATATACTTCATATAAATATGTAGGGTGTCTCAAAAAATGTACCCAAAAGTATATCAACACCATAGACAAACCAATCAATATTTTCAGACATTTTTTGCATGCTATACACAGTTTTTAATTCAGTTTTGCCTTTTTGATACTTTAACCCGTTACCTTTTACACCACATATTCAATGTAATATCATATTTAAATGACAGTCTGCATCCTTACTACTACATTGTTCATCACATTATTGATATTTCTGGTGGAATGTTTTGATTTCTGTTCGGATGCTGGTCGTTGTTCTAGGTTTCTTAGGTTGGGTTTAGCATTAAAATGGTCCTTCAAATAGCCTCAAAGAAAAAAGTATGGGCCGTCAAATATGGTGAATAGGGAGGCCCTCACAATGTCTTATAGGCCCCTTATACAGATAGGTCCGAGGTTTAAGAAACTGCATTGGTTGTGATTCTAGTGTAGCTTTTGTTGAGGTGACTGTGTTTTCATTTGGATATCATTTGGTCTCGAGGCTAGCCTGCCTAACTCTGGAAGGTAATAACCCTGGAAGGTAACTCCTGAATCATTTGCCGATAATTGACCTGATTATCTGTGTTGGCTATTTGAAGGAGTGTTTTAATGCTCATTCCAAGCAAAAGGACCTAGAACAACTTAAGGGCAACATCCAAAGAGAAATTCAAAACATTCCATGGGAATTATTATCAAATGTGATGAACCATGTAGCAGTAAGGATACAGGCTGTCATCGCAATATGAGGTTACATCGATTATGTGGTGTGAAAGGTAAAGGGTTAAAGCATCAAAAAGACAAGACTGAAATAAAAATGTTTGGCTACATGACCATGCAAAAATGTCTGAAAATATTGATTGATTTATCTGTGCTCTTGATATACTTTTGGGTACATTTTTTGAGACACCCTGTATATATATCACTAAAATAAGTACCAACTGAATAGTCTCTGCTAAGCCTACATGAGCCTTAATAGTACATGCAATATGATAAAACAAATATACACATATAAAATACCAAAAGTTTATAAGTCTAACTAGTCTACCTGTTTCTGTCCTAATTGGACCATTCACCACTGGGGAGTTTAATTACAACCTTGCAAATTATGTTTCTTTCTCATGGCACACCACATGTTTAAGTGCAATGCTGGTGACATATTTCATTCAACTAAAAGTGTACAATTCATAATCCATGGCTAGATAGCATCTTCAAGTTTCTTTTGGTATGCAAATTATGATTTTGTATCAAAAATTAAAAAAGTGTATTTTTGGCCCACCCTGTATATTTACTCTTGTTACATGATTTTACGGAACAACAAATTACTTAACTTTACTTATATCAAGCTGTTATCTTTGTCAATGTTACTTACCTAACACACAGTGTTAAGAAACATGAAATGGTACATTATCTAATCTAACCCTACTATCACACCAAACTAGTTCTCACTGCGTTCTCGAAAACGGGCTTCAACTGTATACGAACGGACTGGACCTACTAAGAACCGTTTGGGATCTATTTACAATCTTCATCGAACGTACTCGAACGGGTAGTTCCTCTAGAACGTAGACAATGCTCAATATGTTCTCGTGGTCGTCACGTTCTACAATTAGAACGAGTGACAACGTACTAACGACGAGCTGGACGTACTACGAACGGAACCGTCGTACTTCAATCCTACTAGGGACGTTTTAACAACGAGTTGAACTGTCTGTGGACGTGTTGAGAACGAGGTAGAACTAATTGCAAACGGGTTTAAACTGATTAAGAACGTATTTAACACTGCTTATGAACGAGTTAGCAAAAATATAGCTATCACACCAAACAAGTTGCCACTGCGTTCTTCAAAACTGGTCTTAAACTGTGTGCGAACGGAATGAACGTAGCTGCAACTTTCTAAGGTCTATTTACGAACTTTATGAACGTTCTCAGACGGGAATGTGATTTTAGAATTTTGAATCGATTCAAAATTCGATGACGACCATACCGTTCTGTAATCAGGTCATGTTGACCTTCTAGACTAAGTGACGCGTTCTACGACGTTGCACTCCGACGTGGTGCGACCTGAACGAACTGCGAACGAGATGGACGTATTGAAGACTGTTTAAGAACGAAAAAGCTAATTATTTCAGACACATTTCCCGACCACAGCCAGATTGAGCCCGTTTGACGACGTTTTCGTAGGACTGGCAAGAACGGGTAAGAACTAGTTTGGTGTGATAGGGGGGTAATAGAGTGTCATGTCATAAAAGTCTTATATGGCCAACACACAATGTAAAGAAAATTGAACTCATGAACTCAAAGTCTTATTTGGCCAATAGTTCTCCTCTCTTGTGAATGTTCATATACTTCATATAAATATGTAGGGTGTCTCAAAAAATGTACCCAAAAGTATATCAACACCATAGACAAACCAATCAATATTTTCAGACATTTTTTGCATGCTATACACAGTTTTTAATTCAGTTTTGCCTTTTTGATACTTTAACCCGTTACCTTTTACACCACATATTCAATGTAATATCATATTTAAATGACAGTCTGCATCCTTACTACTACATTGTTCATCACATTATTGATATTTCTGGTGGAATGTTTTGATTTCTGTTCGGATGCTGGTCGTTGTTCTAGGTTTCTTAGGTTGGGTTTAGCATTAAAATGGTCCTTCAAATAGCCTCAAAGAAAAAAGTATGGGCCGTCAAATATGGTGAATAGGGAGGCCCTCACAATGTCTTATAGGCCCCTTATACAGATAGGTCCGAGGTTTAAGAAACTGCATTGGTTGTGATTCTAGTGTAGCTTTTGTTGAGGTGACTGTGTTTTCATTTGGATATCATTTGGTCTCGAGGCTAGCCTGCCTAACTCTGGAAGGTAACTCCTGAATCATTTGCCGATAATTGACCTGATTATCTGTGTTGGCTATTTGAAGGAGTGTTTTAATGCTCATTCCAAGCAAAAGGACCTAGAACAACTTAAGGGCAACATCCAAAGAGAAATTCAAAACATTCCATGGGAATTATTATCAAATGTGATGAACCATGTAGCAGTAAGGATACAGGCTGTCATCGCAATATGAGGTTACATCGATTATGTGGTGTGAAAGGTAAAGGGTTAAAGCATCAAAAAGACAAGACTGAAATAAAAATGTTTGGCTACATGACCATGCAAAAATGTCTGAAAATATTGATTGATTTATCTGTGCTCTTGATATACTTTTGGGTACATTTTTTGAGACACCCTGTATATATATCACTAAAATAAGTACCAACTGAATAGTCTCTGCTAAGCCTACATGAGCCTTAATAGTACATGCAATATGATAAAACAAATATACACATATAAAATACCAAAAGTTTATAAGTCTAACTAGTCTACCTGTTTCTGTCCTAATTGGACCATTCACCACTGGGGAGTTTAATTACAACCTTGCAAATTATGTTTCTTTCTCATGGCACACCACATGTTTAAGTGCAATGCTGGTGACATATTTCATTCAACTAAAAGTGTACAATTCATAATCCATGGCTAGATAGCATCTTCAAGTTTCTTTTGGTATGCAAATTATGATTTTGTATCAAAAATTAAAAAAGTGTATTTTTGGCCCACCCTGTATATTTACTCTTGTTACATGATTTTACGGAACAACAAATTACTTAACTTTACTTATATCAAGCTGTTATCTTTGTCAATGTTACTTACCTAACACACAGTGTTAAGAAACATGAAATGGTACATTATCTAATCTAACCCTACTATCACACCAAACTAGTTCTCACTGCGTTCTCGAAAACGGGCTTCAACTGTATACGAACGGACTGGACCTACTAAGAACCGTTTGGGATCTATTTACAATCTTCATCGAACGTACTCGAACGGGTAGTTCCTCTAGAACGTAGACAATGCTCAATATGTTCTCGTGGTCGTCACGTTCTACAATTAGAACGAGTGACAACGTACTAACGACGAGCTGGACGTACTACGAACGGAACCGTCGTACTTCAATCCTACTAGGGACGTTTTAACAACGAGTTGAACTGTCTGTGGACGTGTTGAGAACGAGGTAGAACTAATTGCAAACGGGTTTAAACTGATTAAGAACGTATTTAACACTGCTTATGAACGAGTTAGCAAAAATATAGCTATCACACCAAACAAGTTGCCACTGCGTTCTTCAAAACTGGTCTTAAACTGTGTGCGAACGGAATGAACGTAGCTGCAACTTTCTAAGGTCTATTTACGAACTTTATGAACGTTCTCAGACGGGAATGTGATTTTAGAATTTTGAATCGATTCAAAATTCGATGACGACCATACCGTTCTGTAATCAGGTCATGTTGACCTTCTAGACTAAGTGACGCGTTCTACGACGTTGCACTCCGACGTGGTGCGACCTGAACGAACTGCGAACGAGATGGACGTATTGAAGACTGTTTAAGAACGAAAAAGCTAATTATTTCAGACACATTTCCCGACCACAGCCAGATTGAGCCCGTTTGACGACGTTTTCGTAGGACTGGCAAGAACGGGTAAGAACTAGTTTGGTGTGATAGGGGGGTAATAGAGTGTCATGTCATAAAAGTCTTATATGGCCAACACACAATGTAAAGAAAATTGAACTCATGAACTCAAAGTCTTATTTGGCCAATAGTTCTCCTCTCTTGTGAATGTTCATATACTTCATATAAATATGTAGGGTGTCTCAAAAAATGTACCCAAAAGTATATCAACACCATAGACAAACCAATCAATATTTTCAGACATTTTTTGCATGCTATACACAGTTTTTAATTCAGTTTTGCCTTTTTGATACTTTAACCCGTTACCTTTTACACCACATATTCAATGTAATATCATATTTAAATGACAGTCTGCATCCTTACTACTACATTGTTCATCACATTATTGATATTTCTGGTGGAATGTTTTGATTTCTGTTCGGATGCTGGTCGTTGTTCTAGGTTTCTTAGGTTGGGTTTAGCATTAAAATGGTCCTTCAAATAGCCTCAAAGAAAAAAGTATGGGCCGTCAAATATGGTGAATAGGGAGGCCCTCACAATGTCTTATAGGCCCCTTATACAGATAGGTCCGAGGTTTAAGAAACTGCATTGGTTGTGATTCTAGTGTAGCTTTTGTTGAGGTGACTGTGTTTTCATTTGGATATCATTTGGTCTCGAGGCTAGCCTGCCTAACTCTGGAAGGTAATAACCCTGGAAGGTAACTCCTGAATCATTTGCCGATAATTGACCTGATTATCTGTGTTGGCTATTTGAAGGAGTGTTTTAATGCTCATTCCAAGCAAAAGGACCTAGAACAACTTAAGGGCAACATCCAAAGAGAAATTCAAAACATTCCATGGGAATTATTATCAAATGTGATGAACCATGTAGCAGTAAGGATACAGGCTGTCATCGCAATATGAGGTTACATCGATTATGTGGTGTGAAAGGTAAAGGGTTAAAGCATCAAAAAGACAAGACTGAAATAAAAATGTTTGGCTACATGACCATGCAAAAATGTCTGAAAATATTGATTGATTTATCTGTGCTCTTGATATACTTTTGGGTACATTTTTTGAGACACCCTGTATATATATCACTAAAATAAGTACCAACTGAATAGTCTCTGCTAAGCCTACATGAGCCTTAATAGTACATGCAATATGATAAAACAAATATACACATATAAAATACCAAAAGTTTATAAGTCTAACTAGTCTACCTGTTTCTGTCCTAATTGGACCATTCACCACTGGGGAGTTTAATTACAACCTTGCAAATTATGTTTCTTTCTCATGGCACACCACATGTTTAAGTGCAATGCTGGTGACATATTTCATTCAACTAAAAGTGTACAATTCATAATCCATGGCTAGATAGCATCTTCAAGTTTCTTTTGGTATGCAAATTATGATTTTGTATCAAAAATTAAAAAAGTGTATTTTTGGCCCACCCTGTATATTTACTCTTGTTACATGATTTTACGGAACAACAAATTACTTAACTTTACTTATATCAAGCTGTTATCTTTGTCAATGTTACTTACCTAACACACAGTGTTAAGAAACATGAAATGGTACATTATCTAATCTAACCCTACTATCACACCAAACTAGTTCTCACTGCGTTCTCGAAAACGGGCTTCAACTGTATACGAACGGACTGGACCTACTAAGAACCGTTTGGGATCTATTTACAATCTTCATCGAACGTACTCGAACGGGTAGTTCCTCTAGAACGTAGACAATGCTCAATATGTTCTCGTGGTCGTCACGTTCTACAATTAGAACGAGTGACAACGTACTAACGACGAGCTGGACGTACTACGAACGGAACCGTCGTACTTCAATCCTACTAGGGACGTTTTAACAACGAGTTGAACTGTCTGTGGACGTGTTGAGAACGAGGTAGAACTAATTGCAAACGGGTTTAAACTGATTAAGAACGTATTTAACACTGCTTATGAACGAGTTAGCAAAAATATAGCTATCACACCAAACAAGTTGCCACTGCGTTCTTCAAAACTGGTCTTAAACTGTGTGCGAACGGAATGAACGTAGCTGCAACTTTCTAAGGTCTATTTACGAACTTTATGAACGTTCTCAGACGGGAATGTGATTTTAGAATTTTGAATCGATTCAAAATTCGATGACGACCATACCGTTCTGTAATCAGGTCATGTTGACCTTCTAGACTAAGTGACGCGTTCTACGACGTTGCACTCCGACGTGGTGCGACCTGAACGAACTGCGAACGAGATGGACGTATTGAAGACTGTTTAAGAACGAAAAAGCTAATTATTTCAGACACATTTCCCGACCACAGCCAGATTGAGCCCGTTTGACGACGTTTTCGTAGGACTGGCAAGAACGGGTAAGAACTAGTTTGGTGTGATAGGGGGGTAATAGAGTGTCATGTCATAAAAGTCTTATATGGCCAACACACAATGTAAAGAAAATTGAACTCATGAACTCAAAGTCTTATTTGGCCAATAGTTCTCCTCTCTTGTGAATGTTCATATACTTCATATAAATATATATATATATATCACTAAAATAAGCACCAACTGAATAGTCTCTGCTAGGCCTACAAGAGCCTTAATAGTACATGCAATATGATAAAACAAATATACACATATAAAATCTCAAAAGTTTACAAGTCTACCTGATTCTGTCCTAATTGGACCATTCGATTCCCCACTGGAGAGTTTTATTTGTCTGGAGGTTTTGGAGGTACAACCTTGATAGGACTATTCTCTACTAAACTTTGTCCCCAAGTATGCCCTGATGGGTCTTGTATTTGCACATCTTCATGTCCACATGGCACCAATGCCCTTTTATTTCTGCGAATAGCCCTGTTTGGAGTTTGGACCTCATACGACCTTGCCATAGGCAAGACTTTAGTAACCTCACCCAAGGGAAAATAGCAAAATCAACTATGGCATAACAAAATAAGGTAATTCATGACCATAATGGTTTGTTTTGTTCAGCCTGCATTCAACTGCGTTGCATGTTAAACAAGCTAAAATAGCTTCAGAATGTTTGACGTCATGTCGGTCCCAGGGTACCTATACCTCCTTCACGGGAATAAAGATAAATCAAGATATATTACATTTTTTGTTTTCAAATCTTTAGAGTTGATAGATAATTGAATGATATCACTGGTAAGAGTATCGAAGGTATTGGTCTATAAAAAGCATCAGTGTAAAAAAGCGTCAATTACTTATTTTTCACCCCTCGTACATGTACATGTAGTTTTCTTGCAGATTAGGTGGAATTTTTATTATTCAACTTTTGATATTTGGGCACTACATATATCTATAGTTGTGTATTATTTGTATTTGTAGTTTTGAAAAATGCCCCTTTCATGCACTTCAAATAGGCCTACCCTTTATATTTCAGGTACTGTCCTGGGCATGTCAAAATGCAGAGTATCTTGTGCCCCTCTACTGTTTTGACCCAAGAAATTTCAAAGAAACAAACCATTTCAACCTACAGAAAACTGGACCCCATAAGCTAAAGTTCTTACTCGAGAGTCTTGCAGATTTGAAAAATACATTTGAATCAAAAGGAAGGTGGGTGAATTTATTTTTATTATAACAAATACATTTAACACAAATGGATATTTATACTTAATTACTCGAAAAGTCATCGACTATATAAGAGGACAGTGGGGACAGGGTGGACTTACAAGACTTTACTATTCCAAAACTTACTTCCCATTTTCAATTACCTGCGGAATCCAGACTATCCATAAACTTAACTGACAAAGAACCTGTTTCTCCAGTATGGAGTTGTGAATTTATGAATACAGTGTACCTGAGTTTTAATCCTAATTTATGTCACATAAGGCAAAACCTCTGAATACCTCTCAATATGTATGCTGTCTTTGTCCCATTTTTAAATCTGCCAAATACTCCAATGTTTAAAGGCTCTCAATGTGAATAGATACACATCTAAACACCTTTGCAATTGTCTCTAGTTTAATGATCACATTGTTTATAAATGCATGTACAGTATATACATGATCTAAATTGTTGCAGTGTTACATATGGGTTCCAACTGAGATTCAGGATTCAATCATTTCGAAGTATTCGGAGTGGCTATACAGAAAAATGACTAAATACTGACATTGATATTTCCAGCAATCTGTTGATCAGGAATGGGAAACCAGAGACTGTTATATCAGAACTGATCAAGGTCATCGGCAAAGATAATGTATCCCTTGCCTGGCAGGAAGAGGTCACCAAAGAAAAAACAGATGTTGAAGATGCTCTTAAAGCACTTTGAGTACCTGTTGAAACATTTTGGGGTGCTACGCTATACCATAAAGATGATATACCATTTAAAACAGCTAACAGGTAAAATCTGGATACAAGATTAAAAAAATGAATTAGGCAAAACATAAAATAATGAGGATTACTATATTATCTGAAATACAAATACCCGTGGTTTTAATTGTGACATTCTTTTCATGTACCTCACCTGTGCATTTAAACCAAATTTTTCTTTATTGAAACTGAAGAATAAACATTTCGTTTCAGTCTTCCTGATGTGTATTCACAATTTTGTGCAGAAGTTGAGAAAACTTCAAAGGTCCAGGCCCTACAAAACATGCCTGACAGACTCCTGCCCTTACCCTCTGGACTTGACCCACAGCAACTTCCCACAATGTCTGACTTAGGGGTACAAGGTAAGTGTAGTAAAACTCAATAAAACCATTATATCAGTGTGTTTTATTGGCATATCTAATTGCATGGAAACACTGGAAAAATGAGTTATCATTTCGTAACATTTTTGACCAATCAAAATACGGTTTCACTGCACATACTGTAACTCATAAATGGTCTAACACATTAATAATGCATTTTAATGTTTAAATCCCTCACTTGATATATTTAGAAATCGCACCTGACAAAAGATCTGCATTTCCTTTCTCTGGCGGAGAGACCAGTGCGTTAGATAGACTTAATAAATACCTCTGGGAGACTGACAGTGTGGCTGTTTACAAGGAAACCCGTGATGGGATGGTCGGATCAGACTATTCAACTAAGTTTTCAACTTGGTAAGGTGATAAGGACAAGAGATATTTCATGGATGATATCTTGAGTTTTTGAGGACAACAATCTTTATCAGAAAGTATCACCACAACAAGCAAATGTCATATTTTACAATTGCTGTAACATGTGAAAGAATAATCGTAGCTAGCATTACATGTATGTCACACTCAAGAATTTTAACATATTTTCACAGCTTCCATTTAGTCACCAACTGCCATTTTTGCAGATGGTGCTAATACTTCATAAATTAATATTTTAGGTTAGCAAATGGGTGTTTATCTCCACGACAGATCTATTGGGAACTCAAGAAATATGAGTCAAAGAGAACATCAAACCAGTCCACACATTCGGTTGTATTTGAACTGTTGTGGCGCGACTACTTTAAGTATGTTGGACTGAAACATGGAGATAAACTTTTCAATTTAGATGGTGAGTCAAAAAATCACGGAAATTTACTAGTAGGTTAAAAATAAGTATATTAGACCCTAGAGTGGAAAACTTTTTATGCAACCACAAGAAGTGGTGAAGTATTGTTATAGTCTCTTACTTTTTATGGTTGGTGTTTGGTTGTCATTGTCTGTATTGTATTGTATCTTTATTTACCCTTTTCAAATATAAGTGAGCTACAAGTGTACCAAAAGGCAAGGAGTGACATTTTGCATGCCAATTCCCTGTATCATACTGAATTGGAACAGCCAAAATGTAGTACAATAAGTAATTGCAATATCCATTCTTACAGGTATAATGGGGAAGCAAATAGAGTGGAAACAAGACCAAAAACTATTTGAAGCTTGGAAAGGTAAAACAATACTTTTAATATACAGCATAGCAAGGTATTCATATTTGAAGAAAAAGATTAAATTCACTCAAATCAGAAATAACTCATTGAAATTCTTGTTTGTTGGTTACTAAGTAGCAGTGTCAATAATGCCAGGTTAATTGACTGTATTTCAATTATTTGAGTCCTTATTCGTATCATCCCTCATTCTTTATACTTATTTCTTAAAGATTAAGAGTTTCAGGTTGTTTTCTTTAAAGAAATCTTCAATGAATTTAGCCATTGATCTTTCTAATGATTTGATATACAGGGTGGGTAAAAAAAGTCAATGCACAAGTTCAAAGAAAAAATGTCAAATGATATGTTCAACCATGTCATGTATAATATATCATTTTAAAGATGAGTCATTTCTTAACAATATGACACCATCCAATTAGAAAAACAGTGTTAATTCTCATTGACTGTCTATCACAATAGTAAAAGTTTTAATATGAGTCTATTGTTACTATATTTTAGAGGGTAGAACAGGTGTCCCTTATGTTGATGCAAACATGAGAGAGATGGCAGCTACAGGATACATGTCAAACAGAGGCAGACAGGTAAGCTGTAGTGTAAAGTGAAACCTGTATATCTGAACACCTCTCCAATCTGAACACCTATCAATATGAACACATTTTATTTGTCCCAAATTTATTATCTCCCATTGACTTCATGTTAATTATACCTTGAAATGTGAACATCTGTAAATCAAGACACTTTTGGACAGTCTCATATTTCTTTGACAGGTTTTACTTTAATTGATACGTGTATATAGACTTGAAATTAGGGCTCACTGGGAGCCAACAACCACTGTTTCTCCTCATAAAATTCTGGTCTACATTTTGTTGATTTCTTGAAATAGTCCAATGTCAAAATGTACAGTTTTTGTATAATTTTCCAATTTCTTAAATATAGGGCTTAACTGGATGTATACTACCTTTTGGTAAGCTTCAAAATATTTTTGGTTCCAATAAAATTCCAATTAGAGAATAAAAGGATTTGATCCCCATAAGATCTAATTGCATATGTTTATTTTTACACCATGAAGTTTGATTTGCAGAATGTTGCTAGTTTTCTCACTAACGATCTGAAGCTGGATTGGAGGATGGGAGCAGAATGGTTTGAATCTATGCTGGTAAGTAATTAAGCTTTTCATAGTGGAAAAAATCCTCAGTTGCAATATTATGTCGGTGATATTGTTAATTTGTATTTGCATTATAATAGAGCATGTTCCAAAAGGGTCAGAAAAATAATGCAATTAGTCCGCTGTTTTAGATTGACCATGATGTCTGCAGTAACTATGGCAATTGGCAATATAGCGCTGGTATTGGCAATGACCCCAGTCAAGACAGGAAGTTCAACGTGGTGAAACAGGGACTTGATTACGACCCCCAGGTAATACCCATGATACAGATTCATGTTAAATCAAAATGTAGGATGGGATAATTGTATTGATAAAATTTGGCACATTTTTCTGTTAATAATAGCTGTGTCATGTTACCATCTTACTTAAAACATCCAGGTCGTACAGTATTGAGATCATCTCTGATTTAGATAAGTTTTAAAATGGATAAAACATGACTCTAAAGTGCATTGACTTTGTATTCTCACATGAAGCACGATTTTATTTTTAATTAATTATTAAAAAGCACAAAGGGCAACATACTAATCCAAAGCACAAATTCATTTCAATCATGAATTCTTTTTGCAGTCTATGTATTGTATATGTTAATGTCATTATCTGAAATAAGAAAAAATGAAATCTTGAATCAACTGTTTTCTATACACCAGAAAAAAACAGTAGTTGTATACCTGTATTTGTGGAGAAGCTTTGGTCCTCTGAAAGTTCAACTTGAAAGGTGATTCACTTACCAAAGTTCATTTAACATTAAATCAATGTGTCATCTATTAAACTCCCATGGAATTCAGCTTCATAGAATTAGACCTGAATTATCATAGGATTACATAAACATATTTATGTTATTTTATTGTACATTGTATATTATCTAGGGAGAGTATGTGAGACTTTGGGTGCCTGAGCTTGAGAATATCAAAACTGGTGATGTGCACACCCCTTGGGCTCTATCTACAGGGCAACTGGCTGATGCTAACTTAGAGCTAGGCACCACATACCCTAATCCAATAGTGGTTGCTCCTGAGTGGAGCACACAGTAAAAAGGTAGGTTTACACTTCTATGATGAATTCAACAGAGGTGCACTTCTGAGAGAGCTTCTTAAAGGAATATTCCTCCCAGCTGGAAATGATAACACCTAAGAAATACAATGTTTTAAATGACTAAACTGAACACTACACTCTGTTATGACCAGAATGGTGCAAAATTGTAAGTCATGTTGCTTGAATAATATATTATTTGTCACATTTAGAATCAATTGCATCCGCATGGCAGTTCAATCCATTCCCTAGACCTTAAGACTAATAAAGTAAAACCTGTCTTAGTGGAACACCTTTGGTACCTCTTAAAGGTGATCCACTTGTGTGTGAGGTTTTCCACTATAGAGGTTCATTTAACTGCTTTAAGTCAATTGGTCTTGGGACTCTTAAAAGCGTTCCACTTATAGAGGTGTTCCACTTTTAAAGGTGTTCCACTTAACAGGTTTTACTGTTCTAAGATAGTGTTTTACTGTATTAAGATTTTTTTCTCTCAGTGCATTAATCTACTATTTCAACAGAGCCTTTTTTCTTTTACTGCACTTAAGTCATTTATTTTGATAAAATTGATGTACCGAGTCTCTACATTTAAGCTATTAACTTTCAAGGTGCAATTACACCTTCAGTACTCATAGTTGCCAACTTACCCATTTGTATGGCTGATTACTGCTTGTAGTTTAGCCACATTTACCAAGTTATACATACATTTAATAATCTCTTCATTTTTTGCTGTATTTTCAGGTGGTTCAGCTAGAGGGTCAGGTCGTTGAGGGGGTAAAGTTAGAGGGGGACGGAATAGTAGCCGTGGGGGGAGAGGACATCAAAGAGGCATTGACTTCTACTTCCAGAACTCGAACCCAATAACATAGTGTTCCTAGAGTTTGACATTCAATAAAATGTTTCTAGAATTCCACAGTTCAACGTAGTGATCCTAAAGTTGGACATAGTGTTCTCATCAATACTACTACTCACACATGTTTGTGGAACACCTTCATATCTCTAAAAAGTGTACTTGGGAGGTGTTTCGCTTACAGTGGACCATTTTGAACTTTAACTCAGTTGGTCATTGTATAGTACAATACGCTGGCTTTTATCTGCAAGATCATTAGACTACAGGATTTCATGATTTAAAAAGGTTATTAGTTTTTTTCTTTCTTACCTCTGCTCACTCTTTGCTTATAATTATTTTGTACCATACATTAATGTTCATTTATAATTTAATCATGTTACTTACCAATGGACTGGTCAAATGTTAAATTGGGATGTAGTATACTGCATTTAAATTCAAACTATTGAATTATTGTGAAAAATCCAAAGCCGGATCGTACAATTTCGTTATACAGGTGTAAAACAGAGTATTTGTCATATTGTTCCACAGTGAACATTAATAATACTATGTCATTGACAATACTTTTACAATTGTACAATATACATATATACTCATACTGTTTGAAAATATAACAAGCAATTCCTGCTAATGATATATAGATTTCATCTCTAGTTTCTGTTGCATCATTGAATAAAGGACCCATGGCCCTGTGCCCACACAGTAAATTATAAACACATTATGATATTGTTTGGAAAGGATTCACTGTGCACAGAAAAAACTCTTTTTGTCCAAATGCCAAAGTTACTAAGTCATTAAGTAACTCAGACTTAGACTTAGGTAGTTAATAAGTTATTGAGTTAGTTACTTAGTTACTTAATTAGTTACTTAGTTACTTGAAAACAATTTTTAATTACAAAACCTGCCATTAATTTTATACATAAGAAAGTGAGATGAAAATGACAAAGGCCAAAAATTAATTTGAAAAGCAACAATTTGAATTTGATCTCGAAAATGTTTGAAAGTAGGAGGGAAATACGCGCAACAGATTTCGGACAGTCATATGTTGGATTTTGGCTAATTGCTGAGGATTTAAACAGGTGAATATGTTAGGCCAATGCAATACCTACAGGAAAAACACTTCTAGAGATGATAAAATAGTTTTGAGTTTGAGACAGGGTAGTTTCAAACAACCCACCCACATGTTTTTTGAAATGATTTTCTGATTTTCAACACCTTCCACTCCGATTTTTATATTTTTCTTGCATAAATATATTGCGTTTTGACACAAAGTTAGCCCCTTTAAAGGAATAAGTGATTCCTTTTAAATAAAGTGGAAAACCATAATCACCTATAATGGAAATCTTTAAAATCCCTGTAGGAATTACTTATTCCTTAAAAGTGGTTAACTGTGTGTCAAAACACAACATATTGATGCAACAAAAATTAAATAAAAAGCAGGGGTGGAAGGGGTTGAAAATCATAACAACATTTCAGAAAAAACATGTGGGTGGGTTGTTTGCACCTCCCCTGTCCCTAAGTCAAAATTATTTTATCATCTCTATGAGTGCTTTACCTGGAGGTAATGCATTGATCTAACATAAACACCTGTTTAAATCCTCAGAGAATAGCCAAAATACAATATATGACTGTCCAAAATATGTTGCACTAATTTTCCTCCTCCTTTGACTTCTCACTTTTTGTGTTAATATATCTCAAAATGGGTGAGGGCATCAAATTATTTTCAAAAAGAAATTGGCTAAATTGAAGCAAGTTGAAAAATGACCTATTTTTACCATTTTTTATTTCAAAAATGGTTGAAAAATACTGACATATAGTGAGAAATTTCTAAGGAATACTTAAATCCAGTTAAAATTAAATTCACCACAAGATATAATGAAGTATAAGGACAAGTTGAAGGAGAAAGGGTATGGGGAAGAATAAATAGATAAAGCTTTTAAAAAAAATATGAAATTGACAAAAGACCAACATTTTATCAAATTTTATATGGTAAACACCGAACACTGTAATTCCAAGAGCTTTGAAGTCTCAAGAGGACATATGTTGCAAATACAACATCAATACATTTGAAAGTTATACTTAACAAAGTGTCTGATATATTTAAAGAAAATTTGACTTTTTAACATTAAAATCTGTAATTTCTTGGATTGAGTGAACTTGACACAATATAAATAGACACTATAGATATATATTTAATGAATGTAATGTGGACTAACATTAATAAATAAGGCCTTAGAAGGCCCGTTTATGACCAAAAATGCCCACTTTTTGGGGCCCACCTCGCCCCCCAGATCCGCCAGTAATATGTACTTTATGCGATTTCAACTAGTTTACCACGATACAATTGAAAATATCCCAAGTAAAAAAGAAATCTAATATACCACTAATACATCACCAATAGATCACCAATACACCATGAAAACTGATTTAGCCAAGTGGTTTATAAGTTATGTATTAAAACTGGCATTACTCAACACGGTGTTATAGCATGACAGTTACGACACCTCTGAAAACGAGATTAGACGACTACGATCACTGATTTATCCAATAAAATGGCCGCGGTGGAACAGAAAACAAAGGTTGGTGCATTATTTTCTACTACTTTATATCAATGAAAGGATGAACGATTTTTGTAGGCATCGTATTCGGTGATGCATTTAGTAATGTATATTTTGAACGTATTCTTTGCAAATTGGTGCCTGCCCAATTGAAAAAAAGCCTATGGAAAATCATCTCCAATTATCACCTAACTTACTATTGATAATTAGTTGAGAGTTAGGTGTAAAAATTCACATGCAAATGAGCTAATTATCAACTTAATTAACGCTTAATTTGCAACTTAATTAACGATTAACTACCATCAATATGCAAATGAGCTATTTACGTAAATTAGTTGAAAGTTAGTTGTAAGTTTGATGTAAGTTAATCTCTAATTATCACCTAACTTACTATTGATAATTAGTTGAAAGTTAGGTTTAAGTCAGATTTGTGACATCTCAAAAATGACTCGCTTCTTTTTTGCTTCCCTTCACTCAGAGATTTTTGCTTCATCTTGTACTATTTTGTGACGGAATATTCATCTTAATTAGGATCTTTCAGAACAGACAACATTGAACTTGAACTATTGAAATTTCACAGCAAGAGGAGGGAAAACCCCATGATTCAATTGATGACATACGATTTGCTCCTTCACACACCTTTTGTCGAAAACGTACCCTCCATCTTGGTTTTTAAAGTTTTCAAATTGACCTAGTTTTAAACCAATCAACGATCGACTCGCTAAACCAATCAGCGACGATGTCATCTCAATACAGATTTACATTATAAGCGTATGTCATCTTTGAACCCTGGGGTTTCTCCCCCTCTTTTTAAAGCTATTCTATTTTGCAAATTTTTAAGATTCATGAAAAGCATGTGAAAACATCATTATTGCCATCAACAACTAAAATCAGAACACAAACATTAGACTATAATGTTACATAATAAGGACGTAACAGATATAATCAAAAATATGCTTTGAAATGTCTTTGATCTAACAATCACTATTTAGAAGAGCACATTTGGATTACTTGTGAAATATAGGTAACCCATGTTAGTACCTAAATTGCATTCTAGGATTAATATTATATGATCTGATTCAAAAAGATTTTTAAATTCATAAACACTTCAGACAGAAGTGTGAATTGATTTAACATACATTGTATTCATGTTCTACATACCCTGATAATAATGTTGACCAAATTTCATGGTAGTACACGCACCATTCACGTTGTAATTCTCAATTTTATGAGAGAAATATCTTTATTTATTTATTATTTTTATTATTTATTATTTAGAAGAAAAAAATGTATTTACAATAATAATACATGACTAATACTGACACCAAATGGCATATAAAAGTATAATGTCAAGTGTGAATCTTGCCTACAGGCGAGAAAGAGGACATGCTGTCTTTCCCATCCGCCATTTTTTGTTATCCTTACCGCAAAATTTTGCAAATCGCCTTGATGTAACCATCATGCTATAACACCGTGGGTTTGTTAGTTGTGTATCAACTCGATTTTTCTGGAATGGTCTATTAGTAGTGTATTAAACTGATCCTTGATTTTTATTGATAAATATGCATAAGAATTGATTAAACCAAGAGGGGCCTAGTACAATCATCCATGTTAAATATAAAGGTGACAATTATTTAGTCAATATATCTGCAAGGGCTACAAAAATCGTAACACATTGAACAATAGTGTATATAAACATAATAAATGTTCGTTTTATTGATAAATATGCATAAGAATTGATTAAACCAGGAGGGTCCTCGTGCCATCCTCGCCATGTTAGATATAAAGGGGACAATAATTTAGGGCAAGGGCTAGCAAAAGTAACACATCGAGCAATAGCTCATATAAACATAATATTCGCTCATTTTTAATGATGAATATGCATATTGTATGTATAATTTATTTACCTCTTAAATAAAAGAGAGTTACATTCATATTAACATGTAGAGAAAATTAAATAAAATTATAAAACATATTTGTGTTACTTGATGTAAGGTAAAGAGGATAACTAACTTTTATCCACAAGAAATTGCCTATGCCTGTGTAACTCGTACACATGCATAGCTATGAGTAACAGAGTCTCCTTATCATCATTGTATACAGTTCCTAGAATCACTTTAAGAATATAATCGTCGTTCATTACATTCAGATTACCCCTCGCTAAATTGAGTAAGGGTTTTCTAACATCAGTAAAAGCTGGACAAGTAATCAAGAAATGCTTAACACTTTCTCTTTCGTTAAGATCACAAAATATACAGATTTCTGATAAAGTTGTGTCACCCTCACGGCGTCTACTGTTAAAATATGTCGAGGTTAATAATTTGACCATCATTTTACAGAGGTATAATACATTGGGGTTTTCTTTTGCGATCACCCACCATACATTCGGTTTTAGGATAGACAACGATCCTGTCACCACGTTTAGATTTTTATACATTAATGATGATAAAACAGTACTATAATTGTGAAAACTCTTGACACGTCCGTAGACTACAGTTCTAAATTCTTGTTTTGAAGGGATTTCTGCATTAAAAATCATGTTCTTAACATAGTCTATGAGGTTGTACTGCACAACAGTATCCCACATTTGAGATAATGGAGATTTCAGACCTTGAGATGATGATTTTAAATACATCATCCGTATTAACCTTTCTAAACAAATGACCTTATATATACAGCTTACAGGTAGCCTTAACAACATATACAGAAACATCAATCTATCACAGTCAATTTTTGCTTTAACAGACATCCATCCAAGCAGACTAGTGGCGACAGGGTCTGGCGTATTCTTTGGTAATGTCTGAATGCGTTTTCCGACCTCTTTGTGCAGACCTTCCATTAGATTAATGTCATTGTTAGTGTAAGGTATTACTGCACAACCATAAGTCAGAGTTGGATAGGAGAATGACCAGTACAGCTTTGATCCAAGCAAGGGATGCATACCACCGTACCCATTGCCTAGACCTAAGAGTGAACCAAATTTTCTTCTTGCACAAGATATTGCAGTTTTAACATGTGCATTTGTACTACCCAGTGGTATTCCAACATGCTGAGCAGAGTTAACAATTTTAAGCGAATTTTTACCAAGTTTAAAATCTTGAGCAGCCCTTTTCCCTGGGCCAAAATACATGATGACACATTTGTCTGGGTGGAATTCAAATCTCCAGCGAAGACTGTAATCATAAGCTAATTGAAGTAAAATATTCATTTGGTGATGACCAGTAGTAATAAGAGCAAGATCATCAGCGTAAGCCGGGCAATTGATTTAAACCAGGAGGGGCCTCGTACCATCCTCGCCATGTTAAATATAAAGGTGACAATAATTTAGGGAATATATCTGCAAGGGCTACCAAAATCATAACACATCGACCAATAGTTCATATAAATATAATATATGTTCATTTTTATCGATAAATATGCAAAAGAATTGATTTAAACCAGGAGGGGCCTCGTACCATCCTCGCCATGTTAAATATAAAGGTGACAATAATCTAGGGAATATATCTGCAGGGGCTACCAAAATAGTAACACATTGACCACTAAGTTCATATCAACATATAGACCAATAATATTTGTTCATTTTTATTCTAATATAACTAAGAGGGGCCTCGTACAATTCTCGCCATATTAGACTATAGATACTATAGAGTGTCTGCGAGTTTTATAAGAGTAGGTAGTAAAATCTGCAGTATGTAAGTTTCCCAAATTAGATCACGTGACATAGGGAATTCCCTTATAAAACCCAAACAAGGTCACGCTGACCAAACGTGTTACTGCAGTACAGTTAAGTTTAGATGTTCCTCATTCTACACAAGTTCGTCTGATTGTGAATCTGATCTAGGCAGAATTGAAATAAACTATGTCAGTACAGCGTGCACGTACAATTATCTATTTGCTGAGGAATGACCTGAGATATCACGATAATCAGGTTGGTTGTTTTTTTTATCTTGACTCCAAGTTCATTTGTTTTGTACACAGGTGCTCAGTCATGCTCCCTCTGTAGAAAGAGTATGACTGAGGCCGTCCTGCAAACACATAAATCAAATGTGTCTGGACGACAGCCCCACACTCTTATAACCCAGGGGGCACCTTGTTTTATATGTCTCTGCTTTAGCCAAACAGCAAAGGAAGGGGCTAGCTTACTCGAGTTCTCTAGTCAGTGGGTTGGCAATAGAATATGGAAAGGGCTGGTAGCCACTACAGCCAAGACCAAAGGACTTGCAAGACCTTAGTAGCAATATGGACGTATATTATCAGTTTCAAGGGTCATTACGCCATCTCCCCTGAAAGACGACGTCCCATCGTAACTCAGATTCACAAAGGCGAATCCTTATCCCGTCACAGTGAATCATACATCTGACTCGAATTAACGACCCTGGGCATACTCGTAAAGGGGAGCTATAGTGTAATGAGCTAGAAACTAGACCTGAAAGGGGACTGTGCTAAATTCAGTGGGACAGTAGTTGTTTTTTGTATTGTTCCTAAAATTAAATTAACACACTGCTAAAAAAGTGCCCCGTAGCAGGCCAAGAATCAAGCCGACCCTCTGTTCACTAGACTGACACTCTACAGCTCTAGCCAAAGGGCTATAGCCACTTCAGCCAACAGACTTCCCAAAGTTGACAATTGCTATTGAGGGTCATAACAAGACCATGTGGAACCATGGCCTTTCAAGAAAGCCCATGATGGTACATGCACATGTAGTTATCTTGTAGATTAGGTAGAGTGTTTATTATTTAACTTTTGATATTTTGGCGCTACATACATATATAAGCACTTGTGCCAAAGGGAAAGGACCAAAAGTTGTAATGGAACTTAGCAAGAAAAAGCAAACTCTAAGTGCATAACAGTCAAGAAAAACAAACCCCATATAGCCCAAAACCATGATCTAACGTGAAAAGAAACACTGTCTAATACCCCCTTTCCCCCCACCATTCAAGAACCAATATCCCAATCCAAGACCAGAAGACCAAGGGACATTTCATTCATACTGAAGTCATTACAATACATGTTGAAGAAAAAATTAGAAATTGATAGCAAATTGATAGCATATTGATAACATATAGTTGTGTATGCATGTATTGTAATTTTGAAAAAATGCCCCTTTCATGCACTTCAAATGGGCCTACCCTTTATATTTCAGGTACTATGCTGGGCATGTCGAAATGCAGAGTATCTTGTGCCCCTCTACTGTTTTGACCCAAGACACTTCAAAGAAACATACCATTTCAACCTACAGAAAACAGGACCCCATAAACTAAAGTTCTTACTCGAGAGTCTTGCGGATTTGAAAAATACATTTGAATCAAAAGGAAGGTGGGTGAATTTCTTTTTATTATAACAAATACATGTAACACAAATGGATATTTATATTTAATTACTCAAAAAGTCACCGACTATATAAGAGGACAGGGGGGGGAAAGGGTGGACTTACAAGACTTTACTATTCCAAAACTTACTTCCCATTTTCAATCACCTGTGGTATCCAGACTATCCATAAACTTAACTGACAAAGAACCTGTTTCTCCAGTATGGAGTTGTGAATTTTGAATACCTGAGTTTTGATCCTAGTTTATGTCACAAAAGGCAATGAGAAGTACATTTATGGTAATAGAAAACCTTTACTCATGTAGATTGGAACAATAAATACCTCTCAATGTGAATGCTGTTTTTGTCCCATTTTTAAATCTGCCAAATACTTAAAAGACCCTCAATGTGAATACATAAGATCTAAACACCTTTGACTGATCCCAGTGACATTTGGCTTTACAGATTTTACTTTACCTATACATACAATTGTCTCTAGTTTAATGATCATATTATTTATAAATGCATGTACATACATGATCTAAATTGTTGCAGTGTTACATATGGGTTCCAACTAAGATTCGTGATTCAATCATTTTGAAGCACTTGGAGTGGCCATGCAGAAAAATGATGAAATACTGAAATTGATATTTCCAGCAATCTGTTGATAAGAAAAGGGAAACCAGAGACTGTTATATCAGAACTGATCGAGGTCATAGGCAAAGATAATGTATCCCTCGCTTGGCAGGAAGAGGTCACCAAAGAAGAAACAGATGTTGAACATGCCCTTAAAGCACTTGGAGTACCTGTTGAAACATTTTGGGGTTCTACATTATACCATAAAGATGATATACCATTTAGAACAGCTAACAGGTAAAATCAGGATACAAGATGCAAAAAATGAATAAGGAAAGACTTAAAATAATGAGGATAACTTTATTATCTAAAAAGGTACGAGCAAAACACCTGTGGCTTTAATTGTGACATTCTTTTCATGTACCTCCCAGTGCATTTCAACCAAATTTTTCTGAGTCTTGAAACTGAAGAATAAACATTTCATTTCAGTCTTCCTGATGTGTATTCACAATTTCGTGCCAAAGTTGAGAAAATTTCAAAGGTCCGGGCCCTACAAAACATGCCTGGCAGACTCCTGCCCTTACCCTCTGGACTTGACCCACAGCAACTTCCCACAATGTCTGACTTAGGGGTACCAGGTAAGTGTAGTAAAACCTTAATAAAACCTTAATATCAGTGTTTTATTAGTCTATCTAAATGCATGGAAACACTGGAAAAATAAGATATCATTTCCTAACATTCTTGACCAATCATAATGCAGTTTCACTGCACACACTGTAACTCATAAATGGTCTAACACATTAATAATGCATTTTAATGTTTAAATCCCACACTTGATATATTTAGAAATCGCACCTGATGAAAGATCTGCATTTCCTTTCTCTGGCGGAGAGACCAGTGCCTTAGATAGACTCAATAAATACCTCTGGGAGACTGACAGTGTGGCTGTTTACAAGGAAACACGCAATGGAATGGTCGGATCAGACTATTCAACTAAATTTTCAACTTGGTAAGATAATTAGGACAAGAGATATTTCTTGGATGATATATTGAGTTTTTGAGGATGACAAACTTTATCAGAAAGTATCACCACAACAAGCAAATGTCATATTTTTTTACAATTGCTATAACATGTGAAAGAATAATCTTAACATTTTGTCACACTCGAGAATTGTTAACATATTTTTATAGCTTCAATTTTTGTGAATGGTGTTCAGTATCAGCATTTGGCATCTGTAACAATTGTTACACTTTGGTAGACATATTTAAAACCAGGTGGTGCAACTTTGTCATGTTGATATTTTGTAAATGATTCATATACTCACAACAGTAAGAATTGAACAAGACATAAAATATGCAAAATGTCACCACTTGCCATTTGTTGCAGATGCTGACCGCCAAACACCTAGCACCAATCGCCTAACTCCTTCCACAAATAAGTTGGAGACCATAAAACATAATTATTCATAAATTTATATTTTAGGTTGGCACATGGGTGTTTATCTCCACGACAGATCTATTGGGAACTAAAGAAATATGAGGCAAAGAGAACATCAAACCAGTCCACATATTGGGTTGTATTTGAACTGTTGTGGCGCGACTACTTTAAATATGTTGGACTGAAGTATGGAGATAAACTTTTCTATTTAGATGGTGAGTCAAAAGAAATTTACGAGTAGGCTAAAAATAAGCTTATTAGACCCAAGAGTGGAAAACTTTTTATGCAACCACAAGAAGTGGTGAAGTATTTTTATAGTCTCTAACTTTTTGTGGTTGGTGTTTGGTTGTCATTGTCTGTATTGTATTGTATCTTTATTTACCTTTTTCAAATATAAGTGAGTTACAAGTGTAATAAATGGCAGGTGGTAACATTTTGCATGTTAATGCCTTGTATCATACTGAATTGGTACTATCAAATTGCAGTTCAATGTGTAATTACATTATCCATTCTTACAGGTGTAATGGGGAAGCACATTGAGTGGAAACGAGACCAAAAGCTATTTGAAGCTTGGAAAGGTAAAACAATACTTTTAATATACAGCATAGCAACTTAGCAAGGTATACATATTTGAAGAAAAAGATTAAATTCATCCCATACAGAAATAACTCATTGAAATTCTTGTTTGTTGGTTACTAAGCAGCAGTGTCAATTATGCCAGGTTAATTGACTGTATTTCAATTATTTGAAATTATTTATATCATCCCACATTCTTTATATTTATTTCTTAATGATTAAGAGTTTCAGGTTGTTTTCTTTAAAAATCTTTCTTCATTGAATTTAGGCATTGATCATTCTAATGATTTAGTATACAGGGTGGGTCAAAAAATCAATACTCAAGTTTTAAAGAAATATCATATGTTATATGCTAAATCATGTTATGTATAATATATCATTTTAAAGATAAATCATTTCCTTACAATATGACACCATCCAATTAAAAAACCAGTGTTCTCACTGACTGTCTATTAAACAATGGTAAAAGTTTTTATATGAGTCTCTCGTATTGTTACTATATTTCAGAGGGTAGAACAGGTGTCCCTTATGTTGATGCAAACATGAGAGAGATGGCAGCTACTGGTTTCATGTCAAACAGAGGCAGACAGGTAAGCTGTAGTGTAAAGTGAAACCTGTATATCTGAACACCTATTTTATTTGTCCCAAATTTATTATCTCTCATTGACTTCATGTTAATTAAACCTTGAAATGTGAACACCTGCAAATCAAGACACTTTTGGCTAGTCCTAGAGTTGTTCGGATAAGACAGGTTTTACTGTACTTGATCTTACTTGGCTTACTGGGAGCCAACAACCACTGTATCTCCTCATAAAATTCTGGTCTACATTTTGTTGATCTCTTTAAATAGTCCAACGTCAAAATGTACAGATTTTGTATAATTTTCAAATTTCTTAAATATAGAGCTAAACTGGATGAATACAAGCCTTTGGTCAGATTTAAAATATTTTTGGTTCCAATAAAATTCCAATAAGAGAATAAAAGGATTTGATCCCCCGAAGATCTAATTGCATATGCCTTATTTTTACACAATGAATTTTGATTTTCAGAATGTTGCTAGTTTTCTCACTAAAGATCTGAAGCTGGATTGGAGGATGGGAGCAGAATGGTTTGAATCAATGCTGGTAAGTAATTAAGGTAGTACATGACAGTACAATTTACATCTGCTGTAAAACCTGTATATCTGAACACTGAATTCTCTAATCCAAATACCTCTTTGTGTGAACACTTCTTCTCGGTTCAAGTTTTTATCTCCCATTGATTCACATACTATTATGAAAATCTTGAAATGTGAACACATGCTATTCCGAACACTTTTGACTCACATACTATTATGAAAATCTTGAAATGTGAACACATGCTATTCCGAACACTTTTGACTCACATATTAAGAAAATCTTGAAATGTGAACACATGCTATTCCGAACACTTTTGACTCACATATTAATAAAATCTTGAAGTGTGAACACTATGCTATTCCGAACACTTTTGACTCACATATTAAGAAAATCTTGAAATTTGATCACATGCTATTCCGAACACTTTTGACTCACATATTAAGAAAATCTTGAAATTTGATCACATGCTATTCCGAACACTTTTGACTCACATATTAAGAAAATCTTGAAATTTGATCACATGCTATTCCAAACACTTTTGACTCACATATTCAGAAAATCCTGAAATGTGAACACATGCTATTCCGAACACTTTTGGCTGACCCCAGTACTGGCCAGTAGTATTCAGATTAGAGAGTTTTTTGCATGTGAATATGTATTTGCATATTTTTACGAAGCAACCTGATTTAATGGTGCAATATCTTACCAAATGAAATTTTATAATTGCATATTATTCTAGTTAAAACACTGATTCAAGCTTTTCAAAGTGGAAAAATTTCTCAGCTGCAATATTGCACTAGGTCAATTGTATTTGCATTATAAACATTCATATACCAAATTAGAGAAAGCCTTTTTTGTTTATTGATTTCTCAATTCACCCTTTATAGGGTATAAGAGTACAAAAGATAAACTTACACTATTTTAGATTGACCATGATGTATGCAGTAACTATGGCAACTGGCAATATAGCGCTGGTATTGGCAATGACCCCCGTCAAGACAGGAAGTTCAACATGGTGAAACAGGGACTCGATTACGACCCCCAGGTAATACCCATAGTACAGATTCATGTTAAATCAAAATGTAGGATGTGATAATTGTATTGATAAAATTTGGCACATTTTTCTGTTATCATAGCTGTGCCATGTTACCCTCTTACCTTAAAATATCCAGGTTGTATAGTATTGAGATCATCTCTGATTTAGAAGAGTTTTAAAATGGATAAAACATGACTCTAAACATTAAAACAATGTGTCATGGGCTTCTTAGGACTGTTCACAGTTATGTTTCATCCGTATTAAGGGATGTGTCTCACTCACTGATGTGTTCCAATTCCAGTCTTTACTTTGGAAAATCAATGAACCTCGCATCGAAGTAGGGATTTGAGGACTAGACCTAATTTGTTGTACTGTTTATTAAAATCTGTTAAACTCCCATGGAATTCAGCTTCATAGAATTAGACCTGAATTATCATAGGATTTTATTAACATATTATATTGTATATTTTATTGTAAATTCTATTTTTATCTAGGGAGAGTATGTGAGACTTTGGGTGCCTGAGCTGGAGAATCTCAAGACTGGTGATGTGCACACCCCTTGGGCTCTATCTACAGGGCAACTGGCTAATGCTAATATAGAGCTTGGCAACACATACCCTAATCCTATAGTGGTTGCCCCTGAGTGGAGCCGACACAGTAAAAAGGTAAGGTTTTGTGTGCATGTTAACATTGTTATGTCACCACAACTGGTGACATTGTTAGTCTCCAACTTTTTAGTGGCGCTGATTGGAGGCTGGTGTTTAGTGGTTGGTGTTTGGCATCTGTAACAAATGGCAGGTGTTAACATTTTGTATATTAATGCCTTGTTTTATGTATACTGCTATCATGTTTTTTTAACTGTACATTAATTTCTAAAAATGGAGTTTCTCTTGATGCATTAATCTACTATTTCTTTTACTACAGTCATTTATTTTGATAAAATTGATGTACCCTGAGTCTCTACATTTAAGCTATTAACTTTCAAAGTGCAATTACAGCTTCAGTACTTATGGTTGCCAACCTACCCCAGGGCTCTCACCAGGAATTTTTTTGTGGTATCTAGTAGTGGTATCGCGACTACTTCTCCCCCATGTGAGATCAGAGATATCCTATTAGTATACTTTACTACATACTTCTTCAGATTATCTTGCTATTTTATTCCCAATTTTTATTTCTAAAAGGTTTCTGACTTCCTATTCCTTGTTTGTATCCAGTTTTATGTATTTTCTCAAGAGTTTTACCGCAAATAATGTGACAAAAATGTAAAATTAGACTCTGGAAAAAACACTTTAGACTCCGGAAAAGCTATTAGACTCTGGAGCAAGAGGGTTTAAGACATTAGACTCCGGAGAATCTCTGGAGTCTAAAAGCCTAGTGAGAACCCTGTATCCATTTGTATTGGAGAATACTTAACCTTGTAATTCAGCCACAATTACCTAGTTATACATACGCTTAATAATCTCTTAATTACTTGCTGTATTTTCAGGGTGGTTCAGATAGAGGGTCAGGTCGTGGAGGGGGTAGAGGTAGAGGGGGACAGAATAGTAGCCGTGGGGGGAGAGGACATCAAAGAGGCATCGACTTCTACTTCCAGAACTCTAACCCAACAACGTAAGAGTTCAACATAATGTTCCTAAGAGTTCAACATAATGTTCCTAAGAGTTCAACATAATGTTCCTAAGAGTTCAACATAATGTTCTTAAGAGTTCAACATAGTGTTCTCATCAATACTACTACTCTACAATAAAACATGTGTTTGTGGAACACCTTCGTATCTCTAAAAAGTGTTCGACTTGGGAGGTGTTTCGCTTACAGTGGACCATTTTGAACTTTAAGTCAGTTGGTCATTGGACATTGGAAAGAATTTCAGTTACAAAGCTGTTACACTTACAGACTTACAAATGTGTTACACTTACAAATGTGTTACACTTATGATATCACAGGGGCATGGTTATATTTGAATTAGTGGTGCATTAAAAAGTCGAAGAGTCGCATTATTGATACATTGATGGTCTCCAATAATTAGTGTCAACCACAAAATGATCAATCAGAATGATGTATTTAGACCAAACAGAATAAATTATTCATCAGGCATCAGGAAACGGGAGTACCTTTCCTTTTGTAAATATACACATTAATTATCATGTAATATGCCTTAGTTACGTTTGATCTATGGCAACTGTACAGAGCCTGTATCTTCCCAAAATCGAGAAATATGCAGCATAAAATATAAGGATATAAGCAGTACGATGTAGATTTTCTACATCCATTTTGTGAAGCTACGGTTGCTGTATGCTGCTGTAGAGCAAATGTGACTGAGGCTAAATTTAAGTCAAAGATCAAATAGTGTATGGGCTGAAGTTGCCCTGTTTAGTGTTACAAGACATTTACAAATGCATGGTCTAACAGAGACTTGCTGTAACTATACTGCACAAATTGTAAATTATTGTACAAAGATGACTGTTACATACATGTTCAGTGCATCCATTCTATAGTTATACTGTTATATACCTCATTTATTTATTTGAAGCCTCGGGGAATATAGAATATGAATATTTCATTATATACTGATATTAATGACAAATAGTTCTAACCATGTACATGTGTAAAGTTAGTTAACTTCAGATATTAACAATTTAGATCTCCAACTAACATAGCATTCAATATTTGTTTTTATCATTTTCCTTTATTGATCTCATTTCAAGTAATACTTTTATATGTATGGTAAACAATTGCATATAGATACAATAAGTAAGTGTGTACATGGTGTGTAAGTGGTACAAATTGGTTCCTCGAGATATTGTTTCACTCGGAAGGTGTTCCACCTTATGAGGCTCATTTTTTACATTAAGTAATGATAGCTGGACTTACAAAAGTGCTTCACTTATAGAGTTGTTCCACTTCACAGGTTTTACTGTGCACCCAATCCACACTCTGATATCTCTGGTGCCACAGGGTGCCGTGTTTACAGTACCGTACAGTACTGTTGTAGTGTACTGTACCATACGATACCACATTTCTCGGTACGTAGTCAAAACAGTATCGAACGGTACTGTTGGAGATTGGCTGTGTATAACATACATAAGATGCAATTTTATATATTCCATATAAAATTATATATTTCCAATATATTCATATACATACATGTACAAAACTTTATTGCAGTTTAAAGAGAAATAAATTAACATACATTGAATCTCGGAACAATCTGAATTATGTTTTCTGTCTACATGTATTTGCAAACTTTTGAACATATTTGTGCTGGACATCAGTTTACAAGGTTAGTAGAAGTTGAAGCCCTGTCTCTAGTGACTTTTTGACTATACAGTATAGGAGTTTTAATAGTGACAAATCTCAGATATATAAACACAAGGCTAGTAACCAAAGGCTACTGCCCATCTTAAGGAATTGTACACTCTCAACCATAATTTTGGCAAACTGAAGTTTCCATCCACATTAGAGATTGTCACGCCATGTTGATATAATCTAAAATTATTCTTTATTACAATATTTCAGATGTTTATTAAACATTTGATGAATTATAAATTGCTAAACTTAAACAGGCTTTGGTTAGTGACAAAAAGATGACTTCGAGTTGCCACAAATGGAGGGAAGTGTATTTTCTTTGTTGGTAAAATACATGTAGTTAACAGTCTAGGAACTCTTCATAACAATATGATCTTAGATATATTAGAACACAATTGTTAAGTTTCAGTTGACATTTTGAATGGATTTAAGTCATAAATCTCAGCAATTTGTTTGTTTCGAAATATTGCCTAAACCTTAGGTTGGAGGGGACATTTAACACATGATTAATTTTGAGCAGCCTTTACACAGCTACAGATAAGTGATAAGCCTTTAATTTTCAAGATCTCTCTCCTCCATTAGAGTCAGTGTCCCATGTAGATGCAGGTGTATGTAACATCTGCTGTACGTACAATTGTTTATTCTCATTCTCAAGAGAATGTCCTTGCAACATCACCCTCCAAACTCAGCAGTTCATAGTGAATGATGTCTGGACCCCTGCTTGGAGGATATATACTGTATTTAAATGTAAGTCCTCAAAGGACTTTTCCATATTGTGACTTTTTGTATCCAAAAGTATCAGATTAAAAAATATCCTTCATATCAAAATAAGCATGTTAATGTTTGACTATGTGACATCATCAGATCTTGGACGTTTGGCTTCAGGTTCCTTAAAGTCTCCATTCTGATCAGCAGTTTCATCATCTTCGCTGTCTTCTTCATCATCGTCATCCTCTGAAATCATATAAAATGTATTTAACACCTTGTCATCAGTCCATATACATGTAATGTATTGTGTTTACTGAGATACATTTACAAAGATTGGGATGTTTACTTTATAAATGTGACAATGTAAATCCATATATTACGGTATATATTGCAACGGTCTGGCACAAGCATGAGCATGTTATTAATTTGCGCAAGGATCCTGGCATGACTGTGACAGCGTTATTATGAAAGCCTTTTTGTGACTTTGGACATATCTAAAACTGATAGATAAAAGACGAAGGTTTTAGGCCAATACTAAATGGCAGTAGTGGCATTGAAGAGAAAATATGCAAAACAGATTGATTTGACTGTCATCATTAAAAATCATTTGTGTCGTTAGCCGACAGTACAAGGAGTTCTAAAATGTATAAATCTAGCATTGGAACCTGAATCATTAACTAAAGGAAAAACTTTAAACAAAAAATGCTGTAATTATTAATCAGATGAGACTACTATTAAAGGCCCACTATGCTTAATTTAGAAGGAAAAAAGATAAAATAATCATTGAAACATGTTATGTACACACTATCAAATATGATACAAGTCACATAGAAAACAGCATTTGAAGTTCAGAAATCTTAAGTAGTGCATGCACATTTTTGACAAAATGCATGTTTTTAAATAACTCTTGATTTAAAAGATGCCGACATACACTTCTATAAAAATAAATGAATCATGTACTACAAACAACTTCGCCATCTTTCAGTGACATTTGTAAAAACTTGATATATAACAACTTGACAGATCAAAAATATTTTTAATCATTTATTATAAGCTTTGATGTGGCCCTTTTGAGCTGTTTTTGATGTCTAATGAAAGATAAAGGTACTTGTCAATCCATTGGAAAAACTAAAAGTTCAAAAGTAAGTCTTTGTTTTGCCAAAAAATGTTGAAAATATGCATAGTGAGGCTTTTAGATTAAACCTGCACATCGCTTTAAAACACATTATGTGGGATATAGGTTATCTTTATATTTTCATACAATCATCAAGGTTATTAATGCTCTAATATTAAGTTGACATGGTTATAATCTGTTTTTTCTGCCTAACATCAAAGCACAATACAGGGTACTTTAGTTTAGAAAAATAAAAGATCACTGTACTGTACTTCCAGTTCATTTCGCAAAGTTTTAATTTTGCGAATTTTGAAAAATCACAATTTCGCGGATATTAAATATCGCGAATTTCACTAAGTACAACTACTTCTACGCATCTTTGTCAATGATACGCTGCACCTTATTACTGTACGTCGTAATTGTTTGGTTTACTTGATCTAATAAGCTATTAAAACAGACATATTGTAAACTATCCCATGTTGCCTAAAAACACTTGACAAACATTTTACAAAGCAAAAAATGCAATGCAGTCCCAGATAATAAAAAAATCCACAAATCAACGGGGATTTTAATAGACAATTTCGCGATTTCACTAGGAACGCGAAAAAGTGCGAAACTAGATCGAACGCAAAAATATTGGGAGTACAGTTCTTCATATTCAAACCAAAGTCGTCCACATCGCGAGTGAGCAATTGCATTCCTGCACTGAGGCACATTAATGCACCTCTGGGCATTTATTTCTATAACTGAGATTTGTCACTAGCGACACTATTAAACTCCAATAGTCAAAGTCACCATGGGTAGGGCAGCCCCCTCTATCCTGCGCTAGACCACCATGTTATATCTAAAGAGTTATTTAATGTGTATTATTTGAACCTTTATGAGGTAATATTCTCAATTTAGAAACATTCCAAGAATAAAAAATCAAATTTTCGACGATAATCTGAGCAATTAAGGAACAATCCTCGTTGCCGTTGTCTTTGTAAATTATCCCAAATTCAGACTCCGTTGTCATTGACGATATCGAAGACGCTATATTGTGGCGATTCACGACCAAATTTGATCGAAATTGGGATTTCATATGACACTCTATCACAAGAGTACATGCACAGAATTAGCGACGATAAAGTCTCATGAAACGAGGACCAAGTGATTGAAGATTTGAAGCGACGGTTATGTCCGCCATGTGTGACAACGGTATCTGACTTTACCGTTGTCAGGCTATTCTGGTGTGCATTTGTTCAACATTGTTTATTCTTTCATTATAACTCAAATCTTACAGTTGACCCGGAAGAACCCAAGATTGTGTTTATACTCATAATGTAGCACTTTATAGCACTTGTATTTCCATGTATGTACATGCTGTCTGCTTACGTCATTGCTTTAGTGGCTAAAAGTGTGTCTAAATATATTCTACTTAGTTCTCTGCTATGCGTCTTAGGTTCAACACCTCAGACGCATAGTATAGATTTCACAAATAAATATTATCATTAAATGGATTGTAAAAATAAACTTCATTGTTCTTTTGAATCTGGGATTGACAATTAATAATAGAACTACAACTTTTCTACTTTTGACAACACTGGAACACCCTTCTGGGATAGAACCTTGGATTTACTGTTTATCATACAGTTTGCTGTATTAACGATAATTATTACAAGCTGGAATCGTCTGCTTCACTTTTCATATACAGGATATTTGTATTCTTTTATCAACAATTATGGCTGTATCATGCTGATCAATTATGGGACAAGCTGAACGCTACCAAGGACTACACGTCTCTTTTAAGCTGAGCGCTGCTAAGGACTACACGTCTCATTTAAAGAGCTATATCTCCCCAGCGGTGTGGGACAAATACAAGAATTCGGAGACAAAATTGAACGGAACACTTGCTGATTGTATAAGATCAGGAGTGGAGAACCTTGATTCTAGGACTGGTATTCACGCCGGTGACCCTCGAGACCTACGATGTATTCCGATACGCCTTCGACCCCATCATCGCTGGCTACCTCAAGAGTGAAGTGAAGCACCATACTGAGAGACATTTGCATTAAGACATCACCCCTTAAGACATTTGTTGATATGGCGGAACTGGTATTCACGCGTGTGACCCTGAGGCCTATGATTTATCCCAAGACGCCTTCGACCCCATCATCTCTGACTACCACAAGAGTGAAGTGAAGCACCATCCTGAGAGACATTTGCATTAAGACATCAACCCTTAAGACATTTGCTGATATGGCTGGTAATATGATTTTTGATTTTGTCTGGGCATACATCAATTTTGGTTTTGAAATTTGCATAATGTTTTTTTTCAATCAATCATTCAATTTATGGTTTTATGCATATATGTAAACATTTAAAGCACAAAGAGATGGCGTCACAATGATATAATGCATTAATTTTTCTATGGGTCTGGTTGCCAAATTTGGTGTGTGAGGGGTGGATACACTTTTGCGCAGTTGCAGTTATTTTCAAAGACAATCAGTTCTTTGGTTTTTCAATAATGCCCAGAGTAGGTTCAGATTGCAGATGTCATATTAATTGTTTTGTTGGTTACTCTGGTGATTACACATTTGGATATGTTAGGTCGGCATTTTTTGATACAATGGTAATATATATGTAAAGGTCAATGAAATTCAGTCATTTGAAGTTATTGTAGTTTTTTTAATTGCTTTACAGATTTATGTCTATCAATGTTGTTTTAGAAATTAATCAATCATGACTCTTTCAAAGTTATACATATCGCTTTGGTTTGGTGAATTGCCAATGAAACATGTCAGAGATATTATACTTTATTGGACCAGAAAAAGCCCCATGAGCTGAACACTTTTTACATGTTCATGGGACTGTTTGACCATAAATGCTCCTATTTTCTTTTGGATACTTGAAACATTGAGATCTATTGCAAGCTATTCGGAAAGGTCTACTCGTTATAATGATAACGTTATAATGATATTTTTGCTAGTTGTTACCGAAGTATTATAGCTAGTATTTGCAAGATTTAATAATAAGGTGAATAATCCAATCAAACAAGGGCTTGTTGCTAGACACAAATATATCCAAACTAAGTAGGGTTTGGTTCTTGGTAATATTTCTACACTAAAGCTAAAAATGCCGCAAACAGTTTGGAATGCTTTGAAGTGGGTGTGAAAACTTGAGATTGTTAATGTTCTTCCCTGTATAATGGGAAAACAGATAGTTGAGAGAGTTATTTATTACTTGTTTTCTTATTTTTAGTCTTTTAATAGTGCTCGTTTCTATCATTTGAGCTTACAGCAAGAGATTATTGCCTATACTTTGGCATACTTGAAGACTGACTTATATTTAGTTCTGTTGCAGCCTGGATGGTTAGCTATTCGTTAAAGGTTAGCTATGTTGGCATTTCTCAGATATCTTTAAAGAGCTATCTTTATTTTGACTTGAACGTAAGTCTAAAGCCTTAAAATCGAAATCTTTGGCCGTGCAAGTGAAGGGTATGAATAATCTTCAAATATATTCCAGTAGAAGGAGATACACATGTATTTCTTTGATTAATTTTGATCAGTGTGGGTCATTTTTTTTAATATCTAAATTACTTTGAATTACACATGTTGTTAAATTGCAATGCATTTGATAATCACTTTTCTTGGATGTCAGGGGATGGATTCAAAAGTTCTTGATCAAATGGCATCAATATTTGCAAAATAAAGCCAGGCAAGTTATAGCTAGTGTTCCATGAATAAGAGTGTAGATCTCTATATTATTTTCATATTAAATGAAAATTGTGCATATAATTTTATTTGTAAAATCAATTTAAAATCAATCAATTTAAAGTCTTTCAAAGAAAAGTCTTCTCTTCATAAGGAAATATTTTGTTAGTTGTTGTAGAAGTTTTAGTATATGCGAAACTGAATCTTTGAATATTGAATTTGAAAATGCAGAGTCAATGCGCAAATTAGATGACAATGAAGTAACTGATGTTGATGCGTCAATATACATTTATGAGTCCGTGACTTTAGAATATGACATTAAATTGAAAAATGATATTGAACAGTTAAATGAGCTGATAATTGATATTGAGTCAATAAATTGTATGTTACTGCACAGTGAAACTGTGGGTATTGAATCTTGCTTTGATGAGTGTACTTTATGCTCATATGACAGTGAACTTGATAATGATGAATATGATAAAATGTTTGAAGATTACTGCGTTGATGATTTAATTAGTGATGATGCAGATGATAAATATGTCATGTGCAATGATAATTCAATTAGTGACAATTCCGATGATGATGAATATGTCACTTGTAATGATACAAATGATGACGAGACTTGTAGTATCCATTTCGTAAGAAAGGCGGATGGAGCTAGGCTGGCCACCTCTCTTGACCTCGATGTGACAAACGAGTTCCATGTCAAGGACAATGCTACAGAGTCAAATGATATATTGTATTACAAGTGTGATCTGCGAGTGATTCAGATTCCAATATGATATAAGTTTCAGCTAAAGGTCGAATACTCAAAACAAACTCGTGTTATTTATTACATATTTTTACAGTCTTTGAACAGTGCTAAATGATGTTGGCTAGCTAATTGTTAAAGGTTAACAATGTTGGAAATTATCTTTACCTGGATACAGAACATATGGTTCATTTTTAAACAACTGTAACTTATTCTTATTTTTGACCTGGACTAAAGTCTAAAAACCTAGTCAATTTTTGGATTTTCTGTCTAGTTATTTATTCAATAATATATGACTTTTTGGCAAAACATTTTAGAGGAATCATTTTAATTGGAGCACCTAGCTGACGAGTTAGCGTGTCCACATTACAGAATTTTTCTAGAATGATATATTTGGGTCTAGAGCTTTATAATATTTATGGGTGTGTGAAATATTTGTTGAGGAATGAACTTGAATGCTTGATAATGGTGGGGGAGAAAGTAAACAGATAAGGGAGAACGAAACAGTTTTAATTATATAGCCAGGTAAAGTCCGGAATGGTAAGGGCTGGCTGACCCTTGGGGCCATGATGATCTGGCCGGAAGTAAGTCCACGACGTCATGTGCTACCCTTTACCTGGGCTAGTATGTAAGACCATGGCATTGAATGAAATATGATATTAGTGCGTATATGATATAAGGTGCGTAGTGCACTCATTTGTGGGGCTCTAGACTTGACTATATAAAATTCAATGACTTTCTTGACTAAACTGATCACTTGGTCAAGGGATCATTTGACATCCTTTGAAGTAAAAATGTTATGTTTATCTGAGAGTATAGGAACAATATTTTCTTTAAAACCTTTCTTTATTTTGACTACAAGTATTGTTTTATAACACTTTGGCTACAAGGCGGCCATTTTGAAAAGTGAGTAACCATTATTTTTGAATGGTATAATGGTGAACTTTGAATTTTGATTTTGTAAAAATTGCGGTCATGTTAGTTCGATAGGATTTGCTACGCTTTTAGCGTTGCTGTTGTCTAGTTCATTAAAACAATTGAGATACAAACACAACTGATATTAAAATTTAATCGAAACTGAAAGTAATGTAATATAAGTGATTATGAGTAGGCAGAAAATAATAGAAATGAAGTTGTTGAAATTAAGTAAGTGAAGAAAATGCTTCTTTGAACTAGGCAGGAAGTAGGTTAATTGGTATTTTAGTAAGTTATGATGAACTAAAGTTACATTATTTTGGTAATTTATGATGAACTAGCGTTACATTTTGGAACCTTGAACTGTTGTAGGTTTTGAGGCTTGTGTCATTGTAAGAGTTATGTTTAGTGGAAGGAAGGGATTTTCCAAATATATTACTAGTAGTGGCTGTTTATGTGTGGTATTGATGTGACACGCCACTATTATGACTCATGTGTTATAAAAAAATACAAAATTATGATTAAAACAGTATGCCCAGATAAATAAGATCACATTATCTGTGTTCAAATAATTAAGTTTTATTAAATTAAGTTTTTGGCGAAAGCCATTGTTTTTTTAATTTTCATGGATAAATGTTCTATGTATTGTTATATGTGGGATTCTGTTTGTCTTTGAGGGGGGTGAGTGTAGCACTTTATAGCACTTGTATTTCCATGTATGTACATGCTGTCTGCTTACGTCATTGCTTTAGTGGCTAAAAGTGTGTCTAAATATATTCTACTTAGTTCTCTGCTATGCGTCTTAGGTTCAACACCTCAGACGCATAGTATAGATTTCACAAATAAATATTATCATTAAATGGATTGTAAAAATAAACTTCATTGTTCTTTTGAATCTGGGATTGACAATTAATAATAGAACTACAACTTTTCTACTTTTGACAACACATAACTCCTCCCTTTTGATCAAAGATGGCACAAGTTCAGGTGAAATCAGGTGAAAGACAAACAGGACAAGGTCTGTCAGTGAATGACTGTTTGAACTAATATACTTATAGGAAACTGAAGCGTCATATGGAATCCCTTTGAAACCTCACCTTGCTGAAAATTCGAATTTTCAGATGGGTTTGAATTCTTTTCCTGTGTTATTTTTTCCGTTAAATAATCATTTGTGGATTTCTGAAGTGTCTTTAGAGATTGTTTAACCGTTTTGTAGTCAACCTTCTCAACGTTCTGCCCGGACGGTTGAATAAACACTTGTTTACTTCCCCCTATTTCTATCGTTACTTTAATATCGCCCATATTTGCTGCTCGATTACGCCACACGATTGCTCCCGGAAGTTGTCAATTTTTGATTTGCACTTTGCAGCTCTGTGGGTTGGTAAGGCTACTTTTTCTGAGGTAAGCATGAAGCGATTCATGCATAGATGATTTCAGTTGTTATTCAATAAAAATCCACTTGATACAGTCCATGAAACGATCCCAATGTGTGATGAGAAGCTTTTCAAGGGCCGAGTAAAATTGGTCCCACAAAATTTTTGATTTTTTTTTTTCATTAGATCTATCTAGGGCTTTTCAGTCTATTCACAGTTAGGTTATTCACTGTTAGGCCATCCCTTGACCAACAGATTATGGCCATATTGTTACCCGTGTGTTACTGTAGAATACTGTAAATCAAGAAAATTTCATTTCAATAGTTGGAAAAAGAAGAAAAACCGCTTGAAGCCAAGATTAGGTGCATTCATGCACCCTCTGGGTCTCTGAGGATCGTGTTGGATACGACAATCCAACGCATTAGATGCGGTGTTCACCGTCTAAGCCAAGATTTGTGTCTAAAGGGGTCGTAGGATGCGATAAGATCAACAGTACAAAACACTTTATAGGTGTATCTAGACATACCAGTCAAAATGTTAAAAAACCTTTGTGCATTCTTATTCCAGATACAGATGATCCCCGAGATGAACTGAAATAAAACTTTTGGAGGACACCCATCTAAGAATTTAAGCTACCCTTGAACTCAAAAGCTCACCATTAATTGATGTGGACTCTGCAGTCGAAGACTTCGACGGAATGTGATCAAATATGTCTTAGGTTTCGGATGCTACAGTAGATACCTGATAACAGAACAATCATCAATCCATGGATCCTTAGTGATTCATGTGCACATAACATTACGGTCATAGCGCACAATTTTTATGAATCTTGGGAATCTTGCGGTTCAGGCTGTGATGACATCATCCTGCACCGAATCAGAGATGAACTGTGTCATTCATTGGTTCACCAGTTGGACCACATTTCAAAGGGCAGACTTTGGAAAAGAACTCCTAAAAATTGCAGTTCCTGAAAGTGTTGATAATTTATTTGAAGCAATGGGTACACTAAATGTAAATAACAAGCCTCCGAGCATATTTAAATGCCAGCTAAAGCTTTTCTTACAGTGGTTCGACAATTGGAATGAAGCAGAACGGAATAATTTAATGATAAGAATTCAGCAATGCGACCCTTCATTCATGGCTGAGCTCAATGCGGAGATTGCACAATTAAAGCAGAATTTATAGGACACCGATTTGAAAGCTGATACTCAATGAGAAAATACTATGAAGGTTTCATACTTTTCCCGAACTTTCTCTTGAAATCATATTGTTTTGTATTTGGAGACACATTTACATGTATAACTCTGTATTCAGTTAAAAAAACATACAAACAAACCACCTTTCTTTCACCTACATGTACAATGACTTGGTACAACACTACATGTACAAGTAACATGTACTGTAAGTTGCTTCAATTTGGCGCTATTTAATTTGGCGGGTTGAGCAAATTTGGAAATTTTGGCTGCTATTTAATTTGGCAGATTTACCCATCAGTAAAATGGGGAATATTAGAGGGTTCATACAAAGATGCAAATACATGTAATGCCCTCGTTTTTAAAAAAAATAACCAGCAGTGGATCTAGATTTTCGAAAATATGCCAAATTAAAATGGCCGTCAAATTAAAGCAACTTACAGTATCTTCTGTATTTATTTTGTGAATTTGGAAAAAATAGGAAGATCTGTTTCGACTCATTGATATCTTAATACATGTAATATATTCACTGAATTTTGGTCCTGTAAACTAATCCGGCTATGTATTTGTAAATATAGGTTTTAGTATTCTAAAAATATATTTGTTGTTTGTATTAAACTACTAATTAAACTAGTGATTAGACTATTACACATCGCCTGCTTAGAGGCAAAAGCTGAAAAGGGACTATGTGCAATTTTAGAAGAAAATTAGACTTTTACACCAAATGAAGTGTGTAGAGATATTTAAAGAGAGAATCAGATCTAGCAAGCAGCCTACAAAAAATTGTTTCAATTTTAGAACATTTCTGGCTTGTGACATTCCTTTTCATGTCTATTTTCTTAAAAACTAATGATTTTTACAATAATGCACTATTTTTCTATAAGAATGGTTACCATTCTTATTATTTGGGCTTGGGAGAATATTTAAACATTCTTCACCCATTTTTGCACTTTGAATCCATCATAACTTCACCAATTTATAACATATCATGAATAGGGAATAGATTGGTAGGTCAATTGTACATGTTGCTTGTAATTTTGTCACCCCCATAGATCTGATTCTGCCTTTAAATTTTAGTAGTAGAAAGGTGAGTCTAAAAAATACTAGCTGATTCATCTGCTTGGATCTGTGTTTAATTTAATATGTTATGAAGGATTTGTATTTTTTGTCTGGTATGAATCTGTATTTCTGTGACAAAACAACATCTTGCTAGAACTTACACTCAATATGTAGTCAAAGATGAGTATAAGTTGAACAGCCTGGATGTGTTCTGTGTCAAGCGATGGCATCTCTAGCTTAAGTTGCAGCTCATTCAATGCAATTGTTTCCCTGTTAAAATTATAATCTTCAACAGTTTAGTTTTTATTCATTTTGGCTGATGCAAGATTTTCTAGTAAAACCCTGATGTGGTACAGGTTGAATTTAAGAGAGAATCAGATTCTAGACAAACAAAAAATTGTTTCAATTTTAGAATATTTCTGGCTCATGTCATTCCTTGCCATGTATATTTTCTAAAAATCCCCAAAGTGCACACTTTATTTCAGAAAAACTAAATATTTTCACAATAATGTATTCTTTTTCTATAAGAATGGTAGGTGCATTAATGTGCCTCTGGGGCTTTATTGATATATCTGAGCTGAGATTTGTCACGACCCCAGACTCTAGACTAGTGACCCTATTAAAACTCCTATAGTCATATAGTCAAAAAGTCACTAGAGGCGGGGCTTCCACATCTATAAGGATGGTTACCATTCTTATTATTTGGGAGAATTTAAACATTTTCACCTATATTTGCACTTTGAGCCCATTATAACTTCATCGATTTATAACATATTGTGAATCTTTTGGGAGATATTGTATTTGAGATTGTAATTAGGAATAGATTGGTAGGTCAATTGTACATTATACTTTGCTTTACTGAAGTTTAATATTGCATTATCTTTATCCAGTCAAACAGTAAATGACTTGGCTACAATGTCTAATATTACATGAACAAGTCAGCAAATGTAACTTGGCTACGTTGTCCAATATTGCATTATCCAGTCTAATCAGCAAATGTTACGTGGCTACATTGTCTAATATTGCATTTTTCAGTCTAGAATCAGCAAATGTTACTTGGCTACAATGTCTATTATTGCATTATCCAGTCTAAACAGCAAATGTTACTTGGCCGGCTACATTGTCTAATGTTGGGCCAAATATTGCATTATCTAGTTTTATCAGCAAATGTTACTTGGCTACGTTGTCCGAAATTGCATTATCCAGTCTAATCAGCAAATGTTACGTGGCTACATTGTCTAATATTGCATTTTTCAGTCTAATCACCAAATGTTACTTGGCTACAATGTTTGATATTGCATTATCCATTTTAATCAGCGAATGTTACTTGGCTACATTGTCTAATATTGCATTATCCAGTCTAAACAGCAAATGTTACTGGTCTACATTGTATTATATTACACTATCAAGTCTAATCAGCAAATGTTATTTGTGTACATTGTCTAATATTGCATTAACAAATCTAATAAGTGAATATTATTTGGCAGCATTTTCCAATGTTGCCTTATCAAGTCCAATCAGTGAATGTCCGCCATCTTGAACAACACATGCACCATTCATCATTGACACATCATCAGATGCCAGGAATGCAATCAATTTGGCAGTTTCATCCATTGTTCCAATTTTACCTATTGGGACACATCTTGCTACATTGGAGCAATGTTCTGCCTCTGCATCTTCTGGAACACCTGCCTTCTTAATGGCTGGAGTTTTCACTAAGCCTGGACAAACAGCATTGACACGAACTCCTTGGCCTCCAAACTCCAATGCTGCACATTGTGTGAACATGTTCATCCCAGCTTTAGATATGCTGTAGAAAGGCATCTGGTCTGTTACTTTGCATCCAACCATACTTGAAATATTTACGATATTTCCATTGCTTTGTTTCAATTCGGGCAAACACATTTGAGACAGATGGATTGGTGCCCGCAATAGGACTTTAACCAGGTTATCAAACAACTGCAGTGATCCTGATGTTAAATCATGAAATATACCATATCCTGCATTATTTACCAAGATATCAATCTTGTCAAATGCTTTAATGGCAGTTTCATGAATGCTCTTCAGCACATCATCATCTTCAATATCCCCTTGGACATAAGGAAACTTTGCATCATCGACAGCAACCTTTTTGCATTCAGCAACAGTTTCTTTGATGGTTGTTGAATCTCGGCCATGTATCAAAACACTTGCTCCCTCCTTGGCCAATAAGATTGCAGTTGCTTTGCCAATGCCACTACTCGAACCAGTAACAATTGCGCACTTTCCAGAAAATCTCATTTTGTTTATTCTTGATTGCTCAGTTATTAAATTTATCTTTATTCACTATTTAGAGTTACTAATAAAGTGATGTAAATACAACACACAACTGCATTTACATGTACCGATCATGTTAAAAAGGTAAGACGATAGGTCAAGAGGTTTCAATAGTTAATGAATACCTGTTCGTTTTGATTATGTAAAGATTATGTAAATAACTTTTTTATGAGAGATCTAAAGGTCAATGATTTTGGCAATGTCTTAAAACTGTGCATCGTCACATACACTCAGGCCCGTAGCCAGGGGGGGGGGGGTTCGCAGGGTTCGGTCATATTGAAGTGAATTATTTGTGTTGTTGTTTGAAGTAACCTTCACTCTGTTGTCTAATAAATTGAATCCTCCGAATAACTAGGATCTTCTAAATTGTACGAAAAGACATGATGGATACCCAGGAATAGATATAATGATTACTCTCAAGAAATCACAAAATATAATATTTCTCCTTCAAAATTATCGCAATGATTGAATTTTAAATTTTATTTCCTTGAATTTGCAAAATATATACTGTAACTCATCGTATAAAGGCACATAAACGAGAAGGGTTTTAAAAATAATTTTGCCAATTTAAAATCCTACAAGTCTTGGATGCAATATAACCTTTATTTAAACATGGAAAGTGTCTCACATATTCGATCAAAACTTGCCACGCAAACATGTTAGTCTACTTTACTGGCCCCCCTCGCTGTAACAAGGAACCCAAAACACATTAAAACGTAAACATAAACCAATTAGTCACTTCACTATGAAAGTGAGGGGTGTTACGCTGTGTGCATGAACCAACACAATATCAGTGGTCATTTACTGTGTCAACTTAGTAACCCTTGCATATCGTGCTCACTCAAGTATTGAATAATTTTTTATGATCTAAATGTTTGTGGATACATTAATTAATATATTCATTCAAACAGCACTAGAATGCGGGAAGAGCAATGGTGACAAAATGCAAACAGAATTTTCCGTAAGGGTTTCAAACATTTCTGAACACAATCATACATGTACGTGTACTGTTATTTTTAGTGCTGTATTTATAGATATAATTTCACGTATTAAAATCATATTTTCCAGCAATGACTTCAAATTCGGAACCACACCCATATCACATTTTCTTCAATAACTCCAAACATGTGTAAACATTGACCATGTGCATATAAATTCAGATTTCACTAGCTCTTTCCTATTCGAGTACCTCATACACCCCTGCATGGATTTGAGTTGGATTCGCCTTTAATACGTGAGCCGACACACTCGCAAACGCTGATTGGATAAAGATTGCGAGAATCTTTAAAAGAATAATATTCAAATGTATGTATATTTCTGAGGCTGCATCACTGGGAAATAATTATATGAATAAAAATAACGTGTTTCTGTAAATGATTAAGAGAAACCAATATGATGTTCATACAGCATTTAAAACAATGGTCACGTGGTTACCATCCATGTCATGGGGAGAGAAAAAGATACAGTTGAGTGACTTGAAAATTGGCTTGAAAAAATGATAAAATTGCTTCATAATTTATTTGTTTGCTAATCTACACAAAATACGCCATTTACATAAACGTAGAGAATATATTTTGTTTTCATTTGTATCATGATTTAAGATAAGTTGCTATTTACAGTAAATACCAGCATATCATTATATTTAAAAATATATATTTATTATAGTGTATATCTGCAGCAACCTATGTTTTAACTAGAATATGACAAAGTATGCATATGATTAACATATAATCAACAAGGCACTAACATACAAAATGTCACCACCTGCCATGTGTTATATGAAGATGCCAACTGTCGTCCACAAAAAAAGTTGGAGACTATAACAATATGTAGCCTCTTGTGGTAGTGACATAAAACGATCAACATTGGTAAAAACTGACTTTAAAACATGTATATGTTAAGAGTTCTTCAGTTGTTATATAACAGCATATACACTTTATACTCATCTACACTATTTACTCATCTACACAAGGAGATATGCGGAATAACCTATGTTTAGAACTAATTGAGTACTCATATTTGCAAATATCGATACTAAATTAGCACTAATGCAATGGGTCCTGATTCATCATCCTCCGATCACAGGGCTTTAAAATCCAGAATATTATTCATTCTTTTTACCCCCTGGGATAAGCAGTTAGCAATTCCCCGATTAAGAACTCGCAATCTGATTGGCTGTCACAACACTGCGACAAAAATCATGTATAAGTCATTGCGCATAATTAAATCACGTGATTCAGTTTAATCGGGCGCTTCCAAATTGGTTATAGCAGGGGGAAGAAGGAAGTACGGATTCTGGATACCTGCTTAGGAGGATGTGATTCATTGGATGTTTTAATATCAAATAAGTACTTATATCATGAGTGAGTGATGAAATCATACTCATTTAGTATTGAGTTTGCAATTATCCAAATGCGAGTAAGTAGTTACCAGATTCACCACCAGGTGGCTGATTCGGGTCAATTAACATGGCAGGTATATAAGAAAATTCCCTTAAACTTGAATATTATCAATTTAAGTGGCTCAATTTTCATATAACCCTTATGTGTCCGATACTTATACTAATGAAAATATGTCCAGTAAAGCAAAATATTATCTGTCCACTAAAAGAAAAGATATTTCATTTTTGTGATTTTATAGCATGGGGTCTATGGGGAATCTCCCCGAGTTAGAAGTCACATTTTCAAAGAAAATTAATTTTTCAAAATTGATAAACACTTTTTAAAACCACATTTCTAGATGTAATTTTACATGTAGATTTCAAATATGATATTACTTTGACTGAATTTTGAATTTTGAATGACGTAAATCAAGATTATTTCTACTCGCATCTGGGTTATTGCCCATGACCTTATGTCAAGAGTAAACATTCAGTACTCACTTTGTACTAATTGAGTAACTTTGGCATATCTCCCTATGTCCACTATATTGTATACTTTATATTTTGTATATTTTATATTCCTAATTCTCTACAATACTGTTTATTTTATTGTATAAGACTAAAAATAGACAGTACTATACAGTGTATAATCTAAAATAATAAGGCAACACACAGTGAATATCGACACTATTTAACCAAATTCCCTGTGTCCTAATAACAACATACTATATATACTTATACATGTATATAATTTGCATGTGTATATAAGCCAATAACCAAAATACATGAATAATGGAAATACCTTAACCCTTAATCTTCAGGTAGATTTTTAACTAAACAGGTAGGGGGGGGGGGGCTATTAAAATATCACATGAATTGTTTATATCCTAAGTTCAGATCCCTGGGATAACATATATTGGATAACATATATTGAATAATATATACAGTACAGCCAGACAGTAAAACCTGTGTATATTGAAGATTTTTGTTGGGAAAAGACGTTCAGTATTGGTAGGTGTTCACTAGAGAGGGTAATTTATACAGAAGTCAGAAGAGTGTGTGTTCACTAGAGAGAGGTGTTTGTTAAGACAGGTTTTACTGTATTTGATTTTGTGATCGGAATGCACATATTATATAGGCTACAGCTTTAAATATATGGGAGTAAATATGAAAAATAAAACTGAAAATAGCTGCAATTAGTTTATAATATGTGAAATAAAATTTATATGGAATTGATGATTTAACAGTACACATCTTGATGTGTGATATTGTGCGTATGATTTAACAAAAGCTGGTAACACTCCCCGTTTAGACTAATAGAATGACATATATATAAGTACTTTTGATTGCATCCTCCGATCACAGGGCTTCAAAGTCCAGAATATATTCTTTCTTTTTACCCCCTGTGATAAGCAGTTAGCATTTCCCCGATTAAGAAGTCGCAATCTGAATCACTGTCGCAACACTGTGACAGAAAGCATGTATAAGTCATTGTGCATAATTAGATCACGTGATTCAGTTAAATCGGGCGCTTCCAAATTGGTTATAGAAGGGGAAAAAAGGAGGCACGGATTCTGGACACCTGCTTAATTAGGAAGATGTTTTGATTGATTCTTTGTGATATGGTCACATTAAGCACATTATAATTCTTACTCATTACAATTCAATGAAATGAAAATGAATTGTTATCATTTCATATCAAAAGACCTTATAAAACAGGATACACCACCAGATGAATAGTTATATCTCATAACAATCAGTATAACTTTTTCTCAAAAATACAATAAAATATATGAAAAATGTATAGCATAACAGATGTATACAGGGTGGTCCAAAAAAAATTGGAACATTTGATAATTGAACGCAAAACCTTTATTTTTCTTCTAAAATGCACCAAACTTTAACTGAGCAGAGTTCGGTCACTTATTTATCTGATGTAAAGTTTATGGGTGCAAACAACAAAGGTAATGCATTAAACTAGACAATGTTTGATATGACCCCTAAACTCCTGAATTACAAGTTGAAGCCTGGGACTCAGTTTTGAAATGATTCATTCACTCTTGCTGTATGTTTGATTTTGTCCAAGCCATCTTGATTAAAAAATTCAGCTTGAACAAACTACTTATATGTTTGCTTTGGAAGATCAAATATGTGAACACATTCAACATTTTTTACACAAATTGATGGGTAGTATCAAGCATATTTTGATGGCTATTGTTAGGTGTATTACTGATTGAATATTCTCAAGAAAGAGGCCAGGGCAGTCTGTTTTGACTGGTAAATGAGCCCCCCCCTCCCCCTTTCTTGTTCTAATATGGATAATATTCATTGAATATATCAATATCATAAAGGAGCTTCCCAGAACACAAATGATATATTATATGTGCTTAGAGGTGGTCTTGAATAAAGCCTTGTAAATAACTGGTCAGTTTCCCCTTTACTGAAAAGTGGAAACAATGATTTTGTCACGTTAGTAGCTGTATGGGTTATGCAATCACTCACTCTTACATGTTCTTTCTTTCGTACTCTTGAATAAAAATAATGATTTGGGGTATTCTTAAGTTAACAATAACACAATAGTTTTCTAGTAAACCATAGATGTAAATAACTCTTGTCAACTAAATATGATTTTATAAAATGTGTATAGCAATCAACATGTTCATTAAAGCGTTGAAATAAAGAAAACTTGAAAAAGTAGCGGCGAAATTGACAAGTGTATATTTGAGAAAAGGGGGTCATGTCAAATATTGACTAGTTTAATGCATCAACTTTGTGGCTTGCACCTATAAACTTAACATCAGTGAGATAAGTGACTGAACTATACTCAGTAAAATTTTGGTGCATTTCAGAGGAAAAATAAAGGTTTTGTGTTCAATTAACAAATGTTCCAATTTTTTTTGGACCACCCTGTATATAACAAATTTGTACCAGAGACTTCCATTATGAGGCCTACAGATGTACTGCTCATGAGCATTAAACTGAAAGTACTTTCTAAGTCATGGTGTAAACTGCAATTTTTCTAGCAATTTAGCACGTCAAGTGTATATAAATTGATGTAATAGTGGTCTATTTTGACTAAAATTTTGTTTCTATTTTTGCACACCATTGTAACTAAGTTAGTATACTTCAACAATTAACACCCTGATACATCAAACTATTTGAATTTCCGATGTGACTTACTAAAACTTTACTAAAAAATCTTAAAAGTTTAAAGAATGCTCACGTGTGTAAATCACTAGCAGAAAACCTATAAATTCTGTGTCTCTTTACAAAAATCTCTGGTAGCCTTAAGTCCTTTCTACATACCCTCACCTGTATGATGTGCTTTCACATAATATTTACATATTAATAAGTTCTGGTACTTTATCCATTTGTTGTAACAGATGCACAGTGTGAACTAATTGGTCACCCCCTGATTAATTATACTCATAGATGCAAGGACTTGATCATTAGATCATTGATGGTCTTAAGAGAAAAAAGCCCCTTATGGTTCTAATAGCACTTAATTATTGCTTCATTTCCCAAAATGTAGGAGTCTTTGTATAAAATATTGAGTTTCTGCAAACTTGAGTTTCTATTTCTCTTCAAAAGAAAAACCACTGTCCTAATTTGGCAAAATGTTTATAAAAAATATCTTTAAACAATATATAATTCAACCTTTTCCATGTGGGATGTAGTAATACCAATAAGGTCGTTTATATCTAATATTGCTCTTAAATATAGGTAGGAATCATAGACTCTCAATTATGAACTGTTAAACTCATTTAGTACAGTAGACCTGTGTACCTTTGGTACCTTTAAAAAGTGTTCCACTTAACATTAGGTCAGTTGATCTTGAGACTCTGAGTTTTCAGCTGACTCAGTCACATTAATTTGCTCTACAGCGGCCGTAGTTTCACAAAATTGATGTAGAAATCTTCACTGTAATTTTTATCCCTATATTTCATGCTGCATATTTTTCACAGTTTTGGGAAACTATGGCCGCCGTACAGTTGCTGTTGATGAAATGATGTGACTGAGGCACGAGACTGAGACACAGGTGTTCCACTTATAGAGGTTGTGGGCCTCTAAAAAGTGTTCCACTAACAGAGGTGTTCCACTTATAGAGGTTGTGGGCCTCTAAAAAGTGTTCCACTAACAGAGGTGTTCCACTTATAGAGGTTGTGGGCCTCTGAAAAGTGTTCCACCAACAGAGGTGTTCCACTTATAGAGGTTGTGGGCCTCTAAAAAGTGTTCCACTAACAGAGGTGTTCCACTTATAGAGGTTGTGGGCCTCTGAAAAGTGTTTCACTAACAGAGGTGTTCCACTTATAGAGGTTGTGGGCCTCTGAAAAGTGTTTCACTAGCAGAGGTGTTCCACTTATAGTGGTGTTCCTCTTTACAGGTTTCACTGTCTTCTTCTTAATTTCATTTTCCGTTTCGAATTTTCATGACATCCTCATGATTTTTGACAATCGATGCAACCACCGAAGGATCAGCTAATGTTGATATATCTCCTAATTGATCAGATTTATTCGCTGCAACATTTCGGAGAATTCTGCGCATAATTTTACCAGATCTTGTCTTTGGAAGTCCAGGAGCAATCTGAATAAACGTAACAAAACATTATTTGTAGGTTACAGTAGGTCTTTAACTTGACCCAGAAGAGAAAAAATTAAAAAACTCCATGGCTAAATGTAAAAATAAATATGAACTGTAAAGAGGGAACCTGGAAAAGATTCGGCTTTAAACCCAAAGAATTAGTTGCCGTGTCATGGGATATTATCACCTAATTTTGTCAATTAGGAGGAGCAGGCTATTTTTACAAGAAATTCAAGATTTTCACAAAAAAAAATTGTTTAATTAGGCATGTTAGGCAATGAAATGCCGTGTGTGAATATAACTTAACATTTCTTTGAAAGTAATTTCTTTTCTTTACTAAAGTGAAAACAAAAACTGACATTTATAAGTAAGAGAAAAGGAGAGAAAGAGGTCTTGATCTTTGATGAGAACTATTGGAACATCTTGTCTTAGACTCTATGATTTGTATAAAAATATATGATGAAATACCTGGACTATTTCGGGTACTGCATATGAGGCAATTTGTTTCTTGACCATCTCTTTAAGCTCTTGTATAATCTGCGCTTCAGGCTCTTGAATCTCATCCATCAAGGTAACATATGCATAAACCCCTGGAATTATATAGACATCAAATGATTTCATTGAGAATATTAAACAATATAATGGATTGTAATCCCATGCCCGACACATAGACTCCGGGAATTATATAAACATTAAATGATTTCATTGAGAATATTAAACAATATAATGTAATCCCATGCCCAACACAAAGACTCCTGGAATTATATAAACATTAAATGATCTCATTGAGAATATTAAACAATATAATGTAATCCCATGCCCAACACAAAGACTCCTGGAATTATATAAACATTAAATGATCTCATTGAGAATATTAAACAATATAATGTAATCCCATGCCCAACACAAAGACTCCTGGAATTATATAAACATACAAAATGCTGATTGTGGCAATTGCAATATGTCATCATCATCTCTTGGTGATGACATTAAAATTAAAGACGTCCCCATCAGTTGCATCAATCCAAGCCAACAGAGATTCTTGATTGACAACTGCCTTGCAGTTTTGGACATTTCTTAGCCAGGCTCATAATAAGAGAACAATGGACTGAGAATTCTTAATATTTTGAAAGTTAATGCACCTAAAATAGTAAAACTCTTGAACAAAATATTACATACCTTCTCCTTTGATATCATGAGGGAAACCAACAACAGCAGTCTCTGCAACCATAGGGTGCTCATCCTGGAATAATACAGCATATCTATTGTCAGCATATCTAACTACAGTAGAACCTGTCTAAAGCTACGTTCACACCAACGGCGCTTTGATGGCGCTTTAACGTGGTGTGCGAAGCGGCTTTGCACGTCGCATTAAAGCGCCATCAAAGCGCCGTTGGTGTGAACGTAGCTTAAGTGGAACACCTTTGGTACCTCAGTTCCAAGTATTTAACTTCAGAGATGTTCCACTTATAGAGGTTGATTTAACATAAAATCAATTGGTCTTGGGACTATGAAAAGTGTTCCACTTCCAGAGGTGTTCCATTTCACAGGTTTCATTGCACATGCCATTTTGTATTCGTAGTTATTCTAGTGTCTCTTCCATTTTGTAATTTCTGATTTTAATATGTATGTTCATCCCGCAATGGTATTAATCAAAGCATTTACTGTAAGGATTCACCTACCATTGCATCTTCTATTTCAGCAGTTCCAAGTCTGTGCCCGCTAACATTGATGACATCATCCATTCTACCTGTAATCTGGTAGTAACCATCAGCATGTCTATGTGCCCCATCACCAGAAAAGTATAGACCTTCAAACACAATTATAGATGCATTTGTAACGACCCTTTAGCAAGTTGCTACTACAGCAGAATTATACAGAATTATAGAAATGTTAATAATTAGAGCTATTTTGAGATTTAAAAATCTTTAAAATTGAACCCTTCAATAACTGTATCATGTCCAACATACGTGGGTATGAGGTAGGAGGTTTTTTTATACAAAGCCCAAAAATATACCTCCTTTAAGCCTTTTGCCTTGCTGACTTAAGATTATGGCTTTGCATGCCCCTGTCATGATATTGAGTGACGCCATATGTGTTGAGTTAATGACCATTACAATCATAACTTTTTGTGAAGATGACTGAATGAGGTGAATGAGATTTCAAATTGTGTTTGGGGAATTTCGGCATAAATCCTACACTTACCAGGGTACGGCTTAAAGTATGTTTCCAAGAAACGATCATGATTGCCATATAAGGTCCTAGCCATTCCGGGCCAAGGGGATCGTATACACAAGGCTCCATACTTGTCATTCCCTTCGAGTTCATTGCCCTAAAACAATATTTACAATTCACCTTTACAGCAGTCTTTATATTTCCAATTTTATTTCTATTCCTAATTTATTTCTGATATATTTCTCATTTGATATATTTGTGCTTTTATTTAGTAACATGTATGTCATGAATATGATCATCATGGTACTTCGGTAGCTTCTTCTATACAAATATCAAACTCAGTAGTATCAATTGAAGGTGACCATAATTCATTGCTTAACTGGTTGGGGTTTATTGGGGTATCTATAGGGTTTTATACCCTATTTTTACCCTATCCCATGTTTTACATTATCTTGATAGACATCAAACTAGTGGCTCAGCATTTCATTGTGTTTGTATTCTTTGCATGTATGCAATAGAACAGAACTCAAAAGTGGCAAATACTGATGACTATATTGTAATCAATAATAACAAGGCATTCACATGCAGAATGTCACCACCTCCCATACATTACAGACACCCACTGACCTCCACCAAAAGCCAAAGGCTAAACACCAGCCACATTGCCGACTATAATATCAATAAGTCATCACTTCTGTTATGATTTACCTTTTCATCTACCAGTACTGGGTCAATGCCGAAGAATGGTCTCATGGGCATAGCTGGCTTTATTTCTGCCCCAGGGGCTGAGGGACGGGGACTGATACAAATACCACCAGTCTCTGAAAATGTCCAAAGAGTATTTCATTATATACAAACGTCCTGTTTAGTAAAATAAAGGTAGTGAAAAGAAGAAAAAATATTTTTGTACAAAATTTGTTTCTCTCACTCAGACTACATCATATTGATTCACTAAAAACATCCTCTGATATTATGGCACATATTCTTTCATTTTCAGCTCACAGTGGTAAGAAGAGCTGCGACTGTCATTAAGTCTGATGGTTATCATATCATCATTGTAGATATACATGTATTAGCATTTACCATGAAAATGCCACTAGCTTCCATTACCTTCCAATAATATATTCGTCAAGTTGTTTGGAAGAATATAATGAATACTAGGGGGAACACAGAAAACACATAATATTTTGACACCATTTGGTTGGCTCATATGGTGATTTAGGAACAGTTATAAATGATACAAAATTGTGCATTGCGAAGATTGTGATATTTTGGATTTCATTTATCCACTACATGGACAGAAGGATGAATAAATAGACGGACTGTCAGACAGATGGATTGACAGACAGGGGAACCATAGGGTCACTATGTAAGCCAAAAACTGTTGCAGCCCTTGCTCATTTAAATGCTTTTAACATTTTTGATTTCACTTTGATATACTTCATTTAATATACTAATCTGATCAAACTCAATTGGTGCAAAACTGCAAAGTTTACAGTGCAGTTTTGAAAATAAGTATAATAGTGCTATACCTGTTTGCCACCATGTGTCAACCAATGGACACCTCCCCTCCCCTACTACATCATGGTACCATTCAAATGCTTCATGGTTCAATGGCTCACCAACTACAAAATATAAAATCAATCCAATCAGAATACGGTCTCCATCAGAAATGAGCTTATTACAAAGCAGCTCAGTTACAAACCTGACAGATCCTAATGGATTTTATGGCTTAAATGGTTTTCTGTCCTATAGTAGACAATACGATTTTAAACGCTAGTAGCAAAAGCTACAATGTATTTCAAATTACCAAGCAACCTGAGTGGAGACCTGTCATATTTAGTGACAAAACTATCTTTCCAACTTACCACAGCCTAGCAACCTGAGTGAAGACCTGTCATATTTAGTGGCAAAACTATTTCAAACTTACCACAGCCCAGCAACCTGAGTGAAGACCTGTCATATTTAGTGACAAAACTATTTCAAACTTACCACAGCCCAGCAACCTGAGTGAAGACCTGTCATATTTAGTGACAAAACTATTTCAAACTTACCACAGCCCAGCAACCTGAGTGAAGACCTGTCATATTTAGTGACAAAGCTATTTCAAACCTATTACAGCCCAGCAACCTGAGTGAAGACCTGTCATCATATTAAGTGACAAAACTATTTCAAACTTACCACAGCCCAGCAACCTGAGTGAAGACCTGTCATATTTAGTGACAAAACTATTTCAAACTTACCACAGCCCAGCAACCTGAGTGAAGACCTGTCATATTTAGTGGCAAAACTATTTCAAACTTACCACAGCCCAGCAACCTGAGTGAAGACCTGTCATATTTAGTGACAAAACTATTTCAAACTTACCACAGCCCAGCAACCTGAGTGAAGACCTGTCATATTTAGTGACAAAGCTATTTCAAACCTACCACAGCCCAGCAACCTGAGTGAAGACCTGTCATCATATTTAGTGACAAAACTATTTCAAACTTACCACAGCCCAGCAACCTGAGTGAAGACCTGTCGTTTTTAGTGACAAAGCTATTTCATACTCACCACAACCCGGCAACCTGAGTGAAGACCTGTCATATCTAGTGACAAAGTTATTTCAAACTTACCACAGCCCAGCAACCTGAGTGAAGACCTGTCATCATATTTAGTGACAAAGCTATTTCAAACTTACCACAGCCCAGCAACCTGAGTGAAGACCTGTCATCATATTTAGTGACAAAACTATTTCAAACTTACCACAGCCCAGCAACCTGAGTGATGACCTGTCATATTTAGTGACAAAGCCATTTCATACTCACCACAGCCCAGCAACCTGAGTGAAGACCTGTCATATTTAGTGACAAAACTATTTCAAACTTACCACAGCCCAGCAACCTGAGTGAAGACCTGTCTTTATATTTAGTGACAAAACTTTTTCAAACTTACCACAGCCTAGCAACCTGAGTGAAGACCTGTCATCATATTTAGTGACAAAGCTATTTCAAACTTACCACAGCCCAGCAACCTGAGTGAAGACCTGTCATCATATTTAGTGACAAAGCTATTTCAAACTTACCACAGCCCAGCAACCTGAGTGAAGACCTGTCATATTTAGTGACAAAGTTATTTCAAACTTACCACAGCCCAGCAACCTGAGTAAAGACCTGTCATATTTAGTGACAAAACTTTTTCAAACTTACCACAGTCTAGCAACCTGAGTGAAGACCTGTCAGATCTAGTGACAAAGTTATTTCAAACTTACCACAGCCCAGCAACCTGAGTGAAGACCTGTCATATCTAGTGACAAAGTTATTTCAAACTTACAACAGCCCAGCAACCTGAGTGAAAACCTGTCATATTTAGTGACAAAGCTATTTCAAACCTGCCACAGCCCAGCAACCTGAGTGAAGACCTGTCGTATTTAGTGACAAAACTTTTTCAAACTTACCACAGCCTAGCAACCTGAGTGAAGACCTGTCAGATCTAGTGACAAAGTTATTTCAAACTTACCACACCCCAGCAACCTGAGTGAAGACCTGTCATATTTAGTGACAAAGCTATTCCCAGATTTGAGCAATAGCCTGACAGCAGTTGGGGCCACATATATCTGGGTCATCTTCAATCGCTCAACTGTCTCCCAGTAACGACCTACAAATTGCAAGGGGAATGATGAATTATAAAAACATGGGGGATGATGAATTATAAAAACACGGGGGATGATGAATTATAAAAACATGGGGGATGATAAATTCCAACAAAGGCAGGTGATAAATAATTAAATATAAATATTATACTTTTTTATCAAAAATCCAAAATGCCCACCACATAATTTACCCAGCATGCCTAAATTAGATTTTGTTACAGTCTGTTCTTGCATCTGTAATCATTTCAAGTTAATGGATACGTGGTTTTGATGGAATTTTGAAGACATGATTTATGCCCACCCACCTAGACACCCAGACATCAATCAAACCTTTTACCTACATGCATGTTGCAAAGTATTAGTTAGTTAGTGAGTTTTGAATAATGACTTTTTTTAAATTTTAAAATCAAGCAAAGGTAGTATCATAACCCTTCAAGTGACATCAGGAAACAAATAAACTTCAGTTTTGCATAACACAAGCATAAGCCATAAGTGTTAAGGGTTCTTAAATCTGACTAAAGAGTTAAAGGTCAAAATGATTTCAAAACTTATAGCACTTATAGCAGTACTAATACATGTTGAACTCATGGTTTTCCTATCTAGAGAGATAAATATACAAAAACTTGACCTTAAAGGCATGAAAGGTAGAATCTCTGAGCAATATTCAAAGTAAACGAACTAATATGTCCGAAATTATCCAAACATACCCTCCTCCCAAAAAAATCTATATTTTGCTTTCAAAAAATTACAGAAAATTACCAATTACAAAATGAACATTTAATTTTGTAGATCTCTATATAATTCAAGGAAGGTGTTTCCAAAATTGAAAAAGTTATCTTATACAATTCGTGCCAAAATATGTAAGGGTATTCTCTTTATACTGTACTAAAAATAGAGTCTTTTTAGATAACCCCAGTCAACCTGAGATAAGTCCAGGCTATCTTTGAAGAAGCTCATAGATTCTTAGGGTAAATCTAAACATGATCTTAGAAATACAACTTTACTTATAACCCCCAGGTCAAATAGCCATTTGAAAAAGCTGTCTTTTTATTAGCCAATTATTCTGATTTATAAGAGAAATAGTTACAAGTTGTACCAGTTATAAACAATTGTTAATGGTTAAAGAAATGTTGAGGTAAAATCTTTAGATCATAAATAAAAAATAAACGATGCATATTCTCATAAAAATGACATTAATATAGATGTTAACATGTCGATATGCAGGTCAAAGTAACTATGTACAAAAAAGGTGAATATTTCATACTTGAGGATAAAGGAAAGCCACATACAATATTTACAATAGCAGAACTCACATCAGATTGAATCAAGGGAAGATCTGTTTGTTGAGAATTTGGACCAATTATTAAAAACTTAATTGGACTAATTATTTGAAAGTTTGGGCCCATTATTTCAAGATTTGGGAAAATTTACTGAAAATGTGGACCCACTGTTCGAAAGTATGAGCCCACTACTTGAAGTTTGGGACCCATTATTTTTGGGACAATCTTTGAAAATTTGGGCAATTTTCCCAAGATTTGGGAATATTATTGGGCTTGCCTCTGCATGAATAAGACCCAAGGGGGAAATTTTCTGATGAGTGTGAGGCTGGAAGAACACGGGAATTTTCTCCCTTGGGTTCAACATGTTCACAACGAAAAAGACAAAATCAAGTATCCTCAGATTGGCATTAACAAATTATTTTCTTCAACTACATTATACTAACCTGCATCAGGATAGGTTGGGATGCTCTCAAACAGCACACTGGTGACCCCATTACAGAGTGGCCCATATACCACATAACTGTGCCCTGTAATCCACCCTATATCTGCCACACAGCCCCATACATCTCCTGGATGACAGTCAAATACTAACTGGAGAGAAACACAGAGGGTCAGAGATTATCGTATCTGGGAGCAAATTTTCGACTAGTTGCAATAATATAATTTTTTGAATTGTCAACTGGATGAAAAATCCTAACTGAACAATGAAATTGTTTTATCAATTGAGTGATCAAAAACTCTCAGCCAGATTTTCAGTTTAATGAATTTGAATTCTGTATTCTAGTATTTACCCTTTGACTCCTATTCCTATTAATCCCCCACAAAATATAAGCTCTGACAAATCCCAAGCAAATCATAGTCTGTCATTGCTTAAAGTTTTAAAAGTTTAAAAAAACTTATTAGTACATGTATAGATCTGTAGTGCTTTCTGATTGGCTACATGTATATTTTAAATTGATTACTCTTACTCAGAGGGTAGTGTCCTTGGCAAAGGGTAGATTACACATACCTGATGTGTCAAAGCTGCATATAATAAATAACCAGCTTGAGAATGAGCAATCCCTTTAGGCTTCCCTGTTGATCCTGAGGTATATAACATAAACAAGAAGTCTTCACTGTCCATAGGTTCAGGGTCACATTCAGTATGCTGTTTTGCCATCTCCTGTAAAAACAATGTATACAGAATGATCAATCCCTCAGAAAAAATGACCTTGAAGCTCTGAAAGCATTGTTTATTCATTGTCAAACCTTTTAGAACCATCAAAATTATGAAACAGATTGCAAAATGTCAATGAAACAGAAATAAAACTGTGAAAATTATGTCCCAAATACTAGAAGACATTGTAAAGTTTTATGCAATATCCCTTTTGTCTCAATGCTCAACTAAGCACTTTTTAGGGGTGAATACAGGACTATACTTTACCTCTGACCTATTTACACTTAATTCACTTATTCTCAGATCCTGGTTACATGAATAAACAATGCAAGTAATACAGACACTAAATGCCAACTGCCAAACACAACCGCCGAACATCGTTCACAAAAATGTTGGAGACTATAACAATATGTCACCAATTCTGGTGGTGACATATTTACTAAGAACACAATCCTACCTCCTCAAGTGAAAAATCAAGATCTGTCCTAGATACATCATTCCCTGTCCTTTGTGTAACAAACACTCTCTTAACACAGTCACACCGGGAAACAGCTTCATCAACCGTCTTCTTTAGTTCAATAATTTTGCCACCTCTCAAACCTTGGTCTGCGGTGATCACAGTCTCTGCAGCAGCTAGAATGACATGGGACTATTTCTTATTTCTAATCATGTACTGACAAATGTAAGTGTCAACGGATTTAAGCCCAGGGATCAATGAATTGTGGACGAAGCACGAGGATCTTTTCGACATGTTGAATGAGGGTGGGAGCCCAAACTCAAAGGCTAGTACACAGGTGCATTAAAGCGCCAACATATCAAGCATTGAGTTATATGATTAAATTTTTTTTTTTCGCATACTAGCAAACGATTTAATTTACTATCAAAAATAAAATATAAAAGACAAATCATATTCCTGCAATGTTTATACTGGTGCCATCGCCCTATAGCTGATTTCATGTAGATTTCAAGTGGCACAATGCAAAATGTGAGAGTTATTTTTGGCGATGGGGGTTTTAAAAAGCAGGTCTTTTTGGCCAAAAATATTGCCCAAATACGGGGTCAACCCAGTTGTCCGAAACCCAGTTGTCCGAAACCCAGTTCTCCGAAACCCAGTTGTCCGAAACCCAGTTCTCCGAAACCCAGTTCTCCGAAAATTAAAAAATTAAATTTCTTAGTAACGAATCTTGTCGCAACCTCGCGAATCAGGACAGCATAACATTGGTATCACGTTGACATCGGTTAGCCCGGTCAATAATGGGTCCTAAAGTTCACGATCATATATATATTCTTACTAGATTCTCGACACATAGACTTATATGGACATTCTACAAATTTTGAACCGCATTGTCCAGCACGAATCGCACTCCTTCTTGGTGAAAATTCAAGACTGCCGCCAACATTTTAGACAATTATCACAGTCGAAGAGAATATTCTGGCGAAAGGAATATCTATCTCATTCGAATAACGTATGGACGTCCGTGACAATTATATATATTCATTTGATAATTTTTTCATTCCCTTTTCTCAATATCAATATGTTTTCCAATATCAATTGATAATATTTCTACCCTGAAAAATATCTAAAAAGAAGATTTTGGTTGTTCAGTACCACCCATTGTTAAGATTTCGTCCAAATTTTCGATAAATCAATAAAATATGCTCATTTCGTATAACTTATATATGTGGCATATATACATATCAGATGTCTATCCTTTTTTCATCATAATATAAGAGGTTTGTATGTTTTAGTAGAAACGTATTCCTTTCCAAACATTTAGATTTAAGAATTTCTCCCATTGGTGATATTGTTCAAAATCAAAACTGTGTTTTTGCGATATATTGAACTGTTGAAGTAAGTGTGTAATAGTTTGTAGTAGAGCCAAGATTTGATCTGTATCATGCACGTACCCTGCATAAAAAAATTCGTTTTTAGTGTGCCATAGATGTCAACCATTAACTATTGCAGAATCATTGAAAAAGTTTTGTGAAAAATTAGGATAATGTTTCAAAATTATACACCGGACAATAAATAACTATACTCAATGCAGACAGGGAGTTTTAATAGCCCAAAAACTGAGTATCAAAATGCATTTGTATCTCTTTAGTATCTTGCATGACTCGTTCATATGAATTCTTTATTTCTACCTCGTTCCCAATACATTCTGAGACAGTTCAACCTTTGCCCCACGTCGCCACGCGGTCCTAACTTCGACCGTTAATTTGAATTTTTGACCTACCGGATATTTGAAAATCAATTACGAGTCTCATACTGCACCGTTTTTCTTCAAACTTGTTCCATTCAAAGCATGACAAAAATCTCTTTCTGATGGTACGTTATTATCTTAAACAGAGTTCCTACTTCCAGCGTAATTTTGGTCCCCAGCTGTAAGAAGGCCTTCTAACAGCTGGGGAGTGGGGACCAAAATGCTGCTAGAACGAGAGACTCTTTACAATAAAGAAATGCACTGGCAGAAATGCAATTTTGTTTTGCTTTTAATGGTATAATGGAAGAAAAACGGTGCAATATCAGACTCGCAATCCTTGATTTTCAAGCATCTGGTAGGTCAAAAATTCCAATTAACGGTCGAAGACCGCGTGATTGCAGAAAGTGATGACCACGTGGAAATTCTGGAACTACCCTTTCGAGTAGGCAAGTAGACCCCAAACGGTTCTAAGTACTTCCAATCCGTCCACACAGTTTAAGCCCGTTCTCGAGAGCGTAGTCAGAACTAGTTTGGTGTGATAATAGGGTCAGATACTGAAAGTGTAAGCATGGACGACCTCCCACCGTCCAATGAATACAGTGGATTCAGAATCAGAAGGCGTTTCAGACGGCGTTCTGAAACAGCTCACTATAGCTTATTCCTTAAATTTTGGCCTGAATGCTTTGTACGTTGAGAGACGGGACGGGACACGACCAGTGTGACAGCGCCATTAGCATTAGGCGCACGATGGGCACATTTTAACTTAGTATGAGTAGGGGATAATTTATGAGGATCAATAGGACTTCCCACGGCAGCCGCACGGTGAATTTTAAATTTCTGTTGATAAATAATACTTTTTTCATTTTATTTACATCAGGGCAATTTATAAATGTTATTCATAGTGCTAGGATGTAATATCAAATGAAAAGTGATCGTGAAACATTGACAAATAATGATTCAATCTTGTTGAGCCAGTTGATTTCTACGGGACCTCAGAAATGAACAAATATTATAACTCCGAGTTATAATTTCTATACGGCGACCCTGCGGCGTGTGAAAAACTGGATACGCCGTAGGAGTCCCCAAGGCAAGCGTAGTTTTCCTACGCACAGGCACTGTAGCCCCTTTAAACATTATCCTCCGTCAATAGAAGATACACTCACCTCCATAAGTTGAACTTTTATTTACTTAACCGGCGATGAAATAACTTATAATATTGATGGAAACGTAACTTGACTTTATTTCCAATACCTTCAAATTTTATCAATTTTTTTCCTAAATTACAATAGGTCGAAAATTGATGATAAATTTGATGACTTTTTGAAAATCGTCATTCCCATGTCATCCAATGGGAAATGGTAGATTTACCGCACGTCATATGACAGAATATCCATCCATCCAAGTCCTTGCAAAATATGAGTAAGGCAGGCAATTGAATTTGCTAACTTTATTTAACAAAGAATTGATATGTTTCTTCAGGTTCAACAAAGTTACAGGGCTTTAAAGTCAAAATTGGTTTTCAAGAAAACTCTCCCATTGAAATAACACAGGAGTCGAAAAATTATTTTCAAAAATGACTTTGAAGCGCTATAAATTTAGTATTCATCAAATAAATTAAAACTTAGTGAACAAAAAAGTCAGACAATTCAATTTTTTATACCAAAAAAATTTTGCTGAATCTTTTACTGAAAAGATTCTGATTTGCCCCGAACTCTCTATTTCCCCTTGGATTATACGGGAATGACGATTTTAAAAAATTCATCAAATTTATCCTCAATTTTCGATCTCTTGTTATGGAGGAAAAAAATCTAGAAAATTAGGAGGTATTGGAAATAAAGTAAAGTTACGTTTCCATCAATATTATACGCTATTTCATCGTAAATAAAAATTCAAACGTAAAGAGGCTTTAACACCTAGTTCAATGGGGGAGCTAAGGTTGCCAAACTTATGGAGGGGAGTGTATAAATACAACTACCGGCTTTTCACGCAAATGAGCCTACTAGGCGTTTATTTAGTAAAGTTGGCGTCGTGTACATCTTTTGAAACCAAAAATTATTCTTCATTTAGGTACTCTGTTCGAGAAATAGAGATTAAATTCAAAAAGATGAAGTGAGTACATGGCGAAAATGAAACTTCTTGCGAATTGGAGAACATCCAATTTGATACGAGGACAGCCTGTCTTCGTTTCCAGTTTATCCCAAGTGATTACGTTTAGAATGTTTTGTTCTTTTACATTTTACGATTTGATAAGAGACAGAGACTAAGAAATTAAATGCGACGAAACATTTTGACAACGTAATATGTGTACTGTTTATTCTTAAAGTTTTATGCGTTAACTTATTTTATCGGTTTCAAAATGTTTCATTTTATTTTGCCTATATAAAATATATTGAATAAGATAAGATCAACTGTTCCGTAATATATATTGTGTTTTGATGACCTTTTTTAGAATCACAATGTAAAATAAATCCCCCGTTCCTGTCATTTTGGTAACGCCGTGTAATGGATGCAATTCAAAGTGAGAGAGAGATCTATACATCAGAATGCATCCATGCCATTAATTTTGCCAAATACATGACATGAAACTGGCTTGAGGTGCGTCCCCCTTTATCTGGTAAAGTATGACTAAATTTTTCGGACAACTGGGTTTCGGAGAACTGGGTTTCGGAAAAATGGGTTTCGGAGAACTGGGTTTCGGACAACTGGGTTTCGGACAACTGGCTTTCGGACAACTGGGTTTCGGACAACTGGGTTTCGGACAACTGGGTTTCGGACAACTGGGGTGCACCCCCCAAATACCCCATCGATACACAGCGAACAATGCCGAGTAAAGTAAGGGTAAATAGTAAATAGCCTACCATCATTGATCCTAGTAGCCAAAGCTTCAGCACTAAACCCAGCGAATATAACATTGTGTATGGCTCCTATCCTGGCACAGGCTAACATTGAGGCTACCAGATAGGGTGAGACTGGCATATACATTGCCACTCTGTCTCCTTTCCTAACCCCATGGCTCCTCAGTGTATTCCCAATCTTGTTCATCATGTCATACAGCTCTCTGGAAATCGCATGCAATGAATTTCAGTTATATTAAACATTGTACTGTACCTTTGATTCACTTATCAATCATTTCCCTGATACTCAAATTACAGTGTAGTACATGTACTTTACAGTAAAGCAGTACTTATTTCTCGTACATAAGTGTTTACTTGCTGTACTGTAAAATATCAATATTACTTGTATGTAACAGCTTGATGGCATCCCGGCTCATCTTTCTCCCAAAGCAAAGCAACTCTGTTGGGATCTTCCCTCATGTGGCGGTCTACACAATTCACTGTAAGAAGAAATAAGGTAATTTATTACAAGAACACAAATGTGTACAAAATGTCCCCACCAATGGGTGATCCCATCAAATGGTTATCCTGAAAATGAGTAGACAAGACTTTACCAACACAATTTTAATTGATCCGTCACACAGTTAACTAGAAAACAGAATGCCAAAAACACTAATCAGATGTAGATTTTCACACTAAGAATCATCCCTGAAAATTTGAAATTGATCTACCAAACGGTTCACCTAAAAACTCGTAGACAAGACTTTACAGGCAAGATTTTAAGACGGAAAATCCAAAATGGCTGCCTTGACATTTATCCAGAATGCCAAAAAACTAATCAGATCTAGATTTTCATACTAAGAATCATCCCTAAAAATTTGAAATTGATCTACAGAACGGTTCACCTGGAAATGCATAGACAAGACTTTACAGACAAGATTTTAGGACAGAAAATCCAAAATGGCTGCCTTGACATTTGCCCAGAATGCCAAAAAACTAATCAGTTCTACATTTTCATACTAAGAATCATCTCTGAAAATTTTAAATTGATCTACCAAACGGTTCACCCGAAAACGCGTAGACAAGACTTTACAGACAAGATTTTAGGACAGAAAATCCAAAATGGCTGCCTTGACATTTACCCAGAATGCCAAAAAACAAATCAGATCTAGATTTTTATACTAAGAATCATCCCTGAAAATTTGAAATTGATCCACCAAACGGTTCACCTGAAAACACGTAGACAAGACTTCACAGACAAGATTTTAGGACGGAAAAATCCAAAATGGCCGACAATAAAAAAGTGATTATGTGTTTTTGCTGATTTCTTCTTACAAAATTATCACATATTACTACTGTTAACAATAACATAGGCTTTTACAACAAAGTAGATCTGAAATTATTTATAAAGCTACTAAATAGTTAAAGTATGAAAACTCAAAAACACCATTCAATATTATACAAAGTATTATCGTGTGCTCACTTTTCTTAAGACATTCAAAATGGCTGACATGACTGAGCTAACAGGTCCAAAACCTAATCAGATCTAGAATGAAGTGAGCTGAACAAGATGTTAAAGTTTTAAAAGCAACTGAGAAGCCGTTTTTCTTAAAGTTTGCAGACAAGGATTTTAGCATTTGACTTCAAAATGGCCGACAGGAAGTAGGTATCGAGTTAAAATTTTTTCATCCACATCTGTATGCACTCATAAGTTATCCCTGAAAATTTGAAGGTGATATCTGTAGCAGTTTTGGAGAAAACTCCCGGACGTATGGACAGATGGACGGACAGACAGACGGACGGACGGACGGACGGACGGACGGACGCTCCTAGGCCGACAATATGGCCCCACACTATGTGGTGGGGACATAATAAAATTGAATAATACAAATTAAATTAAATACTGTGAAGAAATGTTAATAGCCTATTCCTCTAAAATTGCCTATGATTATGATTCTAAGATACAGCATACAATGCAGTCAAGCGCAGTCACTTGTACCATATCTGGAGCATGGACATCCAGGATTATCCACGCATACCATAATTCATCAAAGATGATGAACAATTTCAGAGTTTGTATGGATGAATCCAGGTACACCCATAATTGGCCATAATAGTGGAGTTAAGGTCAGGGTGCATGATGGGAAATTTTCTGCATTCCTCAATTGAGTCACATGTTATTTTTCAAACAAGAATCACTCCTTCCCCACATTTTCTATATCTTCCAGTTTTGCACAAAGAGTGCACTTATGTGCCTAGAAAAGAATTGTGAGAAGAATGTTTTGATAAAGTGTATAAGAAATAAGAAAATTCCGTGAAAAAAATCAGAAAATTTTCAGAATTTTTTTTCACTGTATTTTCTCATTTTTTATACATTTTACAAAGCAAACCTTCTCACAAGGCTTTTCTAGGCACATAACTGCACTCTTTGTGCAAACTTGAAAGATGTAGACAATGTGGGGAAGGAGTTATTCTTGTTTGAAAAATAACATGTGACTCAATTGAGGAATGCAGAAAATTTCCCATCATGCACCCTGTCCTTAAATATTTTTCAAACTTCCCCCACAGGGCATATGTACCTGAAACATTAAGCTTTCCATTGAGGAACCATGAAATAAGTCCTTTTGTCATATCAGTCTCTTGCACCCGATCAAAGTCGCTAAACCATTCCAGTCTGCTCCTTGCTAATTTGCCCCAAAAGTCTTCAGGATTTTTCAAGCTGAATTCATGCAAATCTTGGTGAGTTTTGAGGTTTTGAACCCCATTAAATTCGGGTATTTTAGTAGAAGTCAAAACAACTTGTGCAGATGATGCATATCGAATATTGTACAACTGTTTCTTCTTCACACGCCTGACACCATTTTGTAAGCATCGGCCGCTCGTAAATAGTGATTTTGACACTAAAAGTGAGCCACGTTTGAACATCTCCATTGTTGTTGTTTTTCTGAAAGGGGTGTGTCAAGAGCTGAACATTTTGGTAATAGATGTAATCTATAGATTTCATAAATTTGTATTTTATATTATTTAATCACATACATTTCATTTGTATCTTTTTAGCCTCATAACATTCAATCAAAGATGTATTATTATCATAAGTGATTTTCAGAATGAAGCTAAACTTTAAATAGACTACCAGAATGTTACAACTCGCAGCTCCGGTTAAATAACTGAGAGCACACAACCCCAAATTATCGGTATTTCGGCATTTCTTGCCTTCCCCATTTGATAGTGTAAGTATTACGCATTTCATATGATAGATTCTTAATCACAGCGCATGTTTAGTAATATTTCAAGATGTTTTTCACCAGATTTTAATGGAAATAGCAGTTTTGAGTGCACTTCCGGTCAAATTTTTAGTTGTTTTTTGATAAATTTTTCTTTTCTGGATATGATTCTGTTATACATTCTCAGATGTAGCCCACATGTTATTGATATTGTACTGTAGATTGAAGTCTCCATAGAAAAATGTCCTAGTCCTAGGGTTACTTTGGCCCTAGGATTATTTTGACATTCCGAGCTGCTTTATTAAGTTCTTCGCCAGCTAAAATGTCACTCGACTTTTTGGCAATTAAAAGTCCCTGCCTGCATTTAGTAGTCATATATTGTCATGTGCATAATTTTGAAACCATATCCTAATTATTTCACAAACCCTGATTAACACCCTTAAAATCCGATTTTCAAAGAATATATTTGGAGAAACAATAAAAGGTAGGTAAGTGGAATAAATTAGAAGATGGTTTCAAGTTAACAGAAGTCCATTTGAAACTCAAGAATGCATTCTTTGACTCATAATCACAAAAAAGTCGAGTGACATTTTAGCTGGCGAAGAACTTAGGGAAAAATCAAAATTTCCAACTGGTGAAATCATAATCCTAGATGGCCAACTTTGGAAATGTGATTTATTGGCGATAGTCGAAATAACCCAGTGGTTGAAGGGGCCTCATGACGAAGTTACCCCATACTTTGAACTTCAACTTGGGTCCAGGTAATCACCTGCAGCACTCAAACATTAGTTATTAATATGTATTTTCAGACTCATTTAACAATCTTCGGTTCTTTTTCATGTACAGTCTCACAAGAGACTTAGTTCTGAATCCCCTCAAGAATATTTAGTTCTGGTAACCTCAATCTAAAACTGGCTGACCTGCACTTATTGAGTACCATGCCTACTGCAACCTGAAACCTGCCAGGCCTGTATCCCCTCCCCCTTTCCAAAATTCTTTTAGAATCATGCAGTTTTTTACCACCTTGAACATTTTTAAAGTGATTTTGGGCCAATCTTTGAACTCCCTCTTTGGCAAAAGCTGGAGGCTGTTTCTCCAAAGTTTCATTATTAACGAATCGTTAATTCAATTGTTCATAATGATTTTTACGTTTCTCGAAAGTTAACGATTCGCGATGACATCATGATTTTTAGCAATTCGTTATCCATGATTGGATTTATGAGTACGAATGGGGGTCTTCCATAAACGATGGGATGTCCATAGAAACGAATCAACTATTCACTATTAACGATTCGTTAATAATGATACGTTTCGAGAAACGGCTTTCTGCCCCCTCTAAAAGCATTAATTCATTCAATATGAAAAAGGTCTGTTCATCCAACTATATTAACTTAATTTTCAAAATTAAAAGCTTTATTTAATGATAATTAAAAAACACATCTTCTTGTTTGTTTCAGATATAAACATGGCGTTCCGCAAGAACTGGAATCGACAAAAACCTAAACATATAAAGTTTGACACAAGTATTCCCTCAGAGAGAATATCTGAGAGTTACTCTGGACCTTATCCAAAGAAGGACCTTGCAGCAGCAAGAGGCGTACTCATACATGATTTGCGTATACAAGGCAGTGCTGCGATGGAAGCTGCAAAATATAAAGCTGGTGCACCATCAACTTATAATAATGGAAATTGGGACAAGGGGGATGGAGTGGATTATAGTGAACATTTTCATCATGGTATACCTGGCACAAACAGTCAAAATATCTCTATTATTTCAAATACCAAAGCTGAAGGACCAGAAAAAAGTGATAGTCGCAAAAGAAAAGTCATAACACCCGAGGCTCTGAATAAAAATCCTAAAAGGTCCAAAGACTTAGAAGATGGTGAGCTCAAAGAAGACGATGATGCTGATGAAGAGAGTGATGAAACATTCGAAGAAAATGACACTGAACATGTCACTCTAAATGGACCAACACATAAAATTTGTGATGTATATAAATGCGACTTTTGTGACCACATGACAAGACACTACAAAGAAATGGACCAGCATTTAAAGACAAAGCTACACTTTTCTGCAAGCCAATACAAGGCTCGCAAAGGGGAAGGTAAAACTAAGGAAAATTGGATACTTCTCAACGTGCGTAATAAACTCGCAATAAAAAACACAACATCAAACTGTGAATCGTTGGTCGTTGTTTGCCCAGAGTGCTTTTATGTTTATAGTGACATATTTGTATGTGGCCAACACTACACAGATGTACATGGTGGCGTCCAGGGATATTACAGCATATGCCCACTGAAGCAGAAACAGACATGCCTCATTAAAGCCGATAGAACTTCACCAATATGTACTAAATGTGAGCAAGAATTCCCAAAACTGAAGATACTAAAAAATCATTACAAAAAGTTCCCTGATCATCTACCTTACAAAGAATCAAAAGATTCAATCTTCATCTTTGAGTGTCCGTATTGCAAGAAAAAGTTTATCAACGATTTTTTCAATGCAAGGAGCCATCTCTTGGATCAACATGTACACACAAATGGTAAGAAGAAAACGCTTGGGTTGACAGTGAAAACAGTTGCAAAGATCACCAAAGCACAATCACTACCCAATCAAGAAAACCCCAGTCTGTTGGAAGAGATTCAGGATCAGCTGAGCACATACTGTCGCCTGTATAAACAGATACCTTCAAAATATAACAAAGCTCTCAGGAGGAATATGCGCCATACAAAAAATGAGCTGAAGCGAGCATATACCCTCGTTGCAAGTGGAAAAACTCATGTATCCAGTGATTTTAGTAAAGTCAAGGAGATACTGAAGGAAAAAATTGACCCTCAGGAATTTATGCAAAAACATAATGTTAGCTTTGGCTAATTTAATGTGTACAAAATGGAATGTTTGTTAAGACAGAGAGAAGCAGAATTTAACAGCTTTGCGGAAGGAAAAATTGATCCCCAGGAATTTATGCAAAAACATAGCATTAGTTTTAGAGTGTATAATATGTGACTCTTGTTAAAGATGATTAAATTTTAGGCAAGAAGCAGATGCTTTGACATTAAGGCTACTAGGCAAACTTGTTTGGTAAAAATTCCAGTACTCCCAGGACAAATCACTATGTCAAAATCCAATCTCCTGTAATTATTGAAGCTTGAAAAAATGTTCAAGTAGAAATTATCAATTAATTGCCTTTTTTACACATCAGCATGAATAAAACATATTTTAGAGTTATTTACTTACAGGATGATCCAGAAGTAACGTCGGCGTTTCAGTATTATTTGACTAATCATCTTGGAACGTGGTACAGATGCTCTCCAAACATTGCTGAGTTTTAAAACAGGCAATTTTCACCAGTTGTTTTCACAAAATCGCCTGTTGTTTTTTTAGCGACTTTTCCATGTTAAATTTATGATTTCCCCAAATTTTGCCTATTATTTTCATCTATTTAGCCTATTGTGAGAAATTCTCGTGAAACTCCTGTATATGGTTACCTGATGTGACGTCTTCGAGGCAAATTTAATTTTGCAAAAGAAAAAAATCTCTATATAATAATTGAGCAATTGAATGTTCATGGTTTTAATAAATAAAGTGTTTAAAACTAACATTAATGTTGTCTTAATTAAATTTTTCATTCCATTTTCTACTAAAACAAATAACTCGCCCGTCACATTAAGTAACCTAAAAATCAATCAATAAAACAGGAGAATCTTAATATTTCAGTATACACTCAGTAATGTTTGGGAAACATCTGTTCCAAGTTTCACGAAAAATTGGTCCAGTAGCATTGAAATGGCAACATCTTTTACGTTACTTCTAGATCACCCTGTATATAAGGATGAGATTACTGCTATAGTGCTATATGAACCTTTTAGTTTTATCGCTTTATGCATATTGTACTATTGTACCTGCATGTGTGAGATTTCAAAACTATTGTATTGACAATAGTAATGTTGATATAAATTAGCCTTGCCCAAGTCGGTATTTTTTTACTTATCTGATATTGAATTAATCTAGAAATCAAGATAAGTAAAAGAGACCGACTTGGTCAACGCTGATATAAATGTGCATTGGGAAATTTTGGAAAGAACATGTTGGAACATGTCAATGTTTTGCTTATGATCCCCACTTTATTATTGAAAAGGAATTGAGATATCAGATCAGATCAGAAATGAGGACCAAGTGATTAAACAGTTGAAGCGACGATTATGATCGTCATTTGTGACTGTTGTCAGGCTATTCCGGGGTGCAGATAGAACCTTTTGAAGATTTTAGATACAGAAATGTCCAATTTTATAGGATTTGGAAAAGGGGATGTCCAATTTTTAATTCGGTTCAGGATTCATGTAATTTAAATATAATCTTGAAATAATGTCAGAACTCGGACTTTTTCCCAAAAACATGACATAGAATGATACTATTCTAGTACTTAAATACTGTTGTAGCTTGAAAATATACAATTTTAAAAACAAGTCCTATGTGTATTTATATTATTCAAAAACTATAATAAATATACTAAAGTAGTATACCGTATATAATTTTTATGACTTCTGCTCATACAATATTCTTATAATGACAATGTATGGTGAGAAAAAAATTCCTTTTGTGATATTACCCAATCGTCATTTAATTTAGGAAGTAATCTAGATTTTGTCAGTAATCTACTCTATTCTGGGTTCTGTTTCCGAACGTAAAGTCGGTCTTATCGTTGGTTGCATCCTATTATGTCATCACTAAAAAGTGGTGACATATTGTTTTGGTCTCCGTTTTTTGTGACGGTGGTTGGCGATCAGCGGGTGGCGGGGGGTGGCGGCTGGTGGTTGGCGATCGGCGTATTTAACAAATTCTTAAAACTTCCAATAACTTCACAAATACTGTTTAGACTGACTGGTAAAAAGGGTCAAAAAGGTCTTTTTTCAACTTGCTTCAAATTTTTTTCAAAATCTCAGAAAATCACTTTTCTATGAATGCTCGTCAGTTGTAAAGCCTAGTATACATCAATAGGGCAAAATCCCACCCTATCGAGTCCCAACTTGTCCCATCAAATTCCGTCGTGCCCTGCGGAGTCTAATTAAATCCCATTTTGTTGGGCTTCACACCTCACGTCATGATCGGAAATCCCACGATGCAAAGATTGAACATGTCCATTCTCGATGGGGTTTGATAGGACTCCGTGGGATCTTGCCCGGGATCCAGGAAAGTGACGTGTTTCCCCCACCGCCAACTCAAAATTTCTGTAAAATTATATTATAAAAAATTGCATTTCATGCAGTATTTAATAAAGTTGAAAAAATTAATGACGTCAACTAAGATGACATTAAAGGTCGTCTATAAAGGCGTCAACCTGGAGGAGCTGACACAATCATGACAGTGATTTGTGTATTATATTTTCAGTGAAAAACTGAAGGTTTGGTTAAAATCTGTAATAAAGAAGATTAAAAACAAGATGAGATCCTTTGATGTTGGGCCGGTGTGAAAGAAATCATGGTCCCCCAGGGATTATGGTCCCCTTTCTTAACGGCCCTTACTGGCCCTGATTGCGTATAAGATAATGAGGGAAAGAGTTGTATTTAGGTCACCATATCAATCAATGGAGAGTAGGACCATAATTTGATAGGACCTCCTACCCTTTTACACCGGTACATGCGCGAATGAGATATTTTGTAATTTAATCGTCTTAAGACGTTGATGGTATAGTGGACAAGAATTACAGAGAGACAAAGTCTAAAAATATGTTAAAAGTGTCATTACAAAGCTATTTTTGCCATATTGAATGTAGTTTTTACCAGATTGTCGCTTAACAACTAAGAAATCAGATTCAAACATTAGATTTCGCTCTTTCAAAAGATAACGATGTGGTTTTAAAAAAAGTTAGGTGCGTTTTTTTAATTCATGAACATGTCCATTCTCGATGGGGCTTGATGGGACTTCGTGGGATCTTGCCCCATCGAATCACAACGAATCCCACGCAAAGTAAAGTTTATGGGTGTACTTACTTTAAGGCTATCAACAATCTTGGTGGCCGAGTATATTTTCTTATTGCTAAACTAAGAACGTGTCGCTTTAAAGCAAACCTTTTCTCGGCGAAGCTGGCAATTTGAGGCGTTTTGCTGTAGCGGCACATTCATCTTTAAGACGATGGAGTAAAATCTTCTCTGTGAATACGTTACCTAATCATCAGCTACAGTATAGGTAAGAGATGAGTACCCTTAAATTGAAATATTTACACTTTAAATTGCTTTTAAATACTCATGGTACGACGTCAGATACTGTACATCGTGGCATTTTACTGCATTTTTAATGCGTACTTACTTTTAAAACCGCAATATCTCGACAGCAAAATCATATTTTTCTACAATTTTTCGTCATCAGTTGAACACGTATGTCCATGAAATATTTTGCTTATCAGAATTCCAAATAACTGATTTGGGACTTTTTAAATGAGAATCACGCAAGCCGTATTATGCGACTTTCTATGCTAAAACCGGGTGTCGACTGTAACATTTTGAAGAAAAGTGATTTTAATTTTAAACGAAAAATGAAGATAACTTTTTCATTTCCCAACGGATCTTTCTCAAATTTTCACAATATTTAAATTCACCATTTTGAAAAAGACAAACAGATTCTGTGTGATGACGTCATAATATAACAATGCTAACTTAACGCTTATATTTATGCAAAAAAAGTGTCGACAGGCAGAATTTCGTACCAACAAGATATATATTTTGATCAATTAAACATTAAATCGTTTGAAATGTGAATTATTCTTTTTTGATTCCTGAAAGGCATATCATATTCTATATTTTTATCAAAAAACTATATCATTTCGATTAAAATTCAGTCTGTAAGAAGTATAAATTGAAAGAAATATGAAGTGAAGCCATGTGAAAAATTCACAAAATTACGTTTCATTTTTTGAGTTCAAATATTTCTAACTAAGGGATAAACATTCAAAACTTTTCAATGTGTTAGCATGTTCTTTTAAATATACCCCTTACTACATACAATTAATTTCATTTAATTTGAACCAGTATATATTGAGATAGACATCGTTTTATCACCGCAACCTCAAGTGAAGCCTTTACAAAATAAGACGTTACGCCGTTAGCGTATTATATGTTCTCCTTTATTATTCATTGCCTTAAATAAATAAAACTAAATAAAAATAATGCATTTAACAATCCTTAATATCTTCTCGTCTGTGTTTATCAGTTGAATATGACAAGGGGCATTGTGAAAGAGTCTAGAAAGACGGTGCGACAACGAGAGCGCAGGGCCGAAAAGCGCGACAAAGAAGAAAACGGGTAGGGTTTGAAATGTCTACTTTCTGGTGATTCTAATTCTGTATATCGTGACACACCCTTTTTGAATATAGAATTGTATTGAAGCGCACATTAATCTGAACAAAACTTGAAGTTTTTAAGAAGATTCCACGAATATTAAAACGTTTGCAATTACTTGGAGGAGCATTGCGCATATTTATCGCGTAAATCTTTGCATTTTGTCGGTAAAATGAACAATTGCACTGTTACGCCGTGATGTACAGTATCTGACGTCGTATCTCATATACTTCGGGCTATGAAACAGAACAGCCATATCACGTTATTGAAAAATAACTTTTGAGTGCTGTTATACGTATCATCATGTCCAATATAGAAACTTTGAAGAATAACAGAACAAATTCACTATCTTTAAGATCATTTGAAAATTGCTCGTTGAGAGATGAAAAACGATCAAATTGTAAAACGATCCCACATATCATGACATATTCAAATGCATGTCATACTCACCTTACCGCACTTCCATAAATATATGGCATTTTCCGCGTAACAACAATTACGTAAGCAAGGCACACCTCAGACACCTGTCGCTTCAGTTACTATGCCTGCATATGATATTATGTGAATGTTTATAAAAACATTCTTATGAATAGCCTATTAGAAAAAATTTATATTCTATGTTAGCGTTCGATTTATATTACAGTGAAATATGATATGCACTGGTTATCCACTCGATTACGCTGGTTACCGAAACGGTTCGTTTTGGTAACAAAATGTCGGAACGTCGAAGGTACGATTTCTCACGCGTTGTAGGCAGAATCCCCACGACTTTTGTTCTCACAAACGTATATCAGTATCATATGTTTTAGAAAATGTTCATGCTTGCGAAAAAATAGCTCAGAAGACAACAGAATCGTCGATTTAATTCCTCACTTAAGTTACATAAACGGTTTTGGTTAAAAGTGCAGATCTAACTGTTTTTCGAAAAACCGTTTATGCAACTTAAGTGAAGAATTAAATCGACGATTTTTTTGTCTTTTGAACTATTTGTGCGTACATTTTCTTAAACATATGATACTGATACACGTTTGTGTTAAAAAATGTCGTCGGAATTCTGCCTACTACGTGTGAAATGAGGAAAAGAGAAAAATCGTACCTTCGATGTTCCGACATTTTGGAACATTCCGAACCGTTTTGGTAACCAGTGTAATCGAGTGGATCACCAGTGATATGATTAGTACCATCATGGATCTCGTGATCTTTTGTACATGACAGCCAGGCTCCGTAAGTGCGTCAGGGTTTGGGTAAAAAGGCGTTGGGCGTCTACAGAGTGTTCAAAAATGGTTTGGGTAAAAAGGCCGTAGGGAAATAATTTGGTAGTGTAATTCATCCAAAAACAGAGTACCTGAGACCATATCGGAAAGTAGAAGGTCAAGGTCATAACTCGAAAATATAGATGTACATGGCTCGCCTATTTTTGATCATAGCAATCTTCTCGATTTTTGAGAATACGCCTAACCTTTGAGACAGCGTACAGCGTCAACATATTTCGTAGTTAGTATTCTTAAAAAAATAATTGGATGGAAACAAATACGAGTTTGTGTATGGTAAAAAAACAGCATTCTCTGAGAAAAGGGTTAAACTTTCTAATTACGAAAACATTTTTTCGAGTGCTACTCGGACTTTTTCTAAGTGAATCGGCCCACATAATCGAACCAAGGGAAATGTTGTCTTTCACATTTCGTTTGGTTATTTTTTCCATGCAGTCTGAGAGAATGGGTTATTTTTCTGAGAATATGTGTTTGTAAACTACATTTTCTAGGACAATTTAAGATTAAATTGAACAAATAATTCTACATTGTGTATATGAAAAATCAGATCTGTACGTTGACGCGTCAACTGTACGTTGACGAAGTCATTTGGAGATATAATGAGATGTACAAGTAATATAAAGAACTCAGTATTTGCTTCAAATTTGCTTCAAGTTTTTAAGTGGAAATTCAAGTGTTGTTGCAATAAAGTATCTTCTAGTACAAATTTTATAAAATATAAGATACATGAGATTCTTCTTTACCTCTTGTGAGACCAGAAAGCTTTAGTATATTTGAACGCGTTTCGAATAAGTATATCTTGCTATACCGACGTCAAACTAACGATTGTTACCAGAAGAATGAATTGATACATAAACATTTATTTTTATTAACATTAAAGTGTTTTAAACATCACACAAGAGGATGGAACACCCCAAAGTCCAGAGATGACCTCAGAATCACCTCTCTTACTAACCGTCTTTGTTTGTCAAAATCCATCTAGATTCTGAGGTACTTTGATCGAGGTAAACACACTTCTTGCATCTCTCTCTATCTTGACCTGAAATAGCAAGCTGTAATACAGGGTGTTCGATATAACACATTTTTGTCTCTCTTTATCTTGACGTGAAATAGCAAGATAATACAGGGTGTTCAGCCGACAGACCCTGTATTTTAATGGACACTCGTTTTCTCCCCAATACACCATTTTTATTTCAGTCTTGCCTTTTTGATGCTTTAACCTTTTACCACACCACATAATCAATGTAAACTCATATTTGGACGAAAGCCTGTATTCTTACTGCTTCATGGTTCTTCACTTTTGATAATAATTCCGCTGGAATGTTTTTGATTTCTCTTTGGATGTTGCCCTTAAGTTGTTCTAGGTCTTTTTGCTTGGAATGAGCATTAGAGCACTCCTTCAAATAGCCACAGAGAAAGCGAGAAAGCAAATTATTCAGGAGTTACCTTCCAGAGTTACGCAGGCTGGCCTGGAGACCAAATGATACCCAAATGAAAACACAGTGGTCTCAAATTGATTAATCCCCTCTACTCTACACACAACAAAGACTACACTAGAATTCCAACCAATGCAGTTTCTTGAACGTCTGCAGTGGCGTAGGAACAATGTACGCCAAAACGCCAGTGCGTAGTGTTGAAAAGTGAGAATAAAACGGCTTATTAATAATGTTCTTTATTCATATTTTCTCGTTGTATTGTGCAAAAGTAATCTCGAGCACACTAGCCTAAAGAAATGTTTTGTGGATACCATATGATATGCTTGTTTTTTCAATAGTACTCTTTTGCATGGTTTTTGTGCCTCTGTTATTTTTCTAATCTGGACCACAGATAAATGACACTTTTTGAAAAAATAAAATATTGAAAGTTACCTTGTTTCTATAGTTCTAATACTGTAGAAAATGCAAAGTAACATGCTTTATTTCATGATAATCGAGCCACTATTGACTATCTTATGGATTTTAAAACTAAAATACAATTTCGCCAAATATTCGTGATTCGCGTCCTCTTCACGAATTTGAGAAAAAACAGTTTTTTTCAAAAACTACTTGATGAATACCTTTGCAATTTTTTGCGCATGTTCTGTAATGCTTATGCAAACTGTGGTATCGTAATAAATGAGATATATATTTTTTATTCTCCCCTACCCCCAATTTTTCAATTTCACTATATCAATTTATATTCCGTTGCTAGGCAAAATCATAGACAGCAATTATAGTTAAGTCAGCAATTATCTATTTTCTTGATATCACCAATTGTTATTGGTAGTACTTCTTGAAATATGAATGTTAAAGACAAAAACAACTTGAAAATGTTGATTATTCAAATACGCGTTCCATCGATTTCAGTTCTAGAAAAGCTATTACCTAAATTATCATTTCATTTGAAAGATAATAGATTATTGTTTTAGGAAATATAACATTTTTGGCACCCCCTAAGTCACGTTGACCTCGATTTGACCTTTGTGGTGGGAAGTTTATTTGGTCTTGCGAATTAGTGTTATAAAAAAGGTTGCAGACATTAGGGTTAATTGTTTCATTGATCACGAATGCGTTTATTTAAATCAATTGATCAAGCTAGATTCTTTAATCTGTACGTGTCGTATTGCACGGTACACGATGGAATCAGACAATACTATATATCTCAATTCAATTATTCGAAAATGATGAAAAAAGCTCTCATTGTTATTTGGAAATTGATCGTCTATATCGTTCGAGACATAAGAAAAGTGAGAATGATTTGTGATTTTCCATGGTGATTTTAAATGATGAAAATCATTCGAACATTTTAAGCACATTAAAAGGGGCATCAAGGATTTTAAGCTTGCATATAAAATCGAAGCGCCAACCTATACGTATGATCAATCGCCCATACAAATGCATCGCTTAAACATTTCCGTTCACATTTAGGTTATGAAAACATTGCATTCTATTGCCATAAAATGACGTTTAACGAGCATAAAATAAGCGTTTTGATATACAAGATTTGACACAATTGTTTCATAGTTTTGGCGGGATTTTTTGGCGTAGTGTTGAATTTACACCTTCCTACGCCCCTGGTCTGACCTCTCTGTATAAGGGGCTATTAGACATTGTGAGGACCTCCCTGTTCACCAGATTTAACAGCCCATACATTTTTCTCTGGGGCATTTTTATGCTAAACCAAAGCTAAGAGACCTAGGACAACAGTTAAAACCAGCATCCGAACAGAAATCGTAACATTCCACCAGAAATATCAAATGTGATGAACAATGTAATCGTACGGATGCAGACTGTCATCGAAATTTGAGTTTACATTGATTATGTGTATAAAGGTAAGGGGTTAAAGTATCAAAAAGGCAAAGTTGAATTAAAAACTGTGAATAGGAGAAAAACTTACATGTTTTGACTACAAGACCATGCAAAAAATGTCTGAAAATATTGATTGGTTTGTCTATGCTGTTGATATACTTTTGGGTATATTTCTTGAGACACCCTATATACGTGTACATGATAATGACGATTGTATACGTCATATTTTCATTGATCGATTGATCGTGAGCACTAGATAGATAGTAGAACTCCGGCATCTTGGGAAGAACGTCAGTTGGATTTTGACTACTAAAAAGTAACATTCAGAAAAGTTATAACTAGAATGTCACAGAAAAGGAAAATCGCTATCATAGGTGCAGGAGCGAGTGGCTTGACCGCGATTAAATGCTGCTTGGACGAAGGATTAGATCCGGTTTGCTTCGAAACAGCAGATGATATTGGAGGCCTCTGGAGATACACCGAAGAAGTCGTAGATGTAAGTCAGTGCTAGTGTCACTTAACCAGAATATACATTTGAAATGAAAATGATAACAATGAGTAATTTTGCTCACCATGGTGATGTATCAGTGGCGGATCCAGAAAATAACAAGTGGGGGGGGGGCTTTGAGTATGGAAAAAAATTTTGGGCCCCCTAAAACCCAAAATTGGGCCCAAATTTTGAGAAATTAAGGCCCTTTTTGATAAATTGGCCCAAAAAAGGCCTAAAAGGCCAAATTATACTCAAAAGGCCCATTTTGAGGCCACACAAAATTCTTGGGCTCTAATAACTTTCTGGGCCCTCTGCAGGGGGGGGGGCATGCCCCTTCCCCTAAACCTACCAAAGTGTATTGCCAATTATACGATACACCTTATCTGGGGGGGGGGGGTGTATATAGATATTGTATATCGTATAAGAGGGTGAAAATTTATTGTATATTGTATAAGAGGGGGCAAAATTTATCGTATATGGTATAAGAGGTGTAAAAAATATGGTATATGGTATAATAGAAAATATATGGTATATAGTATCTAGAATTAAAGAAGGCCAATATTATGAAGAAATTGTACCCTAAAGTTTCCCATTGTGCCAACTCCCTTACTGTAACCGTGTTGGAAACACATGAAAAAGTAGTCTCTCTAATTGGTTCCACATTCCAGGTCAATCAATACTGTAAGTTTAGAGAAAATCCTTCTAAAACTAAGAGTTTTGCGCCCTTTTCATTCAAATTTTCACAGGAGGTGTTAAATATAGTCTCAAATAAGAATCACGCCCGATGATCAGAAGAAATGAACGGAGGGGGAGTAGATCTAGCTGATTTTCGGTAGAAAATTCAACAAATCTTGAAGATTTATTTTTTCAAGAGAAAGTTTACAATAGACTTGATGCGAGTAGAAATGATCTTGATTTACGTCATTAAATATTCAAAATTCAGTCAAAGTGATGTCATATTTGAAATCCACATGTAAAAATACATCTAAAAATATGGTTTCGAAAATTGTTTATCAACTTTGAAAATTTAATATGTTTTGAAAATGTGACTTCTAGTTCGGGTTGATTCCCCATAGACTCCGTATTAAAAAATCACAAAAAGTGAAATATCTTTTCTTGTATTAAACATATGACATTTTCTTTTACTAGACATACTTAAATTTGCATAACTATTCGATACATAAGGGCTATATGAAAATTGAACCACTAAAACAGATGTAATTTAAGTTAAAGGGAACTTTCTACTATACCCGCCATGCTATCTGACCCGAGCGAGCCACCTGGTGGTGAAACTGGTAACTACCTACTCGCATTTGCGTTATTGAATGGCTAAATGAATAGACGCAGTGGACGGGGAATATGTTAGCTCTTCTTGGATTTTTTTTTGAACTGTGGAGTTCTTAAATAAAAGATCTATTAAAAAAGTGCAGCGTCGCCAACGTGCAAATGCCAATGTTTTTGCTGTAAATCAACCAACAGGGGTCTACACGATCTGTAATAAATACTTGTAAGTGAATTAATTATCACAAAACTATTGTGATCATTGGTTTTGTAAAACACGTTACCATACGTTATTTAAAAGTAATCAAAAGTTATTAAAATTGAACGGAGGGGGGAGTAATGTGTCTATAAGACATATGAAAACTTCCATTAACTCCATATGTCCCCATTTTTCACTTTTCAGAGTTGTAACATCAAATTACTGAGTAAGTGAGTTCATTTTTCCAGTACACGAATTTGTGGAAATTTCTTCCAAACCGGGAATGAGTGTGACTATATATTAAATGATGATATTTAAAATTTGCCGATTGGTGCTGATTGGTATGATGTTGATACCTTTTCACTTCCACGAAGTTCAAGTGATCACACTACAAATGAGTTTGGCAGAACCTTCTTAGAAGTTTGTAAAGAATGTGATATCCATATATTGAACGGTCGTTTTTCGGGGGATAAAGATGGAAACTACACATATATAAACACATCCATGGGGCGCAGCGTCATTGACTATGGTGTATGCTCATCAGACCTCTTCAATTTTATAAATAATTTCACTGTGGGCAATATTAATACATCTGAGGGAACGGATCATTTTCCAATAACTTGTGATCTCAAATTGATGTTACATTCAGCAAATAGAAATGATCAACAAAACATGCGACAATGTGACAGGTATATTTGGAAGCCTGATAAAGTCAATATATTTAAAAGCAAAATTCGTGACCAAACATCCCAAAATATATTAAGGGGATTTAACGATATGATTCAAAATGGAAACATAGATGGTGCTGTTGATAAAATTGTGAAATGTATTAACTATGGAGCTGAATGCATGAAAGTTAAACCGAGGAATCAAAATACAAAAACTGATGATTGGTGGGATGGTGATTGTGCAAAATTAAAGAAAATAAAAATAAATAGTCTTCTTAATTATAGGAATTCAAAATCAAATGAATCTTTAATTGCCTATATAACAATCAAAAAAGAGTTCAAGCTATTATGTAGAAATAAGAAACAGGTATATGAAAATGAATTTATGAGCAAATGTAGAGATTGTATGAATGATGTAAATAAATTATGGCAATTGATTAAGTATGTAAAAGGGTCTCAAACAAAAGGTCATATTTCACCAGTCGAATGGTATGAGTATTTCAAAAATTTGCTTACTACAGATTCCGATATAGATAAAGACTTTCAAAATGTTGTAGATGACTTTCTCAAAAATCATGACCAAAATGATTGCAATCAATGTTTACAAAATTTACCAGATGAACTGAACTGTAATATATCTGTAGTGGAAATTGAAAATGTAATTACAAATTTAAAAAGTAAGAAAGCCCATGGTATAGATGGGATCACATATGAGATGTATCAACATAGTTATGACACTTTAATGCCATATGTTCATTTATTGTTCAATTCTATCATGTCAAATGGCTACTTTCCAAATTTGTGGAGCGAGGCTATCATTGCAGCATTATTAAAAAAAACCACCAGTTGACAATGTTAATAATTACAGGGGTATATCTTTACTTTGTACACTTGGTAAGATTTTTACAAAGGTTCTAGCGAATAGATTTATTAAGTGGGCTAAAACAAATCATAAAATAGGTGACCATCAAGGAGCATATCAAGAAGGCAAAAGCACTTATGATCATATATTTAGTCTCTCTGCTATGGTAGAAAAATATTTATGTAAATCCAGAGGGCGATGTTTTATAGCATTTGTTGATTTTAGCAAGGCATTTGATTCTATTCCTCATAAGCAAATGTGGTATAACTTAATTAAAGAGGATGTTCATGGAGCTTTTCTCAAAACATTACAATCTATGTACTGTAAATTAAAATCATGTGTTAGAACACCAGATGGTCTTACCCAATCATTTATGTGCCAAGTAGGTACAAGACAAGGTTGTATGATTAGCCCTTTTCTGTTCATTTTATATTTAGAACAGTTAGTAAAAATGTATAAATGTTCAGAAATTGAAGGAATATTTGTAACAGAAAGTGTGGATAATGTACATATACTTTTATACGCAGATGACATTGGTCTTTTAAATCATACTGTTGAAAATATGCAAAATCAGCTAAATATACTATCAGAATTTTGTGATAAATTTGGCATGAATGTGAACCTTTCGAAAACTAAAATCATTGTATTTAGAAATGGTGGTATTGTTAAAAAGGATGAAAAATGGCTATACAAGGGTAAAAATGTAGAAATAGTTTCTTATTACAAATATCTGGGTTTAATGATTTCTTCTAGGTTAAACTGGTCAGTCGCAACCAAAACACTAGCCAATCAAGGTGGAAAGTCACTACATGTCATAAACCAAATCTCAAAATTAGGTGGCTCATTATCATTTGAAATGGGATTCAGACTTTTCGATTCTCTGACGCTTCCTATTTTAACATATGGCTCAGAAATATGGGGTTTTAAAGTTTACGACCAAGTGGAAAAGGTTCAAAGAAAATTTTGTAAATAATTTCTTAAAGTTGCATCACAAACAACAAATGAGGCAGTTCTAGGGGAATGTGGACGATACCCATTATGTACAATATATATGTCAAAATGTGTAAAATATTGGTTAAAACTAAATATGGAGATGGAAAATGGGAGAATCCCAAAACATTGTTATTCTATGTTAGAGAACCTTGATTCAGCAGGCCATATTACATGGGCAACACATGTTAGAAAGTTATTGTGTACAAATGGCTTTGGTGATGTTTGGGCTTTCAAAGAAGTAGGTGATGTGGACCTTTTTATTTCAAGTTTTAAGCAGAGGCTAAAAGACATTTACTGTCAAGAGTGGGCTGCTAGACTTTCAGAATTACCAAAAATGGTAACATATCAGGCCCGTAGCCAGAATTTTCCAAGGGGGGGTTCGTTTTTTCTAAAAATTTCTAGGGGGGGTTCACTCTTTGGCAAATATGGCCAAAAATCACTCAAAAATTAGTCAGAATGGTGAAAAACTGCATGATTTTGAAAGAAATTTTGGCCAGGGGGGGGTTCGCCCGAACCCCCCAAACCCCCCCTGGCTACGGGCCTGCATATTGTAATATTAAAACAGTGATGGAAAGAGAAAAATATCTTTCCTGTGTAAATATAAATAAATTTAGAGTTGCTCTAACTCGATTGAGATGTAGTAATCATTCATTAGAAATTGAAATGGGTCGACGAAATAATGTGCCCAGGGAACTACGGTTTTGTAAGTTCTGTTTAGCAGCAAATGTTAATATTATTGGAGATGAGTACCACATGGTTATGATATGTGAGAAATTCAGATCTCTAAGAAAAATGTATTTGCCAGATTATTATTGTTATAGACCAGATATGGTAAAATTTATACAGTTAATGTCAACTGAAAATGAAAACTTAATTTGTAATTTAAGTTGTTTTGCTTATCACTGTCTAAAATTGTATGAAAATTAACTGTAACTAGGAGGAAAATTATTTAAAAAAACCGGCAAAGAATTTTGTGATAAAAACATCGCTTATATATTTATTACAGGTTGTGCAGACCATTGTTGCTTGATTTATAGCAAAAACATTGGCATTTGCACGTTGGCGACGTTGCGCCTTTTTTAATAAATCTTTTATCTTAGAACTCCATCAGTTAAAAAAAAATCCAAGAAGACCTAACATATTTCCCTGTGCACTGCATCTATTCATTTAGCCATTCAATTGTAAACTTTTTCTTGAAAAAATAAATCTTCAACATTTGTTGAATTTACCGAAAATCAGCTACTCCCCCTCCGTTCATTTTATCAGATCACCGGGTGTGAGACTGCCAAAAGTCATTGACTCATCTTAACTTTGATGAAAAATATGGTCACTATGGCTACTCGTGTTTCGGGGTATGTGGGATAAATCATTAAAATATATGAGTATAAAGTGCGCAGTGCATGTTTTAATACAAGCATCACAATGCTAATATAGCATAATATAGCAAAAGGTTTTTATTTGGTCTTCAAACTGTCATATGTTGGATTTCGGCTATTTATTGGGAATTTGAACAGGTGCATATGTTAAGCCAATGCATTAACTCCAGATCAAGCACTCATCGAGGTAATAAAATAATTTGGACTTTGAGACAGGGAAGGTTTTTCTGAAATGTTGTCCTGATTTTCAGCCCTTTCCACATATGTTTTTTCAATGTTTGATGCACCAATATGTTGCACTTTGAGACACAGTTTTGAGACACAGTTAAACCTCTAAAATATGATTTATTTGGGATGAAGTAGAAAACAGTACATGTATTTCCCATGTTATTTTCCCATAGGGAAAACTCATGTGATCCATTGTTTTCAGCTAAATTTTGGTCATTCAAAATTGATATCTTTAAAACCCCTGCATGAATCATATTTTCATTTAAAACGCAACAGAGTGATTGATGCAACAAACATTGAAAAACAGGTGTGGAAAGGGCTGGAAATCAGGACAACATTACAGAAAAAACATGTTGATGGGGTGCAAATTTGCACCTTCCCTGACTTAGAGTCCAAATTATTTTATAATCTCTATGATTGCTTGTCCTGGAGTTAATGCATTGGCCTAACATATGCACCTGTTCAAGTCCTCAGAAAAGCCAAAATCCAATATATGACAGCTGAAATCTGTTGGGATACCGTCTGTGGTCCTTTAAAAGAAAGTTACTTCCAGTTACATAGAGTAGTTTTCATTCTCATCAATACATCTTTGCCTTGAAATCATTCGTGAAACATGTGGTTTGACCTTTATGGAAATTTGCTTAATTTTGACACTACTTTGTTTAACTTATACTGTCTTTAAGGCTGCCTTATCTGAAACCCTGATGTGTCTCTTGTTTCAAATGTTTAAACAATCAAGTCTCATCTTGCCTTTATTTCAAACTCTAATTTCCAGACTCGAGTCCAATCAAAAAGGAATTATCTACATGGAAGTTTGTGAAGTCCTTTATTTCTGAAACTGTTTTCAATACTTAATATTTTCAGGTAACTGCTTTACAAAATTATTGTGCATTGTGAATCTTCATTATCTATCTGATACATATTTTCCTCAGCAAACTTTATTTTCATAGAACACATGATGAATCTTTTATTCCACATTCTCAATTTTGCATCAATTATGTTTCAAGGATTTTTTTCCCTGGCTCACTATGAAGGATTCCATTGACATTAAAATAAGTCATGGGAAAGTAGGTCATAAGAAATAGGAACACTGAGTTCCACCCATTCCAACGATGCAGGTTTTGTGCTAATTCTTTTTTTTTTATTTATTTATTAAAATCATATAAACATATACATATAAGTGATAATGACACCCTAGTGGGTGTATGTCTTATCACAAGCTAAAATATTTAAAAATGGCATATTGTTAGTTACATTTATTATTGATGTTACAAAGTGTCTCAAAGTATAAATTATGTAAGCCAAACTGGGAAACAAATAAAAAATAAAAATGATGTACATTATAAAAGATGTAATAAAACATTTTAATGATGTAGAATAGCTAAATGGAATAAATTTTGAATATCTTTATGGTACTTTTACAGGTAATGGGCTAATGGCTTTAGCAAATTGCAGAAATGTTAAAGTTAGTTTTTTGGTCAAAGTAGGTTGTGAAATCACTAAAGATAAGTCATGAATCTTATATCATAAATGTGTTTTAAATCAACTTGTTTACCTGAAAATAAAATGTGGTCACAACTTTCCTGAACAGTCTGGAGTCTATTTCCCTTATAATAATACATTTACTTTAGTACATGGATTCTCTCCTAATATTATTTCCTTATAAATATCCAAACTTTAATCAAAAGCAGTTTCAAAATTATTGTATATTGTATTTCACCTAAAATATCGTATATGGTATAAGAGCTGTGAAAAATATTGTATATGGTATAAAAGGGGTGAAAAGATATTGTATATGGTATAAGAGAGCTGAAAAATATTGTATATGCATTTTCAAGACCCTCTATACACCCCCCCCCCTTATCTCACACTGAACTAAAGTGGTGGCCATGCCATTTTGAAATCTAGTTGATATTTCCCAAAAACTTCTTGATTTTATTGGTTACATGTACCTATAAACCTAACTATACGTACATGTATGTATTATTTCAAGTAAATCAATGCAATATTTGGACTTGTGGCCAACAACTGATTTTTACGATACTGAAAAGTGTTGGTCTTTTGGAATTCACTGGTGATCCGCTCGATATTACGTGGGTAAATAGCTCTCCTAGATTTGGTACTTTGGTCCGGTTTTGAAGATTCGAAATAAAATATTAAAAATGGGGTGAGGGGCGTGAACCTATAAAGTACCGAAGAAATAATAAATCTGCAGAATATAGCTTCTAGAACCTACCCCTGGCTATAATACAGATCTTGGGCATTAGTTGAGTATTGGATGTTTTAGTGCATCTCGCGTGTCGAAAATAGGCATATTTGAGCCAGAATTTATAAACTTGATGTAAAAATACACGTGTTTACTCTTAAAAATAATCCTTATTTATTTGATTATTCATTGATCATGATTCATTATTAATATGATATATCATTTGTGGAAAAGAACATTTGAGACGAAGTATGCATTTTTAATCTTAAGCAGTGACGTGTCTAATTATCCATGTAATATTATCTGAGACACTGTCGATGTACATGTATTTTGTCAGTATTATGAATAATACACTACTACATGTATATAAACTCTCTTAACAGAAACCTTTATTACTTGAATAGCAAATGTACCATATTGCATCTAAATATACTGCACATACAGTCGAGAAACAGAGTGGTAAACCCATATCCTTTACGTCTGAGCATAGAACACGGGGTCTATCAAGTCCCCGCTGACATCGCGAAAATGAGCTCATGTTAGAAGCGGGGCCTTGAGAGATATGATGAAATTGAAACATAAAATGTTCTTTGAAAATTTAGTAAGTGAAACTCAGTACAACTTTATTTCATAACTTACAATGACTATTTCAATTGCAGGGCAACGCCGTTCTTCAAGTATAACTTTATTTTATTGTGTTTCTCAAGGCCCCGCTTTTATCGGATACGATATCAGCGGGAACTTGCTCGTCGTGATAGTCGGGGCCTGGATAGTAACCGTGCTAGAAATTCGAAAGCTAGCAACAGCCACCTTAAAATGTAATTTGGGATCATTCCTCCGGATGCATTACTACTTTAATACGACTACTGTAACTATACTCTAGATATTCATCCTTATTTTAGGGTCAGGCGTGTGTTGCAAAATCAACGGTTATGAACACCTCGAAGGAGATGTCAATATTTAGTGACTTTCCAGCTCCAAAGGAATTCCCAAACCTTTTACACAACACATTGCTTATGAAGTACTTCCGTCTTTACGTTGAAAGATTTGACCTAGCGAAGCATATCAGGTAAAAGCACATCCCAACCCACGTGACATTTGTTGTTGTCGTGGTCGCGCCTAACCATAGACAGCGTACAGTGACAAAATACGCGGTCGTACACGGTGTCACTATTTACCGATTTGAATCAAAGACAGTATTTGATGTATAGGTTTTAAGAAAATTATCTGAGCAATACATTAAGAATTTCATGTTTGATTTCATACATGTATTCGTTTGGGAAGACATTTAACTTTCTAGTAACGCTAAACGATTTATTTTCGAACAGTGGTCGACTTTTTTCGTGGTTAATCTACCAATATAATAGGTCGGTTGGAAAATTTTGTTTTTACACATTTCTTTTGATCATTTCCTCGCCTGTCGTCTAAGAGTACAGAGTGTCAAATATTTTTATGAGAATATATTTCCCTAAACAACACAATTTCGCACGGGTGAAGATGAATAAATATTCAAGTATTTATTGTAATTTAAAAAACCAGAAGTGTGCGTTTTCAACTTCACTGTACGTTGTCCCTGTAATTGAAATCCATGAGAGAAAATATTAAACAATGTAATGATTTGCAATGCAATGAATGTTAATTCATTTTAAAATGCATTAAGATTTTTATAAGTAACAAGTGATCTTTAATGAACATGTTCAAGTATCCTTTGTACAGATGATTTTAAAGATAAGGTAAATGTGATTTTCACCTCTTTTTGAGAGTGGCTAATTTGTGGCCATTGGGTGTTAGCTTCCGGCCTCTTTGATTATTTAGCGTCTGTACCTTACGTTTTGTTAAGTTTCACTGATAGATAGATCTATACTAGCTTATCGAATACGACTTTTTAAAATCCCGTTCATAATATATCTGCAAAGACGATGAAAAGTGCTCAATACGCCCCCCCCCCCCCCGCCTGTTAGTGTTATGAAAAATACGTTGCCTGCATAAGGGTTAACTGTGTATTGAGTAAGTTCAATGGGACAACGTACATTCGAGTTGATAACGTACACTTATGATTTTTTAGATTATAGCCAAAATGTTAACATTTATTAAATCTTCAACCGACCTTAATTGTGTAGTTTAAAGAAACATATTCTCATAAAAATATTCGACACTCTTAGACGACAGAGGAGGAAATGTGTAAAAAACGACATTTTCCAACCGACCAATTAAATGGAATATATTAACCACGAAAATATCGAGCACTGTTCGAAAATCTTTTAACGTTATTAGAAAGTTAAATGTCTTCCTAAACGAATACACACGAAATCAAAAAAATGAAATTCTTAATGTATTCCTCAGATAATTTTTTTTAAATCTTTGAGTCTTTGCCTCAAATCGGTTAATAGTGATACCGTACATCTAAAGTGTACGACGGTATATTGTGTCACTGTACGTTGTCGATGGTTAGGCGTGATGTTGTCACCATATGGAGAAAAAAATGTGGCATAGTCTAAACAAAGACTCAACATGTTCCATGAAAACACAGGGATGGTGTGGTTTTAAACAAATTTCTGAAATAAAATAAAAGTTCCCACCATCCTAATTCAGCCGCTATCCCCCCTATCACCTCATCCGACCCCCTCCCCTGATGACCCCCCCCCCCTGCCCGCATTAGGGTTAAAGTCCTACTCTTCATATCCAGTGATCATGATCATCTCCGCCATTTCATTTCTCTTCCATTTCTTACATCCAAATTGCAACTGTAGGTTCAAAACGTCCATCAAATCTGTAAAAAGGGCAGAAAACTACAACGCGACTGGCAAATGGATCCTACAAATATCAAACGTGAACACTCTTGAACAAAGTACCGAAATATATGATGCTGTTCTGGTGTGTACGGGACACTTCTCAGAGAAACATGTTCCTCATTTCTCTGGTTTGGAGAACTTCAAAGGCAAAATACTGCACAGTCATGACTTCAAACACGCAAGTGGCTACGAAGACAAGAATGTACTAATTGTTGGTCTTGGCAACTCAGCTGCTGATGCGGCAGTTGAGATAAGCAAAGTCTCCAAACAGGTAGGCCTAATAGCAGACAGTCTAGAGCAACTGCTGAGAATATTCAGTCATTCTCACAATTTCTTTGACAACTTTGAATCAAAGAAATAAGCGATCGGAGAACCACATCGCAACCTTATGCGGAAAAAGAAAAATATATGTACCTGGCCGTAATTTTTGTATATTTTGGGTTGTCTTGGAGTTTGGATGATATTTTGTAGTTTTGATACCGCAGGCATCGGAACAGTAGATGTCTGACATATTTTTGAAATCTCGTCATTCAGATTATGCCTAAAGAGAACTATATCGTCAGCGCATATTTAACGTCGTGTAAACTAGGTTTAGTGTAAAATGATCCAGATGGAAGTGATATATTCAGAAACCCATACATTCTAATTTAATATTTTATTCAAAGATATATTTGAGCACACGAAGAGGCAGTTGGATTTTTGACAAAGTTGGCAATAAGGGCGTTCCCTTTGACCTAATTGAATACAATCGATTCCATGAAGTCTGCAAGAAAATCATACCAGGAAATGTACTCATGACATTAGCGGAGTATCAGGCAGAAAAACTCATCGACCATGAGAAATATTCATTAAAACCCCAGAATAGAATATTCCAGCATCATTTCCTATTAAATGGTGAACTGCCTTACCGTATCATATGTGGTGCGGTCCAAATTCGATCTGATATAAAGGAATTTACGACAACTGGCGTTGAGTTTGTTGATGGCAGCATCGTTAATGACATAGATATTGTTTTGCTAGCCACGGGATATAACTTCAGATTTCCTTTTTTGGACGACGATGTTATTGACGTAAAGGAAAACAACTTGAATTTGTACAAGCACGTATGGAACCCAGATTTGAATCACCCTACCATGGCATTCATAGGACTTTGCACACCACTCGGTGGAATTATTCCAATTTTGGAATTGCAGTGTAGATGGGCAACAAGCGTTTTTAAGGTAACGAACCAAATCAGGTTTTAACTATGTTAACGTCTGAGTCAGATCTCTTTTTCAATTGAAAATTTTGTCCCAATCACATAGTGTGGACGATATTGTCGGCCTAGGCGCGTCTGTACGTCCGACCTAGATTTCTCCAAAAATGTCGTTACAGATATCACCTTCAAAGTTTTCAGGGATACCTTTGAGTACATACAGATGCGGTAAAAAAATTCGACTCGATATCTACTTCCTGCCGGCCATTTTGAAGTCAAATGCTAAAATCCTTGTATTATATCAATAAGGTGTTTTTGAGTTTTTCAAAATTAACCTATTTAGTAGCTTTGTAAAAATAGTTTCAGCTGTCCTGTATTGTAAAAGCCCATGTCACTGTTAAATGTAGGTGTATTCGATAATTTTGACGGCCATTTCTGTATTTTCTGTTGTAAAATCTTGTCTGTAATATAAAATCATGTCTATGCGTTTTCAGGCGAACCGTTTAACAAATCAATTTCAAATTTTTTAGGGATGATCGTTAACCTCAAACAGCTTATATTTTGGCTATTCTGGGTAGATGTTAAGATGGCCATTTTGGATTTTCCGTCCCAATTAATCTTGTCTACAGGCCAAACCATTTCATTGATTCATCTGATATGTTCAAGGGATGTTTTTACGTACACGCTCGGTGATCGTTCAAAATGGATGGAGGGGGGATTAGGCGATTTCTGCAAGAAAACTCAACAAATTTGGAAGATTTATTTTTTCAATAGAAAAGGATAGGTATCGATATGGAGAACTGAATTCAACAATGTTTCTCTCTTAAACCAATCATTGAAAACATTCTGTAAAAAACATGGTATTTTATGTAATGTTGACTGATTGACAACAATTTAATGCGAAAAGTATTTAGAAACATTTTATATAAATGTTTTTGTTAACATTTTTTGTTTTTTTAGTGCAATTGTTTTTGCTCCTTTCTACCAATTCTTTAGAATGAAATAGAATGTCTTTCCGAACCTTGTTGGAACAAAATAGCATATACAACATGTTTTTAGACCTCTCAATATTAATGTTATACAAAGGAATTTTTGGTTAATTTTAAAAAAGTATTCAAAAGATTAAAACAAAATCCCCCCTAAATAGACAAAAATCAAGAAAACCCTTTTATTTCATTACAAGACACTTTTTTAAAATCAACCAAAATTTCCCTTTGTACAATTACAATATTGAGACACCTAAACATGTTGTGTTTATGTCGTTTTGTTCCAATTAGGTTCGGAAAGATGTTTCATTTCACTCTGGAAACATGATACCAAGAACAAAACAAGTGTTTGATGTGTTTTTTAAAACAATATAGACGAAAGTATGTATAATTTTATCTATTTTAATTTATATTGTTACCATTCAAAAGATGGCCATTAAATTGACAATTTGTAAGATTTTCAGAAATTTTTTATGACTGGTTTTAGAGAAACGTGTGTTCAAAAAGTTTGCCATATCGATACCCATTCTTTACAACTGAATTGCCAAATGAATAAGCGCAGTGCATGGCAAAATATGTTAGGTCATCTAGTACTTTTTTGAACTGATACCCTTCAAAGATATGAGATCTATTAAAAAAGGCGCATCATCACCAACGTGCAAAAGTCGATGTTTTTGCTATAAATCGGGCAACAATGGTCTACACGACCTGTTATAAATAGGTACCTGTATAAGGGACATTATTATCACAATACTAATGACATTGCTCACTTTTTAAAGTTAGTTTCCATGGCTTATACAAAAAATAATCGAAATAAATTAATATTGGATGGAGGGGGGAGTGGATGGAGGGGGATTTTGTGTTTTTACGATGGAACAAATTCACAAGAACTCGTGTATTTGAAAAACTAAACTCTGTACCCAAGTAAGAAACTTGATATTATATCTCTGGAGAATGAAAATGGGAAAATTTGGAGTCATAAGAATAAATTCAAGTAGCATGTCTTATCATGTCTTACATACACGTGATCCCCCCCCCCCTCCATCCAATATTTCTGCAAGAAAAAAGTTTAGATCTTATTAGTTTTTGGGCATCATGATAAACCATGACATCTCATTTCTTCTCAGCCCTGTTTCAGGTGAAACAGGAATATGCTATGAGTATCAGAATGGTTTTTGGGCAGTCTGGTAAATGTTAGGATTGTTATTTTCGATTTTTCGTCCAAAAACTTTATTCTTTTATATTTTTGCAACGATTGACTGATTATTTTGACCTTGACCTACATTCGTTTAAATTGATTACCCTCATGAATTTTATCATTTCCAGTATTACAATTTTGGCCGGTCTATTCACTCCCTTTGTTAGCACTAAGCCTTTTGATAAATCCGTATAAATTTATTTCGGAAAAATGTAGGGTGACATCAAGCTTGCGTCCAAGGAGCAAATGTTGGTAGATATCAAAAAGAAACGTGACATCGTGGCGTCTAGATACGTGGAATCACTACGTAACACAACTACAGTTGAGTATATGCCTTACATGGATGAATTGGCAGAGCTAGCTGAGTGTAAACCGGATATGTGTAAGTATGTAAATAAATAAATAAATCTCGAATAAGCTTGTTAAAGACCTTGGTAAACTTGACTAGGTGAAATACATTGCTTCCCTACCAACAAGTGGGTGTATTCTAGGAAGCTCTATAATCGAATTATTTAAATCTCTGAATTGGAATGTTAATGACTGAACTTGATTTCATTTTTTCACTGAGATGCGGAAGACAAGTACTGTGGAGTTAAATAACATTGAATAACTATTCCGATGCTCTTATATTTACGATATTTGCAAATTTTCTTTGCAAAGTAATATAAATCATTTAAAATAGCAATATACGACTACATGAGTTTGTAAATAATTTAGTATCCATTTCACCAAACAAGAGAGCAATCTTTCATGTTATTAAATATTAAATGTACATGTACCTAACAGGCTACCCTGTCAATGCTGTATATAATATTGTTTCAATAGTGCTATTAACATAATTTTAAGAAAGTTCAAGATTTTTTACAATATCTGTACTTTATGTAATACAAATCTAATTAGAATAATTTGGAAACATTATATTCTTGTATTTAATGTTAACCATATGATACTTTGATAAACGTACAGCACTTTTTAAGTTTTTTAAATGGAAATTATTTTAGGGAAGTTGTTTAAGGCAGATCCTAAGTTTGCTATAAGGTGTTTCTTTGGCCCATGTCTACCCTATCAATACCGATTGTTTGGACGAAACGCATGGCCTGGAGCTAAAGAAGCCATTCTAACCATGTGGGAGAGGGTCGATGCGCCGCTCAAGACACGTCCTACTGGAAACAAACCAAAATCGGGATCAACAGGGCTTATAATCCAATGTTTGGCAATCTTGCTAATCTCATACATTTTTATTATCACCTTTGGGACTTTGGTTTAAGTACAATGTACATTTAAATTGAGATCATAGCCACAATTTCAGCCTTGTGGAGTATATCACGCTATTCCTGTGAAAAGGGCTAAAGGATTTGGCAAAATGAAAGGTTTAGGGTGAAATGTATATAAATTAGAATTTATTTTGAATGATTGTAATAAACTCATACTTACCTGACATCTATGTTATAGTTTGATTTACTGTATAAACTTAATGGGAGCACAACTAAACGCTTTAAAATGTTATTAAAACGCCATTTATTCGTTGTGTGATCAATGTGGTTTTGTGGTCCCTTAATTTACTTACTTGTACACAAAACATGTTTCCGTCATGCGTGTTGAGCAATTTTCTAAATCGCCCTAACCCTCTCAGCCTTAATTTATTGAGGAATATACAACATGGGGGCGATTAATAGTTTTAACTACATGATTGTGTATTAATTATCTTTGTATTGATCTAATAATTATTTAATTAATAAATCGTCTTTTAGCCCAGGACAACGCTGTTGGTTATTTGTAGAGAAAAGTTTAGGGAAAATTAGCTTTACTTATTGAACACACGTGACCTTGGTTTATATTCACCTGTATGATCTAAAATGTGATGAACAGCAATATACTTAGAGGTTATGTCACTATGACGTGAAATATGCCTGAGTTCTCCCAATATAGGCCGACCTTGGGAGGCTCTATATTTGGGCAAGAACGAAGGCATATTTCACGTCATAGTGATCGACATAACTGATGTATTACATGCCTTTGTTCCCATGGTTACTTTGTATCAATGACGTGACGTCATGATATTATCATGGTTATTAAAGAAATCTAATATCAAAACGAGGTAAGCGGGCTATATCGGGGTAATCGGGCAATATCGGTGGATATAGCTCGCTAACTTTCCCATTGACTTCCATACAAATGCTTCGCTAGGTATGTAATACAGTATTATACAGGCCTCCTAGACTTCCAACAACGCGAATCAGATTGGGTTAAATTGTTATTTGAAAACGTTATGTATGACGTGTAAGAATATGAAATTATTCGGGGCATTTTTAAAGACGATGTTCTAACAAAAAAAGTTGAATTATATTATACTCATTGCAAAGTGGTCTGTACATAAACATACTCTATGGTTTTACAATAGTATCGACTTAAACTAGGATTTTGAAATACAGATTTTCAAGAGAGGCGTTATTATGTAATGCATGAAACTTATAAAATAGAGATTGATGTAATCTTTTAGAATATCTGAAATAAAAAATAATTTTAGATATGAAAATACATTTTTTTTACATCTTTGTTCTACACATGGTGTGTACCCAAATGAAGCGTGACAGTTGAACTCGCTGGGTACGGTACAACACGAGAGTGATCAAATTTGAGCAAACTAATCTTTTCATCCAGTTCAGAAAGATCTGGTCTAATTTTTAGATATTTTTGATGTGAATGTCTGTAAAAAATATCCTAGACAGTGAACTTGACGGTGAATTTCATAGTAAAACTTACACAAACTCCAAATGTAATTGTACTATATGGTATAACGCGCGGGTAACACTTGTAACGCAAATTCCAATTCCTTGTGTTGTAACTTACCTTTACCGCGAGTTATACCGTATACTACATTCTGAGTTTGTGTAGGTTTAACTATGTAATTCACCGTCAAGTTCACTGTCTAGGATGTTGGTGCAGACAAAGAAAATATCTAGAAACTAGACCATCGGCGCCGGCCGAGTGATCGGAGAAAATGTGACCTAGGCACTAGTTAAGCATATAGTCTCCCAGTGTCGTTAGTCTGTCCTTGCATGTTAAGTGAACCAACATAATATACCAAAAGGCAGGTTTCATTAACGTCTAGGTTACGATACGCATCTAAATCAAAATGATGCTCATGAATGCTATGAATAGGCTAGTTGGATTCTGATCTGAATCGGCTTCAAAAACCTTATACCTGTCGTTTTCCCTTATATCATTTTTTAATTTCATGGACTTGTTGAAAAAGGACAGACTTTTAAAAATTTGGGATCGTTATTTCAAAGGTTTACAAAAAATAAATGAATCAGAACCAAACAATTATGTACCATTAGCCTTAGTGCTGTTTTTTAGCATTACGGTTAGCGCAGCATGGACTAGAGTCTAGGACCATGAGTCACAATATCATATACATTCGTAGAGTAACCTGATGATCACTGGTGATCCGCTCGATTACGCTGAAACGGTTCGTTTCGGTAACAAAATGTCGGAACGTCGATGGTACGATTTTTCTTTTTTCCTTATTTCACGAGTAGTCAGGGTACACGTATGGGCGCCTTAGTGCCGCCTGAGTGCACACAGTAGGCCCCCGCAGGGGGCCTACTTTGTGGATGTGGCCCCTACGTAGGCAACAGGTTTATCGTGTGATCAGGCTGACTGCCTAAAGTAGGTCCCGTGTAGTACACAGTAGGCCCCCGTAGGGGGCCTGCTGTGTTATCACGCCTGTCCACGGTAGGCCCTCGGGTAGTACACAGTAGGTCCCCGTAGGGGGACCTAGTGTGTAATCAGCTTGTCGCCCGGTAGGCGATAGGGTTAAGAGGTAGTTCAGGCTGAGTGGTCGCGATGGGGGATGTACTCTAGGCGGGTCTTGGGTTTATTTTAAAAATTGTTCCGCTAAGAAGGGAGAGTGTTTTAAATGGCTACGTGGTCGGTGGTTCGTGTCGGCTGATCGGCGAGTGGTGTGTGAAACGATATTTATAAATGTATCGGGGTTATTAAGAGAGAAGAAGTTATACGGTGTTATGAGGGCTATCAACATGCATTGTAAACGAATCTGCTTAAATGCAGACGAGAATGGCACGTGTGTTACATTTCACTTGTCAATGGTGGATTTCAATAAACCGACTGGTTCTATCGTGAAACCACTTGAGGAAGATTTGCCTTGGATGCTGAAAGTAGGGAATAGATACGTCTATCGCGTAAAGGATAAAGTAGTTATCAGAGAGTATTCGTGGGCTCAACATGGGGCCAGAATGGTTATGCTACCAGAGTTTCAACCTGGTAAATTCGCGATCATGACTTACAGAGAGTTTGACTACCTAGTGCAGTGCTATTTCGAGCCGAAGGGTCTTCGCTCGTTGCTTCTATACTTGGATGCTACTGACTATGATGGAGTGCACGTGTCGGATGTGTTGGCCTCGTTCGAGTTTCGCCCGGACAGGTTTTATCATTTAGGATTGGGGTATGAGTTTCGAGTGTTCGGGGAAAATGACAAAGGCGTGATGCTTACCTCGACCAAAAACGACCGGAGCAAGAGTACCAGAATTTTAACCTGGCATATGGACTTTTCTTTCAAGGAGGTTTTCGAGATGTTTAAAGATATCCGATCACTTTTCCCTCAGCTGCCCATAGAGGACCGTAACTGCCTAGCCTATTTACCGCTTGATCACGCGACTCAACAAGGACTGTTATCCTGTATTGTATGTCAATACTTTAACGACGATGCGTATGACTGGTAATAAACTTGTATATTTATTTTCACCATTGCAATTTTACTTTAAAATGTACAATTGTCTATACTAAGTATTTGGTAGGACTCCAAATAAATAAGTGATACCAGCAGGTGTGCCGCATGGCTGACTTCGACTCATCCCGTCTAATGACTAATGCTCCACGGTTACTACACATCATACCGCGATTGGTTTCGCTAGGTGAACGGGCCCATACACGCCTGTAAATAAGTTGCAACACTATATAAGCTCTTGATATAAGCCAGTCGACATTAGTTGGTGAAAAGAGTCACATCTCGATCGTCTTTCTATACACACGCCATCGCGTGTGTCTAACCACCGTATCGAATGACGGCGTTTGCATCAAAGACATAGGCGGGGCTGTGTGGTCCAATCGGTAAGTCGGCGAATAAATCGTCCTCACCGCCCGACATTCGCGGTCGTAGTTCGACCCCCTTTCAAACAGGGACCGCTGCATAATAAATGTCCTCCCCACGAGTCTAGCCGTCGGCATTCGCCGGTTACAAAGTTGGACCAAAGCTATGCCCCACCTCACCATGGCTGTGTTGTAACAGGTCGTATAGGGTAGCTCTAGGTACGAGTGGTGAAGGAAGTGGGGGTTTTCTACATTAGCCTGAAATGAATACCACAATCAATTATTTACATATCCAGAGTACTGCATTTTAAAATTGTAAAGTCCTATTTCCTATAACCGGGCTTTTATCTGAAAGAGTTGCTTTAAATGCAAAATGAAACATCCGGAGTTTGGTGTTTAAAATTATAAAATCGCCCTCCCCCTTATTAACGAGGTTTTATTCTAACGCTTTAAAGACAGGGGAACAAAAATAAATAATTACCGTTCGTGCGACCTGTGTCAACGGTGAGCGGACCCCCTTGGAAAATGCTTTGTAAACATCCTCATCCAGAGAGTCCATGTCATCTAGACGTATACAACAGTTGATACCCATCGGCCAGGCCAGTTGTACCCCCAGCGAGGCCTTTAATCTATGGAGTATATTGGCAATGGAGTGCGTTCCCCAGCTGTTGCGGGTTGTGCTCTTCACCTGTAGTTTGAAATAGAGCTCATCGCAGTCCCCCTCATCATGCTGGTCCTCCGGGATGTCGTTTGATTCCTCCATGCCCATGCAAGTGGAAACAAATTTTCTTTTGTATCGTCGTCGTATCCCCTCCCCATTCAAAACGTTGCTCACGAGTGTGTACGTCAGCTTCAGACCATTTAAATCTGAGCTGAGTACCCCAGTGACGGCCTGTATAGCGAGACGCCAGTCACACATATTTGCAGGCGGGTATAGGTAAAAGCTAATCTCCATGGCTGCTGCCTGACTCGTGTCCAATTCTAGGTCATTGACCTCGAATGTCAACACCTGATTGACCAGCCTAAGACTTCTATTGCTCAGTCGTCCGACCAAGTCGGCCCTCTCCACGGCCTGAAGGGCGCACATCTTGAGAGTGAACGGCATGTACATGTTCAGTTGTGTTTGTAGATTTTGCTGTCGCTCGAAAAGGTTGGCTAGTGAGACTATGTCGTCTTTGGTGGAACACCTGATAGCATGACTACCCTGTTCCTTATTTATACACGGTACACTCTGCAGCGGGGTTGGGATTGATACGGGCCAAAGTGGTCTTATCAGTCGTGTACCAGCGGTTGTGTTTCGAGTTAAGAACGCTTGGGAGTGGGGTCTGAGATTGCTATTCGGCCAATTTAGAATCACCTGCCAAACGATCTCTAGTTGCCGTGGACCAAAGGAGCCAATTCTTTACTGTTTTGCTAGTTGGTAAGTTTTATAATAAATTAATTTGTGATCGAATTGATAAAACCAGCTGTTGTCGTGCGATATCGAATTTTGTCTAATGGTTGAGGGAACTAATTCTCTACTGCCTCGCTACTTGGGATCGTTTATAACAAATTAATTTGGCTGTGTCGACCCGTGACACGGTGTGGCTTTTACTTAATCACCCGCCGACAACCCTACGTTCGGTATTATATCGATTACACGTCGCCGGAAATAGACCAGTATATAAGTACATCGCGACGTCTGTGTGGACATTTGTTCACTACTACCGGCTCCGATTGGTCGTGTATTTCTAGCAACTAGGACGATCAGACTTTTCAGCCAAAGTGACTTGTGGAAACGTTGGTTTAACAATGGATTCTTTCGTGATGGATCAATTGAACGAGATGGATAACTTGAGCCAGCTTAATGATTTTATTCGCCGTCATGAGTTGGAGAATTGTGAGCGAGCCTTGTTCATACGATGGCTTATGCTTCGCATCAAAAACGTGATTGTAAGTATTTTGTGGTCTGTAGGTGTGTGGGCGTCCTTAAGTATGCGGGCGTTCGTGGGTATGCGGGCGTCCAGGGGTATACGGGCGCCCGGGGTATGTGGGCGTTTGTGGGTACGGTGACGGCCATGTAGATTTAGCCAAGGTCGATTCGCCTGAAAATTGTAAACAGCAACTCACTAGAGAGAATTATGCTTTATTGAGATTTATTTTCGACTTATATTTAGTGTGCTGGTTGTTTTTTAATACATTCAAATTATACTCTTATCTTTTTTTCATACTCTACAGGAGGAGGTTGCGTGGGGGTCTAGTCAAATACCGGAGGACGTTCACGACGTGTCGGACGCTATGCTTTTTGACTTTGACGACACTGACTCACAGCTTTGTTCTGCACAGGACGACTTTGAAAATGACATTGACATAACACTGCTCCGTTTTGATGACGGCTTTAATACTCGTGTTGACTCCAGCTTTACTAGACTAATTCAACTGGCCATTCATAATTCTCTTCCAAAACACTACATTAATAGGACAATTAGGGAATATAGGCAGGCCAGGGGGTACCGGAACCAGATAGGTCGCGGTCGTTTTGACGGTCCAGCTGACAGCAAGGTTCGGCCACGCCAGTCAGACGCGCGAACCGGAAATAGCGACCCCGAGGGCTACATTCAAATTGAACATCCGGGTGACAGCGAAAATTCAGATTCTGAAGAGACTGACCATATACGCCTCGAGGTACCTGGCGACGACGACGACGACGAAACCGCCGAACACAACACCATCGATGGTGATGACGCCCCCGTGCGAGACCGCCCCATTACTGACTTTTACGAAAAAACCGGCGTTTCCAACAGACATCACAGGGGTTTGAACGTGGATGAAGTAAACCACGCGTATCGGTTAAGAATACCCGAATTTCTCTCATTTCCGGAATTGTTAGAGCATTTGCATCGGCTCTTTAACCACATCATTTTCAGCGAACTGCTAGCTGATGTCGATGATACAGACTATGTGCGATTTCACGTTGACAATGAGTCGTTTAGGGAGCCTCTTAATACGCCTTTGCTGATAAAACACGAACTGACGGCCGGTCGCCTCCTGGACATGATTGAGGCTATTATTCAAAGCAATCATGAGGTTCTTCTGACTGACACTTTTGTATTTAATGTTATCATTGTACGTAGCCCTGTATTTGGTCTCTACAATGCCCGCGACTTCCATAAATTTGCTCGTCAATCGCGATGTGTGATCGAGATTCAAAACACGGATAATTTGTGCCTGGCACGCGCGATAGTAACTGCTATCGAATGGCGCAAATTCACGGCCCTTGAACCTGGACAACGGACCCCCGAACAAAAAGCATTGTGGAATAGTGTACGACACGGTCGCTTGGAACAAACTCGATTGGCCTCGAAACTTCACGCGGACTCTCAGACCCCTCTACCTCGTGAAGAGGAATTATGCAACATGGAACACCTTGCAAGTTTCCAGACATTCTTAGCCAATACGTATCAAATATACGTGTTCGGGGAAGACAGCAGTAAAACGCCGGTAAGTGTACAAATATAAAAATGGTTTAAATAGGCTAACGCTTCAACCGTGTACTACACTCCGTAATTCTGTCTCTACATGAACGAATGTCTGACCCTATATGCTCAAAAGTCTGGTCCTACATGACCGAAATTCTTACTCTAAATAAATGAAAGTCCGACTCTACATGTTCGAAATTCTACTCCTGTGTATACAATCTAAATTCTGGCCCTAAATGGTGGACTTGTTTGAGGCCTTATTTTGTCACCTAATTCTCGTGAGATTTGTGTTTTATTTATTTTTATTTTTTTCAGATCTTCAAAGGAGCTCCAGCCTTAGAAGACCCTACTCAGCACATATACCTCTACCACTACGACCAACACGTCGCAGTCATGAAAAACCTCGTGGGGTTGTTCAAGAGTCGGTATTACTGTTTCGAATGTAACGATGGTTACAACAAGCCAGTAAACCATCGATGCCTAGGGATATGTCGGTATTGCGAGGTCACGAGTGCAGAATGTAGGGGTCGTTCTGTCTCCAAGGAGTTCCACTGCCCAGAATGCGGTCTTCATTTTACGGGTCGGCAGTGTCTGCTCAACCACAAGAGGCCGTCTGAATTGACCGGGAAGGCAAAGTGTAACGTCGTGTTTTACTGCGATCGTTGTCACTGTGTAGCTAGTAGAACAGAACGAGAAGTCAACGAGGCGACGGGTAAACGCCAGACCGTTGGACACCGCTGCTACGACCGTGTGTGTAAAATATGCAAGAAAAAGGTACAAGCCGAACACAGATGCTTTGTGCAACAGCGTACCGATCTAAAAAGGCAGAGTGAAGCATATTTCGAGTCGCAGCGAGGTGGTGCGATTGTACATGACAGCGACGAGAGTGATGATGAGTCCCAGGGTGTCGATGTTCACGATTTCGGGGGTATGTATTCAGGCGACATTCACTGGTGGGTTTATATGGTTCGGGTATAATAAGGGTGTTATTTCCTCGATTCCCGATGGTCTACTGACAATGTTGTGTTTTCTGTCTCTATTGGACAAGTTTCTGTTACATTTTAGAACCTATCAACGGTGACCAGTCTGGAAATAGAAAGTCAAAAGGGCTCCAGGGTTACATATTCTTCGATATTGAGACACGGTGTGACAACGCGACGCAGCTACACGAACCGAACTTAATTGTGGCTCAAAAGTGTTGCATTAAACATTGTCTCGATAAGGAATATAGAGCCCCTGATGATCAGTTTTGTGTCAAATGTGGTACTAGACAGATGGTGTTCTTTGGGGATGACTGTACCACAGACTTTTGTATGTGGTTATTCAAACCGGAGCATAGGACATATTTGGGCGTGGCCCATAATTTTAAAGGTACGTTCATATACTACAAAAATGTTATAAATGTTTGTTTAATAAGTAGTACTACTTAGTTGTGGTTGGTGTGTGTGCGTGTGTCTGTGTGTGTGTATGTGTGTGTGTGTGTGTGTGTGTATAACCAAGAGTGTTTTTACAGCTGCTTTACTTTTCACTGTGTAGGGTACGACTCGTACTTCCTGTTAAAATGGATATACGAAAATAGCAGTCAACCCCACGCGGTCGGGTTGGGTAAGATGGGTATTCCAACCATCGTGAGAAATGGATCGCAAGTACTGTTGTTGAAAGACAATGTGAGTGGCGTCAGCGTCAAATGTAGCCTGGCGTTCATACAGCTTCCTCTGTCAGCATTCAACAAATGTTTTGGGTTGGGTGAGACGAAAAAAGGTATGTTTAACTTTAATGGTTTAATAATGGTGGATATACATTTCAGATGACATGACGCGAGCCACTCGGCCAGTGTCTGCCATGCACACCCAGGCAAATTAAAAATATCTTTACACTCCAGGAACGTTCCCCCACAAGTTCAATAGGGTGGAAAACTACCAATATGCCGAATGTAAACTCCCCGACTTGCACTATTACGATGTCGACGGTATGAGCGCTCCAAACAAAACCAATTTCGTGAAATGGTACAGAGACACCAACCTTTTGCTGGAGGCTGAGCAACAACCGTGGTCCTTTAGGCGGGAATTAGGTAAAATATAAAATGTCAACTGTGGCGCGTGTGTCTGTGTGTTTCTGTGTGTGTGTGTGTGTGTGCGTCCCACCGACTAGAAAATGTACTAGTTAAATCCAAACCAAGAGACTGGGTCTCTGCACACCTGTATGTATCCAATTTGGGCAATTTTTCTTTTCCAGAGAGCTACTGCGTTACTGATGTGGCCGTATTGAGACAGGGTGTGCTGAAATTCATTGGGGCATTTCGAGCTAGCACAGGTTTGAACCCACTAGAAATAGCCTGCACCATACCGTCGGCGTGTAGCCTAGTGTACCGGGCTCTTTTCATGAAAAAGGACACCATCGCCATTATTCCTTCTCGAGGTATGTGTTCAACCAAAACTTGTCTATGTATTATTACTTATAGCTCCTGAGCAGTACAATACACTCAACCTAATACCGAGGCTTCAAGTACACAATATACATCTATTACAGGGTACAAACCGAAGCGCCGCTACTCCAGAGAAATGCTTGAATATGCCGCTTGGCGTGGTTATCAGTACGGTGAATCATACAGAACAGCAGTCAATGGTGGGGAGGTCCCGGTGGGTCGCTACCACCTCGATATGGTAAAGTTAGCGCCTGACGGTACCATGACGCGGGATGTCGTCGAATACTATGGGGTAAGTGTGTAGGGTTATTCCGGCTATTGTTGTCGGTATTATCGATGTCTTTTGATTTCCTGCCGTTCACTTGCGACTCGTTATCATTATTTGTAACACTATATTATTAAACTACGATTGCGTCAATCACCATTGACATTTTCCAGTGTGTGTTTCACGGTCACACTTGTATCGCCGATAGAGAGCTCGAGTTCCTGGGTAAAACTATGGACGAGCGTTACCAAGACACCCTGCGAAAACAAATGTAAGTACTCTAGCGAAAAATTTCTTGGCAATTAAATGCGAGATTGTAGTCGACACGTCCACATAAATACTGTCAAGTTGTTTATAACAGCCATTTATTCATTCGTTAGGACTCTGGAAAGTTGGGGGTACAATGTCACTAGTGTGTGGGGTTGCGAGTTTGCCGCAGCTCGAAAGGCGAATCCCCAGATGGATGGATACCTTAAGGGGTTAGAATTTCCAGACGTCCTCGCACCGAGGGATGCCTTCAAAGGGGGTCGAGTTTCGCCAAGCCGCCTCTATGTCAAATGTCAGCCTGTAAGTATGTCAATAAACTGACACTCACCGTTACCTTCGGAAAAGCTGTACTTTAAAGTAACAACAACATCACACGACTCAGAAGACTATGGTAAATGTAACACTATTTTTATTCCAGGGAATGAAGATCAAATACATTGACATCACTTCTTTGTACCCGTTCACGAATAAGTACAAGCGGTAAGTTTGATCGTCAGTTGACAATATCGATTTAGCCGTTCTCTCGCTAATCTGGATTGGCCAAGGCAATATGATTCTTTGGAGCGAAACATATGATGCATCCTTTTTTTTTGCAGATACCCCGTTGGTCATCCGAGTATTGTGTACGGAAGCGAGATAGATGATGCGCTCGACATAACGACAGTTTTTGGACTTGTCTCCTGCAAGGTAAATATGGTCAGTCGGTCAATCGGTCGGATGGTGTGTATGTTAGCCAGCCGGTGTATCACTCAGTTAGTCAGTTGTTCGCTGTTGAAAATAAATTATAGTGCAAATGTCTTTGTTTAGGTCGTGGCACCCCGAGGTCTACTGTTTGGTGTACTACCCAAGACGATCGATGGTCGCCTCCTGTTTCCCCTCTGCGTAGAATGCGCCACCCTAAAGCCTGCGGACAACTGTAACCACTCGGAACCCCAGCGTGCGTTCAAGGGTGTTTTCTGCACACCGGAGTTACATCTGGCTCTGGAGAAGGGCTACAAAATTCTACAGGTTTATGAATACTGGGACTTCCCCAAATCAGATTTGTACGATAAGCAGACCCGCGAAGGTGGTCTCTTCACGGGGTACATCGACCAGTGGGTCCGGGACAAGCAAGAAGCATCCGGTTGGCCGTCTTGGGTAGGAGAGGACGAAACTAAACGCCGTGAATATGTGGCCCGGTATCTCGAAAACGAGGGTGTCCTCATGGATCCTACAAAGATAGCCCATAACCCTGGTCGTCGCTTTGTGGCAAAGAACAAGCTAAATAGCTTCTGGGGTAAGTGGGGACGGAGCACCTTAGTTGTAATGCGATCTCGAAATCAGTAAGACAAATTGTTGTTGTCGTTGTTGTTGTTGACGGCTGGCGTGACAAGTGTTTTTTTCGTTGTTGTTCCAGGTAAATTTGGCCAGAACCCCGAGATGAAGCAGACCGTGTACGTAAAGGACCGGGAGGAGCTGCTGCGTTATGTCCACGGACCCCAATATACCGTGAAAGATGTGAACTTTGTAACCGACGACATGGTTCAGTTGGACTATGTGGAAGCCGAGTCGTTCGAGCGTGAGCTTGATTTTGCGTCGGTTGTCATCGCCGCAATGACAACAAGTCACGCTCGGGTGCATCTGTACTCGTTTTTGGACAAACTGCAAGACAGCGTATGCTATTTCGATACCGACTCGTGCGTCTACATAGAGACGGAAGAAAACAAGCATCTGGATCTAGACATTGGTGACTTTCTGGGGCAGATGACCAATGAGCTAGATGACGACGACCACATCGTCGAGTTTATCGCACTGGCCCCGAAAAATTATTGCTATAAGACAGTCAAGGGTGCCGAAGTTGTAAAGTGCAAGGGTTTCACCTTGAACGTACGGGCCAGCGAAGTAATTAACATGGACAGTATGAGGGCCTTTGTGCAAAATGAGAATACGGCCCCCCATTTGAACGTGGTCAACCCCCAAATAAGAAGGCACTTTGCCGACGTTTCCCTCAGAACTGTAGAACAAAATAAGCGCTATAGATTTAACTTTGACAAAAGGAAGATAGTTGAAAATTTTTGTACTGTCCCCTGGGGTTACTGAGTCGAATGTTCCCACCCCTGACGAGTATTCATTTTACGGCCCATAAACATATGTGTATTGTTATAATGTTGAATTGTGTCGCAAAATTGTATTGTACATTGTTTATTGTGAATTGCCAAAAAATTTTCTGCCAGAAGGACTCCTATAAACCCTGTTATCGTCGTTGTATCATAGTTAAAACACCGTTACACCTGTATGTACATGTGGAGTGAAATAAAATATTGTTATAAAAGTGATCTGCCAAAAGAGATTAAATCAAATTTTAAACCAACATTTTTTTTTTGTAGTTTGTTCTTTTTATATACTAGTATTACATAATGAATAACTGAAATCACCCACTTTACACTAAACCCAGTCCATTGAAATATATCCTAAATGTAATATTTTACCACCTGGGGTTTTGCTGAATAGGTGGGTATAACTACATAATACACATACTCGGCACATTCAAATCAGTCCGTCAATATGAGTGCGAGAGAGAGGTATCTGAAAAGTATTTACTTCAACCCCAAAGTAGAAGGGTCTCTGGGTAGTCCGGAAGCCCTTTACAAGGCTGTCCAGAGGGAAAATAAACACAAAATCAGTTTAGGTCAGGTAAAGCGGTTTATGGCCAAAGAAGATGCCTACACTTTAAACCGTATCGTGCGACGGCGTTTTAAAAGAAGGAGGTACATAGTGTACGGGTTCAATGACGAGTTTCAGTTAGACACTGCCTTTTTTAAAAATACGGCAAAATCCAACAGCAAACTACCGTACATACTCGTGGCGGTGGATGCTTTATCGCGGTATTTGATGGTTGAACCTATGACAGACACTCAATCAGCCACCGCTGCTCAGGCTTTTAAAACTATGTTGACCAACAACCCTGGTCGGTTTCCAACTCGTGTTTTTACCGACCAAGGTGAGTTTCTAGAATATTCGGAGGGCATAAAATAAATTAGATCGGTCTATTTCTTTTTGAAAATCAATCGGTCATACAGACACACGCACAAACTACACCACCAATCAGACCTCGCAATCATATTTCAGGCTCGGAATTTAAAGGGGCGTTCCAGAAGTTCTTAAAGTCTGAGGGCATTCAGTACATGTCGGCCGAGAACAGTGAGACGAAGGCAGCCCTGGCCGAATTGGCCATAAAGAAACTTAGATCTCGTATTGTCAAACTACAGGGTTATAAGAACACGGATTGCTACATAGACGACCTTCAAGATATTGTCAAGGGTATAAATGCAACTCCAAATCGAGGTATAATGGGCTACGCACCCAAAGACGTCAATTATGAAAATGAACATATACTTTACGAGGCTCAGTTTTCAAAGGGTAAAAAGGGGGTGGTAAAAAATACCAATACTCACGAAAACCTCAAGGGTACAACTCTAAAAAAGCCTAGGTCACGCTACACTTTTAAACTTGGGGATTATGTGCGCTTATCACAGGTCCCCAGGAAGTTCAATAAACAGGGTTTGAAACAGTGGTCGGAAATATTTGTTATCAAGAAGCGTGCTATGAGGCAGGGTATTCAGATGTACAAGGTGGCCGACCTCTTGGGTGAGTCGGTCAAATCGTGGTTCTACGTAGCCGAGTTAATATTAGTGCATTACGACCCGAGCAAGCCATTCGAAATTGAACAACTGGTCAGATACCGGGGGAGGGGTAAAAACAGGGAGGCGTTAGTTCATTGGAAGAATTACCCTAAAAAGTTTAGGTCTTGGGTGAAGGTCAGCGAGATTGAAACAGTTTAAAACAATGTTTGTGTGTCCGTATCAAACGCACACAACTTAGTAGCCGCCTAGACACAGTCGGGTGAACATGTATTTATTTCTAAGTGATCGGGATAGTAAACAGTTTTTCGCGACAACAAACACATCCTCTAAATTTACGATAAGGCTACCTAGTAGTCTCGAGTTGTCGCGTGGGTATTACGAGGTCAGTTTGTGCGAGGTGGACTTGGACTCTACACTTGATGCTAGTAAGGGTCTCGATGTGTTTTGTGACATTATCGACAGCTCGATCTACAACGCGTATAAGGGACCCATATTAAGAAGATTACAACCAATGGTGCACAAGTCTACTTTTAACGACGTGTTCTACATGACTGCTTTACCAAGGGATGTGGAGTCTATTAGTATATACATAAAGGATAGCGCCGGGGGCGACTTGTCATTAGGCAGTGGAAGCTCGAGTTGTACACTACATTTGAGAAGGAGACTAGCGGAGTGAAATAACATAAAATGAATTTAGTGCCCCTAGTTGATGAACACGATAAATGGGTTTCATTTTTTAAGACGGCTCAACCCTACCAAATTGGTAAGGGGCGTAATAGGGTGAAGTATGACACCAGAAAGGATGTTATACCAACAGCTACACCTATCACAATAAGTTCACCCGTCCAGTCCACGGTAGACCGGGCACGCTCCGATTTAAAAAATCAAAGCAATAGTGGCGAGATACTTAATAAAACGGGTACTGGCGCCACTGTCGAGGTCGGTAATAAAAAGCGAAAGAGCAACAAAGCACCGACACTCGTTCAAAAGGCAACGAAGAGAACAGTCGTCAACGCCTCTAGTGCAAATAGCATACCCGTATTCAGTGGTATATCAGTGGATAAGGCATCGACCAAACGGAAGAATAAGAAGCAGAAGACAGGTCGATGATGTCTTCTTTTAAAGTGACTGATAGTAGGGACTTAGTTAACACAAACCTTTTACTTTTCGAGCCCCCCGGTACAAATACAAGCGTTTTGGGGGTGAACTACGTCAATTTCAGGCCGCTTAATCCTATAGTGCAGAACCAGCCTGTCGACTTTCATATCGTCAACAACTCGGCCAAGTATATCGATTTACAGAAATGTAAATTACACTGTAAGGTGAAAATTGTGAAAAATGACGGTAGCGATCTACAACTGGATGGCGACGGAGAGTCATTGGATAGTGTCGGGGTCATCAATCTCATTCTTCACACACAGTTTGCCAACTGCGACGTCGAGATACAGCAGAAGTCATTGACAAATAATTCCAATTACACATACCAGTACAAAAGTATTTTAAAGACACTTTTGCGGTACAACTCAGAGGTGAAGTAGACTCGGTTACAGGGTTCTCTGTATTATAAGGACACGGGCATGAACGAAACGACAGACGACGCCGCGCTACTCCCCAAAATATCAAATTACGGTCTCTACCAAAGAGCCGAACTTTTAAAAGGGTCTAAGATTGTTGATTTGGAAGCCCCTTTGTTAGAGGACGTATTCGAGACTAGTCGCTATTTATTACCCAATTTGGAGATTAAAATACGACTGACACCATCCGCCTTCAGGCTGATGACAAACTCGTCTGAAAAATACAAGCTCGTAATACAGGACGTGTACATGCGAATGGCTATGGTCACGGTTAGCCCAGGGGTACTGATGGCGCACGATAACATGTTGAAAACCAAGAATGCCTTATATTTCTACGATAGTTACGAACTGCGCACTTTCAATATCAACAAAGGCCTGAGCAATACGGTTCTGGACAACGTGTTCAACTCCTACATACCCCAGACGTTGACTGTATGTTTCGTGAAGGCAGACGGGTTTGTAGGTCGTTACAATCTGAATCCATTCCGGTTCGAGGATTTCAAAGTCAAGTGAGTATTTTTGAAATTGTCGCTGTTTCAGCATTATTAACATATTACTATCGTTAACAGAGACATCGGACCCCTATGTCCTCAATTGTATAGAACATTAACGAATGTTGTTTGGCTTATTTAGGCTTTAAAACAAACAGAAAACATAGTTTGATAACTTGCTTCGATATTTTCAGCTATATCAACTGTTTGACGGATGGTGTTGCGCAGACAGAAGTGGCTTATAGACCCGTGTTCGATCGAAGCAAAGGTCAACAATATGTCAGGGAGCACATGAACCTATTTTCAACCCTCGACCCCCACGAGGGCAACGATATCTCGAGGCTAGATTTCGGTTCGGACTACAGTATTTTTCAGTATAACTTGACGTACCAGAACGATCCAGGCTCCGAGGACACACTCCCTGTCCAGAGAACTGGTAATCTACGCTTGGAATTGGGTTTTGAAAACCCCTTGACACTTCCCGTATCTGTCATTGTTATGGGGACATTTTTGAAAAGCTTTCAAATAGACTACGCCCGCAACTGTTTAGCCTAGTCAGTTTACTATACATAATCGAGAACAGCTGACTCTGGCATGGATTCTGATACAGTTCGAGCACTACTTTATTCGCAAAGACCTACGAAAACGAGAGTGGGGTGTGTGTGCGCCAGTGATTTACTGCCCCACTAGCGGTCGGCAAATCAAGACATTTTCATAACTAATACGGTGGACAGTACACGCGTTGTTGGTCATTGGACACTGATGTTTTTTGAGCATAAAACGAAAACTTTGGAATTCTTTTGCTCCCTCGGGCGCCATCCGTACGAGTATGGGCGGTTTTTTAAAGACTTTATCAGGCGGAATAAAAAGTACACACTCGTTGTCTACAGTAAAAATATACAAGCAGCGACTTCAGACACCTGCGGGGATTACACGGTTTACATAAGTTTACAGAGATGCTCAGGGCTGTCAATGACTGAAATCCTAGCCGGATTTAACACTGAGCGACGATTAGAGAATGACATTTTGATAAGACAATTTACGAGGATGTTAAAACAACTAGACTTTGGAAATTGAACAAGTTCAATTTCAGACTCCAGATTAAGACCTTTTTCAGCCGAGTCATCCAGAATAAGCCGAGTCATCCAGAATAAGCCAAGTCATCCAGAATAAGCTGAGTCATCCAGCATAAGCCGAGTCATCCAGAATAAGCAGGTGGATGGCTGGACTGATGGATGAATGGATGGATTGATAGGAGGAAGGATAGGACAGGATAGGAAGGAAGGATAGGATAGAATAGGAAGAAAGGATAGGATAGTATAGGGTATGAAG